TTAACGATTAATCTCGTTATGCTAACCATTATAATAATATGCAGCTTGAGTTTTAATGAACTAATAATGTCGAGAGTATAATTCAGTAATCCCTTAATTGGACTCTCGTCCTTGATTCGTCATTTAATTACTTTTTTTCTGTTTCTTATAAACTTTTCACTAATCAAAATTAAAAATTTGTAAGATAGAAAATGTTGCTTTACTTTGATGTTTTAAAAATATTACAGCTTTGACCTAACACCTAACAATATTTGCTACTTGTCTTTGAAAGTCTTTGCATCCGCGGTTAGACGCATTTATGGTGAGTGACAATGAAACCAAATATCTAGAGTTAACGAGATATTGACCAAAAGTGGAGCAAAGGAAGGAAATTGAGAAAAACTAGAAGAAATAATCTCAAGTCGATTTTATTTATAACTGACAGATAATTACCTTAATTTGCAAACATTTCATTCGCATGAAATAAATGTTTGATCACACTGTGATAAATGCAATTCAGGGTTATTGAGCTGTTTTGAATGTTAATTATGTAAATTCAATGTTGAAAGAAAACGAATTGGAATTTTTATTTTTCATAAAGTTTTATTTTATTTTGTGGATGTCAAAGATGACAAGGATGTAAGCAAAATATTTTTATTTGATCAACTACGGATTCAAACTTCTCCATGTATTGTATGTTATACAATTATCTGGTGCTTTTTCAACGCAACCATTAATGTAAGGAAAGAACACTAAAGTTTGATGACATTTTAATTCCACTAATCCATGATCAGTGCACTGATAAAATTTATTACAATTGCTTTCATGTGGAACATAAATTTCATTATAACTCCTTCCAGTTTGTGCCACCATATCGTCGCAGTTAACACTCGGCCTTGATGATTCTTGACATGTTGCGATTGCAATGAATGCAAGAAATAGAACTAAAAATTGAATAAAATTTTATTGAATGACGTAAGTTTGGATTTAAAATATTAATTTACCAGAAATCAGTAAGAGCTTCATGATGTTGTTATGTGAAAGATGTCTTATTTAAAACTAAAGTTTGTTCAGTTAAAAAAATCAAAAATAATCCAAAACAAGTTTCTTTCATTGTGTGCGATGAGATTGACGATGAAGGAGAAATTTTGTCTCACGTGTATTGAATTCTTCAATTCACATAAACTCACAAGTTATTATGCAATATTAAGTAACAAAAAATTTCTTGCAAATATTTTTAATTATTTTGATTTGATTCCAAGTCAAATTGGAGTAGAGTAAAACACCAACTGAAGATTTCCATGACAATTATTGAAACTGTTGGTATTTCAATTGACAAAATCTTGAACAAAACTAATTTCATCGGTTGGTTTTCTATTTGTAAAAATAGAAATTTAATCTGGAAAACAATCAGAATAAATTATTTGAAAATATTTATAAGCAAANGTGCAATTTTTAAAAAACAAGAAACGAGAGTTTGGAAATATGTAATTGAATATTTTCCATAATTCAGCAGATGGTCAATGCAAAGAAAAGTACATTCAGAAAATGTAAAAGATTATTCAGAATGTTTTTGTGATACTTTGTTGTTTTCTAAAGACTTTTCTATTACGTTGGTTATTATAGAAAGACGTTAGATCGGAGAAATCAAGTAAACTGGTGATAAAATACTCGAAGGAAGTATAAGTTAACTCGAGATAAAAGAAATCCAACGATAACTTTATTAAAAAACGATTAAACCGAGAAGATGACAGACACTGTGCATCATGGTATTAAACTATTTGACCCAAATGAGGCAGACAAAGACGTTTGTGCAAGTTGGCACAACTGGAAAGAACAAATTGAATGGTATCTAAGCGGAATAAAGATTACAAAAGATAAGAAAGTTGGTCGAATAATGTCCTTGGGAGGCATACATGTCCAACAAGTTCTGAAAAATATGCTGAAGACTGGAAAGGATTTTCAATCAGGATTGAAAGAAGAAAAAGTACAAACAGATTCTGACAGTGAAAAAAAATATAAATGCTACGAAGCTAATGTTTAAAATTTTGGATAAAGCTTTTGGAGGAGCATCCTATCCGAACGCTGCTAGACTCAAATTTCGAGCTGCTTTCAAAATACCGAATGAGACTGCTCGAGAATATATAAGAAGATTAAATCTGTTGGTGTAAGGCTGTGAATTTGAAAAAACAAAAAAATTGAAAATGAAGTTCGAGGTCAATTCCTTACTGGTGTTTCATACTCAACATTTAAAATGAAAACACTTGTTAAATCTTATGATGATAAGACTTCGGAGGAATTAGTTGACAAATGTCATAAAATTAAATTGGCAGAAAAGACAATTAAAGAGGATAATGAAAAATAAATTGCTTTATCTCGAAAGAATCAGTGAACGCTGTAAACACAAATGTGAGCGAAAAGATTGAAAAAGCCAATAACTCTTGTAATAAATGCGGTTTTCTACAACACACTATGGAAAATTTGTGCCCAGCCATCGGTGCACAATGCAGAAATGTAGTGGAAGAAATCATTATGCAAGAATGTGTAACAGGCCTCCTGTTTTTAAGAAAATGCGTTATGCTAGAGATAAAGAAAGACACGCTAATAGAAATTTTCCCGAAAGAAATAGCCAAAACAATTATCGTCCGATGCGACAAAACTATCGAACAATAAATAGATATCAGCCTTACGATACTTTTCAGAGAGGTGATAACTCATATGATCAGTAAGATAAAAATAACGCACAGAATCAACGTATTGAAACGATGGAAGCTAAAAAGGATAATATATTACAATCAATGAACTTGATGAATAAAAACCAAGGGAAGAGAAAGTTGAAAGATGTGAATTCTAACAATATGACTTACGGCGAATATCATCGAAACAAAGTCCTGGCAATCGAGAAAAACGAAAATGTCAATGAAGACAATGATGAACAATATGAAGTAGAAAGTGTTCATTTCGTTAGCCCGCAAGATAAGCTTGAAAAAGTAATGAATGGAACAGTTTGGATTTAAAATATTTATTTACCAGAAATCAGTAAGAGATTCATGATGTTGTTATGTGAAAGATGTCTTATTTAAAACTAAAGTTTGTTCAGTTAAAAAAATCAAAAATAATCCAAAACAAGTTTGTTTCATTGTGTGCGATGAGATTGACGATGAAAGAGAAATTTTGTCTCTCGTGTATTTAATTCTTCAGTTCACATAAACTCACAAGTTATTATGCAATATTAAGAAACAACCAATTTCTTGCAAATATTTTTAATTATCTTGATTTGATTCCAAGTCAAATTGGAGTAGAGTAAAACACCAACTGAAGATTTCCATGACAATTATTGAAACTGTTGGTATTTCAATTGACAAAATCTTGAACAAAACTAATTTCATCGGTTGGTTTTCTATTTGTAAAAATAGAAATTTAATCTGGAAAACAATCAGAATAAATTATTTGAAAATATTTATAAGCAAATCTTACGGATTCTCTGAATTTTTTATCCTCTAATGATCTCTCACATTGACTTAAACTTTCAGTCAAATCTTTTTCTATTTTCATGAGATTATCTCCAGGTATAACAACGAATAAACAGTTCAAAATTGAGAATGAAATTGTATAAACAAATGTTGATAATGCTACAAAAATCATTGGTGGTTTAGCAGTGCATAAATATGCAATTACAGAGTAAAACTGAAAAAAATATTTTTATTTGGTTAGTAATCAATTAATTTGATGGAAAAACTCACCCCACATATCAACTGTATTGTATTATAAGAAATTAAAACAACGAAAGTGAACCGAAGTGTGTTCACGAATTTTGTTTTTATTACATAAATGGAATTGTACAACGAGGAAAGAGTTTCAACGATATTTATTTTACATTCAGGATTCATTGGAATGTCCTTAATATTCGAAGCATAACTTATGAGAACATTAATACAGAATGAAATAAAATGAATAAAGCTGTATGCATAAGCTATTAGAAACATATTAATATAAGCTGGAAATGCGTATCTATTGAACACAAGAAATGAAGCAAAAGACATTTTCATTGATACAAAGAAATCAAAATAAATACAAACTGTTGAACTCAAAATCATTATAAACAAATTTCGCTTAAATGTTTTCTTAAACTTGTCAAAGATATTCCTTGAAGGTGGATAAAAGTCGAAGAAATGAAACATTAATTTTCTTGCACTAATAATCAACTCAATATTTGATTGAGACATCACCAATTGAAGAAGGATCACGAAAACAATATTTGCATCGTTAACATGAATATAAATACCGACGAAGTGAGTAAAAAACGGAGAGTATAAAGTTAATTCAAACGACGACGATATGTAGCGTTCCACAAGTTTTACAAAAAACTCAGTTTGATAACTGACGAAGAACAATGCTTTTAATCCATTTAACAAAAAGAAAAATTTCGATATTTTGAAAGATTGTCCATCACTTGATATATTTAAGATTCCAGCAACATTTAAAACTGTCATAAAAAGCTTGAAATTAAATTTACTCATCATTCATTCAACGATATAAAGAGACTGAACAAGAATGATTACTTTTATATGAATTAATAGAATATTAAGTGGATTGGAAACATGAATAAATTAATTTAATTAATTAAGAAATTGCTGATCTTAATTTAGTAGATTTTCGATATAAGCAGAAAATGTTGTAGAATTGTAAGAGGAAAAGTGGGCAGACGACTTAAAAAACAAACAAACGCAAATGTTAATTATTTAAATAGAACATTTATTATCTTGCAATTTCAAACAAAGTTCTCTCAATACTTTTCAGTTGCTTAAAAATACAGAAAATGATCAAGAAATATCTTCATACTGATTGAGGTAAAATCTAAAAAATGAGATTTGAGACGGTTTTCAAAACGAGTAAGTCTTATGTAAATATTAAATGTTATTAATAAATAAAATTTGTGAAAATTATTAAAATAAAGAGAAATGAAAAATTCTTAAAAAACAACACTGAAATTGTTCGAAATACTTTTAAGCTAATTTTTCTTCTTGGAATTTCTGATGTGTTACCTAAAAAAACTTATTCGCTTACATCAAAGATCATCAAATTGTAATACATTTAAAATACTTTTCATGGCGTCAAGTACAAGAATTTAATTGTTTGAAAGATTTAAGACAGCTGGTTCGTCATCAATTTCATCATCATCGCTATATTTCTGACGTTTCGATGGTGAAGGCGCGACAAGTTCAGCTATTGAAGAGAATTCCATTCGCTTCTTCGGTGGAACCGAACGATCTTTCATTGCAAGATCCACTGGCGGTGTCGGCGTTGATTTCCTTGAGAAATCAGTTGGTGTTGATGATGCTGATAAAACGTGGCTTGAAATCGCTAAATCAGCTGCACTAAAATTATACTTCGGCATTGTTGAGGCAACAGCTGCTGGGCTATCTCGAAGTGATTTCGTCGGTGTTGAACGTTTATCAGATGTTGGGGACAAGACAACTCCCACTGTTGGTGGTGGCGTCTCAACTTTACTTGATGATGAACTTGATGATGATTTAGGCGGCTTCATAAGTCGAGTATTGAGTGCTTCTTGCTGAAGTTTCATTAATGATGGAGATAAGTATGCATTGTTAGCTGCTAACGTTGTCTTCGCTAATGGATCAGGAATTCCAAGATATCTCGATTGCGATGAGAACAACGACGACATTTCTTGAAGTTTTGATGGTGTCATGTGAGAGAAAAGTGATGAATAATCCATTGCGCTTGTTATTCCACCACCAGATGAACTATTATTGTTCATCTTAGTCGAAGTATTTGAAGTTGATGATGGTGGTGATGAAAAATATGAACTTAAATTCGAATGAAGTAAATTTGCTGCGGTTACGTTTGTTAATCCTGATGATCCTTTTGTGGCACTCGTGAAAAGACTATTCAACATATCAGCTGCATTTGGTGCGACACTAACATTTGAATTTCGTTCTCGACTTGATGTTTGCTGTTGAGATGTTGATGATGATGATGATCCTGAGTTATTACGATTTGAATTTTCACGCTTTCTTGAGTTGTTAGAATTTGAGTCTCTCGCATTGTTGACCTTCTCCATTGATGTCAATGAACCGCCTGACATTGATCCACACATTGGACCAAAAAGTGAATTAAGATTTGGCGTTCCACTTGACATATATTGCGACAACATTGACGAACTTGCAGCAGCAGCATAATCTTGCATTGCTTTTGCAGCCGCCGCTGCTGCCGCTGCTGCCGATGTTGAAGATGATGATGATGAAGAAGGACTTCCACCTTTCACATTTCCACCAAATAAAGCTTGTGCATAATCCATGTTCTTTGACATCATTTGCATTTGAAGTAAAGCATTAATATCTTCAGGCTTATTTGAATTCAATAAAGCATTCAATTCCGGAATTTGCTTCGACATTTCAGCAAGATAATTCAAATCCATGACTGGTAAATGTTGTAAAAGTGATGATTTCGATGCTGAATTATTGTTTGATGATTGCGAATAGTTGCTTTGATTCGAGGTTGCTGACACCGTTGTTGTCGTTGATGTTGATGGCGAAGCTTTTTTATTGGAATTTGACGACGGTGAATTATTGTTAGAAGATTTTCTTGTCACAGTGATTTCAGATCCTAAACCACGAAAAGCATTCGCTTGATTCATAAGCATTTGAGTATATTCAGGAGACTTCATTAAATCAGCAATTTTTCCAACTTCTGATTTGTAACCTTCGTAATCATAATTATTTTGATTTTGATTATGATTACTTGGTGGCCGACCTTTCCGTTTACTTGTTGTTTCTCTCACATTCTCATGATGATGTTGTTGATGATGGTAATCAGTTCTTGCTGTTGATGATGATTTATTTGATGGTTGTTTGCATGTTGGAATGTTATACGGTGATTGCATGAGAACACTGAGATCGCCTTTTTCTAATTGATTCATAAATTCTTTCATGTTGGGAATTTGCGACAGCCACGAATTTGAATTGTTATTTGCTGCTACTGCTGCTGCTGCTGCTGCTGCTGATGATGATGACGATGATGATGCTGCTGTTGATGATGATGACTTTAAATTGGAATATGATGATTGATTCTTTTTTCCACTTCCACTACCAACACCGATACTTGAAGATGTTGGCGATGAAAAGTTATTGCTTGCTGATAAAGCGGCTGCTGATGCTTGCAGTGATCCAAGTGCTGACATTCCAAAATCAGACATTTTTGATCCTTGAAGAAACGACGCGTAGTCGTTTGGAAGGAGTCCTGGTGGTAGATTCTTGGCAAAGGAAGCAAGTGTTGCAGCGTAGAGATCACTGAGGTTGTTTGATGAGTAACCGAGATCATATTTGGAACTTGTTGAGCTGACACTGGAACTGTTACGTGGTGGACGTTCTGGTAACTTTGCTGGACTTGGTGCTGGTGAATTTCGAGCTCTTACTGATGAAGTATCAGATTTAGCTGGCGATGGACTCGCTCGAATTGGAACTTCAAATTTTGCTGGACTTGTTGCTGTTGACGGAATAGTCGCTGGACTATCACGTGGTGACGATGACGTATTTGTTGCATTCGACGACGTACTTTGCTTATGATTTGTTGTCGCTGGCAATGAAATTATTGCTGATGAGATTGGCGAAGGGGTCATGTTCAATCCCGAAGGTTGACTGAGTTGTTGCTGTAAACTTGATATTGCATTAAGTGCTTGTTTTGTTGCTTCTTGTTCATCACGCAATTTCTTCTCTTCCTGTTCCCTTAGCAAATTTTCTCTTTCTCTCGCTTCATCTTCAAGACGTTTCTTTTTATCAAATATTTTTTTTGGAATCACAACTGGATCTTCTCTTTCCAATCCTATAAGTTCGAGTATCCAATTCCATAATTCACCCGTGTTTTGATCTTCAATTGGAAATCGTTGGAACATTGAATTTTTCACTTTTTCCAGCACCATTACATCATCCTTCAGTTTCATCTCGGAAAAATCGAGAAGTTCAAATTGGAATTTTCTGTAGTAATTAATACAAGTCGACATTTGTTCTTTGATTTCATCGGGTAGTTTTTCATCTTGAATGATATTGTATGTCATTGACATCGGCCGTCCGAGTTCGTGTGGTCGATTTTCAGGCGGTGGTAACACCCAAAAAGGCATCATTTTGCCTTCTTCTTCGACATCTTCATCCTCTGCATCATATGAGGCAAAAATAAAGCCAACGCATGGCGTATATGTTGTGTCTGAAGTTCCACGAAGCTTAATTTGATAGTCCATTTGCTTATCACAATCACGAAGCGTTGGATGAGCTGAAAATCGTGGATGTGAATGATACCAACCAACAAGCTGAATGTTTTTATCAAGCATTGCTTTCTGAATTTCGTATTCACATTCGGCTGACTTTTCACGATCAAATCGTGTGTTGAGTAAAGGAAAAGTGTGCGTGATGTTTAAATTGTGTGTATTAAAATCCCATGTACCACCAAGATATCCGCAGACTTCGTTTGTTGTAAGATGACTATGAAAATCAATGAGAAGGGTCGCTGATGAAGTAATATTGACGAGAAAAGGTTGAACTCGACCAATGTTTGAGAATGGAACTGCTTCAACCAGCATATTGATATCTTGCAGAATTGTTTGATTACAAATAGCACTGTGTTGAAGAAGATTCTTTTTTGGCGGAACTGGTAATTCAACTGGTTTTGTTATCACCTCTTTTTCTTCATCTGAAAGAGGAGCAAACAATATTTATGGCTTTGCGCGGGAACTCAACTGAAACTCACCTTCACTTGGAATATCTTCTTCATCTTTTTGCTGTTGGCACTTTTTATGATACATCGCTTTGTAAATGTCGAGTTTCTTTCCTTTGTACTTCACACTGGCCCAACCACATCCTGATTTTTTGTCTGGATTAATGATTTTCTTACAATTGATTGCCCAAGCACTTGGAGAACAAAAAATTGTTTCTGTTTCTTGAGACTTGATCTTACCGTCGTCTAAAAGATCCCCAATAAATTTTTGTCCCTAAAATGGGTTTGTTAGAAGGTTTTTTATGTTTTTAATTAGCTCGGCTTACCATATACTCGATGGACATTGTTGATTTACCCGGAACTAAAATCCCGGATTTCAATAGCATCGGCAGCGTAACAGTCTTTCCAAAAACACTTGGATAAGATGTTTTTGTGCATGTTTCCTATGAAATGTAACAAATTTAATACATTTTGCAATCTTTTTTTTCAAGACTTATTAATTTTCTCTTGCCTCATCATTTCCATCATCTTCAGGTTTTATTTCTTCGTCCTTCTCTTTTTCAACCATATTATTGCGAATTTTTTAATCTTTTGACACAATTTTATGCGAAATTTTATGTTAGTTGTCCATATTTAGCTTTTAAAATTAAAGTTTGATTGTAAAGTGATTTTTTGTTATTTTTCAGAAAATGAGTCACATTTTCAAAATGTTATCTTCTATCCGCTACAGACACTTATTTGAACCGTTCTGAATTCCTTTTGAGTCGGCTCGTACATTATCCAATTTTGAGCCCATCTGAAACGAAAACCATGCAATTGTAAGGTTCTCAAATAATTATAAACAAAAATTTTTAAAGAATATTTCATAAAATGCTTCAGGAAAAACTTGAGCAATTAGTTAAAATGTTGGAAAAACAGGAACTTGAAAACTCAATTCAAGATCCAAAGCTCTATCACGAACTATTTGCCGCATATTTGTATTTGGACGATTTGTAAGTTTTTTAATTTTTTTGTTTCGATTTTCTCCAAAATATATAATATTCTGTTTAATTAAAGAGTTAATGCAAGGTTCCTGTGGAAGAGGATTCCGTTAGCTGTGAAAGCTAGCAATGAAGAACTTGAAAGGATGCATAAAGTCTATGAAGCTTTGTGGAGAAATGAAATGAGCGACTTTTTCCAGTTTTCCGATTACAAGTGGTCGCCTGGTGTTGCTGAAGTGATGTACGAACTTGTTGAGAAAATAAAAGCTGATAATATTCAACTCGTAAGCTATGCTTACTCATCAATTCATGAAAATGTTTTGGCTGACATGATCAAGCAAACAACAGAAGAGATTACAGAAACTTGCAAACGATTGGGATGGGAATATTCCGAAGGTCCTTTTCCGCGTGTTATTTATCCTAAAAAGCCGGTTGCAGAAAAAATCAGTTCTTTAGATGCTGAAGATCAACTCCGTAGACTTACAAGCTATGTCTCATTTTTGGAAAATTAAAATCAACACAAATCATCTTTACGTTTAAGAATTCTCCATTAATCAATTCTTGAAATACAATTTTTTTTAAATATCTAAAATGAAATGAAACGAGAATAAAGGAATCAAATTCTAAAAGGATTAAAATTTTCTTACTTGCGTAAATTATATTGAAAGAAGATTTCGTAAAAGAAGAGTCAAAATACAAAGGTAATTAAATCTCTTTTACCAATTTAATGTTCCTCTCATCCCATAAAGATTCTTAATTGATGTCTGCTGTAATTCGGAACAATTTCTAAATATCTACTTTAGGTTTCGAACAGCATAAACATTTATTAAATTACGATGTTCGCCACCAACATCACGTATCGTTTTATGATGTTCCATCACATCAGCGAACCTTGTTAAATATGCATCGCCCGGCAACACGTCCGGCATGTGAAATCAACGATAATTAGCATTCTATTATCATGCAAGCGAAATGGAGAACCAAAATGATGATGATGTTCCGATGTTGTCATTTTTTTATTTTTGATAACAAGACAAGGGAAATTATTATTAAATTGCCCTTAATTACACCATTAACATTAACCAGCATCTCATGCTTTTCATAATATCTAACTCAGTGTCGTTGTCTCACGTTAGTTTCGCTACTTTGATTTTAATTTTACATTTATTGTCATTAAAATTTATCGATTGAAAAAAGGGCGCACTGAAGACAAGCGTGGAAAAAAGTGATGCTGAAAAATATTCTTTTGTTATTATTTTTATATTAAGAAGAATAAAAAAAGACGGTCGGCATACTGATGATAAGTTAGGTTCGAGTTTATACGACGATGTGTCAACCAATCTGTTTTGAAATTATCATAATTTCTTCATCTCTATTGGGAACAATAAAAAAGTCACTGACGCATTATTCCCCTACTCGATATGATGAAATTTATGATTGATTTTATTTTTTTATAGAAGCTACTGATGTTTCTTTCTCGTCCTCTCGCTAAAATCTCAATTTTTATCTTATCGATATATCTAACATTATTTCACTTTTTTCCTTCGCTCATCTTTCACCCCACAATGAATGTCGAACCACGTCAATCAACAAAAAAGAAGAAAAAAAAATGCCACATTAAAATCACATAACAAGGCAATTTGGAAGTTCGTTGCACAAGTGCGAATAACGCTGTGAAATGGAAAACACGAACTTTGCAATTTTAATGAGGATAAGGCGGTTGGTTGGTTGGTTCGTTGATTTTTTCTTATTTCTCCTCGCTTCTCTTCTGCCGCGGAAATCGTTTTTCTCACACCAGACTTAAAAAACTTTTTCATGAAGTCAAACTTTTTCCTCTGGCTGAGCATAATAAATGGGAAAATAATAACTCGGGATTCAGATTCCCGAAGTAAAGAAAGTGATGCCAGAAACGGAATTCTTTGCTTTAAAATCTTGTGGAGAAATTCTTTAAAAGGAAATTGGCGGTTGTGGGAATAAAAATGACAAAAGTTCGATCTGAAATAATTCCGGAAGTAGGAGAAAGGTTTGAAATGAGGGAAGTAGAAAATATTTTAACTGAGAGTTGACTTCATATGAGAATGAATAAATTTACCAATTTTTTCATCTAGAACAATAAACTTCCCTTCATCAAAGAATGAAATCCATCAAACTCAAAGACGTTAACATTTCAGGTCATTATCTGATTACGAGCTCATAATTTATTCTGAGCATTCTCGTTGATTATTTAATGAATTTTTACCATCTTTTCGATCCGTTGTCGAATAAATTCTCGTCTCAGCTTTTACCCGTAAACGTCTCTTGGGATAATTGCCAATCGGCATCTTATCATCTTTCCCCTTTTGTCGTTCGCCGTTCTCTTCTCCGTTTGCCGATTAATTTCGTTTTCTGCGTGTGATGACTTGTTTACACGTGGGATGTATTAAATCCTAAAATTGTTCACCTACTTCGCTTTCATAAGACATTTACGAAGTAAAAGACGAGAGAAAAGGGGAAAAGATCCCGTTTCAGTTGCCGTCATGAAAAGTAAGAAGATAAAATTGCTCTGATCGAACTTTTCACCATCATCTGAGATGTGATTTATCGTGTGTACGAAAGAAAATATAAACCCCCGCACGCTGCCGTTCAGTGCCGTAATTTTCCCTCCGCTTCGTTCTTTCTGACAAACGTGCATAAAAAATATCATCATTCCCCGATGAAGAGAAGAGAACAAAATCCAGACATCAACCACAGTCTTTCGGATTTCTTTTTCTTTCTTTTCTTTCCTTTTTGCTCCCTCTTCATGTTCAGAAGATGAAAAGTGTAAATGGAATTCTTTTCTTTTTTCTTTTCTTTATTCTTTGCTCGCCTCGAAATGGGATTATCATTATTTTTCCACCCCATCAACCCGGTGAACTGTGCGATTGCCATGAGGTTGCATGGGAGTTAAAGGAAAAAAGCGAGAAATAATAACACACAAAAGCTTGATGGAGAAGAAATTTCCTGACTTCCTTCCCGGAATATTTTCATCGCTTTTCTCCTCCACCCTCGCAATCGAAACAATTTTCTAATCTATGTAGACAATCTTTCCTCCATGAGCACACAATGACTACTTAAACAGAATACCAAACATTTAACTTTACGTGTACACATTTTTGAAGCGCTCGATGTCTTTTCGTTCGTATTTCTTGTTCGTCTTTTTTTTTTATTGAAATTTTTTACAACTTTACGAGTTCGCGTGCCTCATTTCGATAAAACGATATGGTGAAAGACTCAACGTTGTTTTGAATTAATGTCAAAAAAAAGGTGTAAAAGCAGAACGAATTTCGTTCAAACAATGAATGCCTTGGATTATTTTAAGAATGATTTGACGCTGTTTATGACGCTCATATTTGAGGAAAGAATTTTGTGTGTGGGTGTTGTAAGCTTCCGTCTTGTCATGAATATTCTCTGAAGTTTCCGACACAAGACACCTGTCGCCTTTCCTTCTTATTGAACACTTCATTGTTGTTAAAAGGCGGTCGATTTTGTAAGTGACCTGATAGCAAATTTCCTTCACGCTTTTTGTGTTAAGAACGAAAAAAAAGGCAGTAGAAAAGCTTTAGGATGATGTTGAAATGCGAAACCTCCTTCATTCACTTGTTTTTCTTTCATTCTCTCGATTTTCGAAGAAACTTGATGAGCCTTGAGCAAAATAAAGCAGAAAACAAAGGAAGTGTAGGCGAATGAAAATGCACACGAAGACATCAACAATGCCACAAGAGATAAGACAAAAAACGGATATGAATCCTTTATGCCTTTGTCTTCTCATTCAGCCCACCTACAATTTCACACGCGCCTCACTGACAGCGAAAAAGCTAAAAGCTTTTCATCTTTCATACGGAATTTGCCATCCCCATTCCACTTTCCTTTTAACGGCTTTTCTTCGCGAAATATTTTGCCTTTGCGGAAGCTTTCGAAGCGAAAAGTGTGTCGATGATTTGAAGAAAGGATTACGGATGAAATGGTGGGAAGGGTGAAATAAAAAAAGAAGAAAAAGCAAGCGGAAAAACTTTTTCACAAAGGAAATTTTCCGTTTCTACAACCGACGCTTGTCGAACGAATTTTCATGATCTGAAAAGCTGTTTCTCCCACCACTTTTTTCATGCTTCTCTTTCACCATTGGGGTTAATGCGGAAAGCAGCAAGGATCATGACTTTCTTTCACCAAAGTCGACTTTGCGAAATGTGAAAACTCTTGGTGAAAAATAAAACTCACAGCTTTGATTTGACTTCATGAAATTTAAATGAGTGCGAGTCCGAATAACCTTTTTCTCTTTCTTTCTCACTCTTCGTATAATCTCCTTTCTTCTTTCCTAGTTGTGCTTATACTAAATCCCTGGGTCAAACGATAAAGGAAAAAAGTTTTCTTTCCATAAATCTCTTTCTCGTTTTATTTTTTCGTTCACGAAGTCGGTGCTGATTATACAAAATGTTATTTTGATAGTCGGATGAGAAAGAAGGAAAAAAAAATGGTGACGATAATACAAGCCCGCCAAGTGCGACATGAATGACAAGGGGATGAAGATAACAATCGCGGAGAATGTAATTTATTAGATGAATAGAAGAATTCTTATAGATTGGCGACATCATGGGATTCTCCTTAGATATCCTTGATGTGCGTAGGTTGACAAAACATTTTTTACGCAGAGTTTGAGAATTCTGTGAACAAGAAAATAATTTTAAGAAAATTTACGTAAATAAAACGTTTCATCGTCAACATCACGCTTAGATTTCAAAGAAATAATAACAAGTTTGAGCGTCAATATCAAATATACATCGCTAAAAATCTTTTCATGTTATGAAATTTCCTTCAAATTAAAACATTGAAAGGAAAAAATAATTATAGAAAATTTAATGATTCAACTTTTGTCACTTTACCATCAAAGTCATTTTATAAACTAAAATAAATCTCGTAGGGAAAACGATTTTCGTCATGTAACTTGTGATAGTAAGCTTACGACATGTTCCACAACACAATTTTCATTCAACGCTTTTCATTGAATTATTAAAATGAAAACTTGTTCTGCAAGCTCAAATTATATGCTATTCCATTGCCACTTCATTCTAGCAGTTCAGCATCGTTACTTTACGTTTCGATGCTCAATCTTTTCAGTCTTAACAACGGATGTCTCGCAAGTCAAACTTTCCTTATTTTTCCCCCGACACGCTCCGTTTTTTCTCTCTTTTTTTTATTATTCTTCTGTTCCTTTCCACTTTCTCGCTTCCGAAAAATGTCAACAATGTCTCTCGGCGATTAGCACAGAAGACATCGAAAACTTTGGACATTTTCAGAGACAGCAAGTAAAGCGGAAAACATTATCAAGAGTGTCCCAATAGTGAAGGGTGAGTAGAAAAGTCGCTTGTTAACTCCCAATGTGAAACGAAAACGAGTCGAAACGAGTTAAAAGCTAGAAGAAATTGTCTTCATCCCATGTGGCAATGCGGTGTGTTTGTTGTCATGTGTTTGTAGCTATGAAAATCGCTTCAATATAAAAGCATATTGTACAATGCTTTATTTTGCAAACTTCCAGCACATTAAATGGTAAGCTTGGCTCATGCTTGTTCTTTGTTCTCCTTCTCTTTATGCAATAACGCTACGAACGAAAACGACATCAACCCACATTGTCACCCACCACTCAAACCTTTTCTCTGTTTTCTCGACTGTCGGATGCCGTCGCTCTTCTACCCTTTTTACATTGTTTTCCTTGCTGCTTTTTCGGATAGTGGAAGCAGAGAAAAAAAAAATAAAGGAAAAATCATCGGTCGTCCATTCGAGAGCTTCACTAAACTTTATTTCATTCTTTTTTTTCTGTTCTTACCACACAATCATTTTTTTTTTTGTTCATGGCACAATCTCTTGTTCCTTTTTTTTTTGCCTCGCCTCGTATTTTGTATTTCCACACAATTTTTACAGCTCTTTGCTTTCGGTAGTCGGTATATGCTTCACTGTTGTCGCTTCCCTTTCCACTATCACCGAGTTGCTTTCACCACACAATACTGACTTGATCCCAACAGAACTCTGAACGAGGCAAAAAAAAATAAAATAAAAGAAGAGAAGAGAAAATTCCTCGCCTGCCACACTTATTTTCCCTTCTTCTTGTTGTTGTTATTGTTCGTGTGCTGCTCGTTCGTTTGCCCGACGATTACTTCTGGCTGTTGAATTGTGGGTGGCTTTGAATGGGGAGGTCGAGGGTTGGCATGATGATGGGAAAATTCTATTCCATAGAGCTATAATACTTTTCTTCTTTTTACGCTTTCGGGTAGATATTTCAGAAAGGCAGTCGAGAGACTCTGAACCATTTGAAATGGTGATGTGCACACAGGCGTTCGAATAGATACGACTCTCGAATGAGATTCATGTGGAATGGGAAGCGTGTGGGTGGTACAATAAGTGTGGGCGGTAGATGATTATGGCAGAGAACGGCAGCAGATGAAGACAAACCAAGAACGAAAGGTGGAATGAAATTTATGCTTCGGTTTTTTTTTCTTCTTCCCTCTGTCGTTTGTCTGTTTTGTTGGCTACTTCTGTTCTGTTCATCTTCTTGAAAAGCGCTCGCTTCGACTTTCGAGAAAATTAATTGTTTTTTAATGGGGAAAAAGTTTACGATCTTCTCACCGAAAGCTCCTTCATTCTCGATTAAAATCGTACAACATAAAAGCACAGCAAAATCCATAATTTTTTTCTGACTCGCTTTTCATGCCGTTTGCTTCGGTGTTATCGTTATTATCATTTTTTTGCCTTTTGCCTTTTTTTCTCCTTCATTGCTCTTGAACTCCTCAACTCAACATAAAACGTCCCGTCCCGCATGATATACACTAAAGCGGAGATTCATGGTGCTTTTCTTGTGGGATAGAAATAAGTACTCTAAAAATAAAACTCAAAACGTATCCCAACCTTATGATTGCGGATGAAAAAATAAAATACCAAGGAAAAGTTGAAAACAGCAGGCCAACATGAGTTCTAAGTAGAAATGTGAATTAATGGGATGATAAAAAATGAATGTGAATCTCATTCTCAACATTCAACTTAACCCATTCGAGCCAGAAGATTAAAGATTGGACAATAAAAAGGAAAAAAAGAGAAGATGAAGGAGAAGAGTCGAGCTTTGTATGATGCTGTGAGGATAATGCTTGAATATTTTTCATTGTACTTTCACAAAAAAAAATAAAATGTATAAAAAGGAAAGCTCCACTCACTGTGAGGGTGATTTCATTTTATTTCTTCTTCTTTATTTTCCTTTTTTTTTTTTGCTTAACCACAAATCACAATGCTTAGGTGACAACTTTCCCTTCCAACCCTTTTTTTTGTGTCAGATTAACGAGAAACTTTTTCATTTTTACATCTACTCAGACTCGAGATGCTAATTTATTTACAATTCTTTTCATTTTATGATTATAATGTTTATTGAAATATATCTCTTGATTAGACATTCACATGATATTCATAAGTTAAGAAGCTACAACATGAAGAAAGGAATTATTCATCTTACCACGGCCGCCATACATCATCTTCATCGTTTACAAAATTCTGTTGTTTATTCTCAAGATTTTCATCAGCCATCACGTCACGATAGGCGACTATCGCTGCTGTATGATGAATCGATTTATGTGTTGGATACGTGCGTTCGGAAGGATAATCGTAAATTTCCATCTTTGTTGAGAGTGGTGGGGGTGGTAGCGGTGGTGGCGATGTTGGCGACGTTGGCGAAACATTATGAGACGATGGTGATGATGTTGGGATGGATGACGCTAATGGACGTTCGTATGGTGCTTCGTAAATGACTTTATCACTGCCATTAACAACATTCTCCATAGCAAACTTATTCGAAGTTTGTTTGTCGTCATTTACATTGGTTTCAACCTTCTCGTCCACTTCATGATGATGAACATGGACGGTTGAAGGCAATGGCGAGGGTGCTTTTAAATCCTTCAATGTAATTGTGCTGGTGGCATTTTCTGCCTTATTTAATCCCCCCGACGTTGGGCTGCTTAGATTAAGAATCTTTTTATACATTTCCCATTCATTTGTGGTGTGAACAGGAATGTCTGCTGTTGTTGGGGGACTACTTGTCTGGAATTATAAAGAACAGAAAAGGCTTTCAATAAAACGACTTCGATGTTGGTGTAGAGGGTGGGTTGGTGATGGAGAGGTGTGAGTTTTAAAAGCAAAGAGTGTTCATTCATTAAGTGGGTGTGAACTCAGTATGAACAAGAAACTCCACAAAAGTGGTTAATTTAAGCATTTTAATTGTTTGCTGTGTTGTTTTTTTTTACTTCTTTTCTTCTCCTCCCCATCCCTTCTAACTTCGCTTACATTACTCATATTTAATTGTTGTTGTTGGTGCTGCTGCTGATGTTGTTGTCGTCTATTTAACTCAATGAGACTTTCAAAATCTGTTGTTGCTATTGTTGAGTTGAGGCCAAGGGCAGAGGCTAATTGCTGTACATAATTTTGCGGTCCAATTGTGGATGGAGAAGCGTTCAGATTTGAATCTTCACACAAAACTTGTTGTTGCTGTTGTTTTAAGGCGGCAGCGGCAGCAGCAGCAGCAGCACTCGCCTCCATCTAAATAAATAAATAAATAAAATAAAATATCTTTCTTAGTGGTTAGTCTTCTGTTGAGGAATGTATAGAAGGTTAGAGGAAAAGGTAGAAAGTCTAACAAAAGTTGGAAACCAAATGATATCTGTTCTTATTTTCAACCCTTGTCGGTTAAAAAAAAATTGTTGAAGACGCTACCCTCGAAAAAGAAGAGAAAGTCATAAAGTAATTTTCAATTGCGAGAAATCACGAATCATTAAGAATTCATCCCTCTGTCGCCCCTTGAGTTTATCTCTAAGCATAGCACACAAACTGAGATAACAGCAAAAGAAGTAGAAAACAAATTGAGCTCCCAAAATGGGGCAATTAATCATTTTCCTCCTTTTCTTGCTTTCTGTTTCTCTCTCGAGCGAGTAAAATACTAGCAAGTGCGCTTAACATGAACTGAATGTTAAATGCGCTACTCCATTCAACATTTTGAGGGTGGGATGTTATGTTATGTGGAATGGATGGAAACAGAAGTGTTTGTAGAAGAAGAGAATGAGAATGGGAGGATGGTGAATTGGTGGAGAAAAGCCAAAATACATTTTCCATTCTATTTACCGCAATTCGTTCCTTTTCAACAGATTTTATCATCGCTTTTTTCGGCGGCACCGGAGACTGAGCCACTGACTCATCACTCTTGTCAACAAATGATTTATTCCGTTTGCTGCTGGTAATTGCTTTGTTGGATGTTTTTTTGCTCGTTGCTTGATGTTTGTTCGTCGACGTCGATGTTGAGGACGATGATGGTGAGAAATTGTCGGGTGGCACTAACGTTGGTGTTGATGACGCTGAAGTGCTTTCACCATACATTCTTCCGTTGTTATTTTCATCTTGAACGGGTAGTGGGGGAGAATTGTTGACACTTTTACTCAAGTTTAGTGCACCATCTTGATTGATTTTGCTATAATCCAAAGGATTTATTGAGTCTTGACTGCAATCTGTTGTGTTTATAGTTGAAGGTGTACGAAGGTAATCTCGTGACATAAGTGAATGATCCTTTGTACCTGATGATATTTCAGTATCAATTTCAAGCACGCATGAGTCGAGATGACGTAGAAGTCTGGCTTTTGATCCCGGGTCACTTAAAGAGGGAACGGTAGCTGATGGAAGTGGTTCTGGTGTTGCAAGATAACGTGCAACTTCACGAGCACAATCAGAATATCCGGCACGATATTTGTTAATTTCCGGATTCTCAAGATTTCGATGTCTTTGAAATTCTCGTACAGTTATCTCAAGGATATCTGTTAATAATGAGTCAGTAAACAGTTAGAGAAATGAATTCTTTAAGTTCATTATCGAATCAATTTAATTATCATCACCTGCTTTTTCCAATTTCGAGTGCTTTTGTTTCTGCCCGTCGGCATTTTTTGTGCTCTTTGATGTCGATTCAACGATGAGTGCCTTCAAAACAGCCAAACTTTGATTAATCCTTGCTCGTCGTCTTTTCTCCATTAATGGTTTGTTGGCTCGCTTTGGTTCGTTATTTTCAATGCTCATTGTCTGGTTGCTTGTTGGCGCTAATTTTATGATCCCGCCTGATGAACATGAATAAAAATATAAAATAAATTTAAGCCACAAAGAATAAAACTTTAAGAAGATTAAAATCATTTACCAAGTTCAAATTTGTTCGCTTTGCTAGAATCCTTTTTTGCTGTCATATTTAGGATGTCTCGCTAAATGATGGTGTTGACACAAACGTCAAAACAAATAGTCAGCACGTTTTGCGTGCACAACTTTGTTTGATTAAATAAAAGCGAGGTGGTGGTCGAGTCGTTAGTGAAATTAAAAAGTTAGCACATTAGCACGTAACTGCAATATTTTTCTTTTTTTTTTTCTTGACTACACTTTACCAAACTTTCACGACACCACCTGATAATCAACACCAAAAATCACCATCGCAAATTTTATAATCGTTTTAAAGATTGAAATCGTAGCCACAAAGTTTTCTTTCTCTCACGTTTCCTTCCCTCCTTTTTTTATTACTCCGACGACACGCTTCCGCAGTATTATAAATATCCTCCTGGCACTCAACAATACGGCGACGGACAATTCACGTCGAGGTCGATGGGTGGGCGGCTTAAAAACTTTTCGTTTCCCTTCTCTCTTATTTCCGTTTTATATCGCCCCAAAGCGTTGTGCTTTTTTTTATTATTTTTTATCAGAAAGTTTTTATCTCCCCAAAAGAAATGTGAAGAAAATTTCCATAGTCGTCGTTTATTCGAATTATTTTTTTTTCCTTTCTCACAAAAGAACTAAACGAAGAGCATCAAAAACATTAAAAATTCCTTCACTTTTCCAAAAGTGTTTTATTATAATTTCACGATGTTGGTTAAGAAAAGACTTCTCGTCTAATTAATAATTATGTTCACTTTAACAAGGAACTCACGACACTTGAAATATTTTTCTTCCTTTTTAGGTACTCACTAACCGCTGCTAATGACCTTTCACACTTTATTGTCGTCGCACGCCAGTCACACATGCGACTTCACAGTTTCATCGTTTCAATTTCAAGTGTTAATGGATATTTCAGAAAAATAATCTAATTGTCTTCGTCAACGCGAAACGCGTGTGTATGTCAACACTTACAACAATACTGCGAGTTCTGATGATAAAAATATAATTAAAAAAAAGCGCAGTCAGAAAATTTTCACTCACTTGACAATGACAAAAGTCACACACAACATAAAAAAAAAAAGTTATTCCAGAATCATGTTAATATCATCCGTTTGTGGATATTCATTTTATCGTTCATCCCCTTCGTTGACACAACAAGCCGGATAATAAATTATTCTACAGCTTACGGAAAATGACGACAAAAAATATATTTCTATATGTATTTATTTTATAATTTTCACTTCACTCAGCCCTTCGCCTGATAAACGAACATCAAGCGACATATAGTAGAATGAAATGTTTCACCGACACCCCAATACGAAGTGAACGATATTCCTCGTTAATATTTCAACGTTGGCTGCACGACAAACACTGAATGTAGTCTACCGCTTGCTGCTTGCTTTTATATTTCATTCAATCAAAGTTTTCTGAGAGCACGTTCTCGACTGCGTACTGCTAAAAGCGTCGCATGGCAATTGTTTCACAACATCAACTGTCTTTATGGGAAGAAAGTTCATTCAAAAAGCCAATCCAGTGATAAAATGACTAAACAGCGCATGTCATAAAGTAGAACCAGTCGACCAAAATGAAATGTATGAAGAGTAAAATCGCAAAACATCGACTACATCGCAGGCCAACACACAGTAAAAGAAGAAAGAACAAACCCCAAAAAAGAAAAGAATAAAATAAAAGAGAAGCATAAAAAGAGATCTTGCTTCACGCCATGTGATGATAATAACTATCTACATAAGCTATAAACATTCGATACCGAAACACATCATGGCATTTGAACGTACGAACATGATTTCTCTAGTCGTATTTCGGGGTTATCGTGTGAATGAGAGAAATAAATATGAAGAAAAAAGTTTCCTTCAAATGCACTTAATGTGGATTATGCTTCGATGTTGTTTCCCATCAAATTGAAGTATTTTTTCTGTTGCTTTTTTTCCAAAAGGATTTTCTTTCCATTTAAAATATTTATTGACGACTTTTATGTTGTTCAGCACAATTATTATTATTTTTTCTCTTCCCTTAGAAAGTCAACTTCAGTGTTCAAATCCTTACAATGATAAAGCTTTCGTGCTTGTGTTTTCTTTTCTTTTCTTTTCTTTTTGATTTCCTATCTCTTCATATATATTCTGAACACATAGAAAGACAGTCAACCAGAGAAATCTCAAAATACTTGAATGGATAGACTGTCATCGAACAATGTTCTAGAATTCTTTTTCATGAAATATTCTCTGCTTTTTCAGATCGTATGTTGAGAACAAAATACAAGGGAGCTTACCACCAACTTGAAGCATGAGTAAGAGAATGAGAAAAAGCGAACGTTCTGGCACACGTTTGTATACTTTTATATCAACATCACATATAGCGCTTTTTTTTATTGTGCAAACGATGAAAATGTTCTCTATGGCATGAAAGGAAACTGTATGTGGAAATATATGACGATGTGAACCAAACAGAATGATTGGGATGAGGACATTGCATGGCTGAAACAAGTCGTACGTGTATGTAGAATAATAGTCGGAATATTGTTGGTTTTCAGATTTTTTTTTGCTGAGGGAGAAATGAAAGCACCAAGCACTTGAATTTATGGTGACGAATTGAATGTGTCTTTGGTATGAGGCACTCTCGGTATGTTCATCGCTAGCTGAGATGTTTTGGAATAGATTATAAGTGGAATATGAAACGACAACCCAACATCTTTCCCATTCTTCTTCTTCCTTCCCTACGTTCATCCGACAGCATAAAAAGGCATATAAATCATGTGATGTTTTAACATATTCCACATATTTTTCAAGCACATGAACGTTTCTACAACTTACAGATCATCTTTGCTACTTTCATCCCTTCTCCCATCTCAATTGTCGCCTCGTTTGAGACATTTCCTTTTCAGAATACGTAAGGAAGACGGAAAGGAAAGAAACACAAAAATGGAGATGAATAAGTTCAGAATCTGAATCTGCTTTTTGTTATAATAGGAAAAACTGAAAATGTGTTCGTCCTTTCGTTAGATATGTAACTTTAGGATCGTTCAGTCTTTTTATGATTTCTTAACTCAAAACGTGACATAACTTATAAACTTGTTCGCTTACATTAAGGGTGGTTTAAAGTTGAAAGCGATTAAATGATAAACATGTTTCTTATTCGTGCTTATAATAAAACCAGTGATTTTTCCTAGTGCTTCATTTGGAAAGGGCGAAAAGAAGCTTAAGACTTACAATAGAAACTTAGGCACGTTATATGTTAATGTCTGGCTACTTTACAAATTTTTGTTTGAAAGTAAGTCATTTACCGGAAATATTTTCTTTGTCATGTGAGATTATTTTTCATATAAGTTTTATGAACGGTAAAAATGCGTCACACTTAACGTGACGCTTTCCTAAAACTGCTAAATTTTGTGATGAAATTGAAAATATAAAATCAGAGGATTCATCATAAGAAACTAAGGTTTAATGCGTCAAAGCTGTCGTCACAAATAAGTTGGAATGACATGACACATACCTAAGATGCCACACTCATCTTTGTCGTTTTTTTTGATGTCATCCATTGTCCTTTGAGATTAAGTTGAGAAGGCACATGAAACAAAAGGAGATCTTATTCTATTCTTTTTACATTCATATTTCTTCACAGCCTGTCCTCAATCATTTCATGTCGTGTTGACAACGCTCTTCCATTCCACCTCACACTCCCCAAAAGTCATCAAGCTTCTTTTCAATCTCTGCTTCCTACGTAGAAAATAAATCGCTACATCTCAAACACAGCAAACCCATTCAATGTTCATTTTCTGTTTGCTCTCACTTCTGTGTCGGGTCATCAACTGCAAACATAATCATTTTACAGTTTTTCCAACAACTCATTCCAATGACGAAATCATCTCAAAAGAGAAAACAGACGGAGGGGGGGGGGGTTGATAAAGACACATTTCTATTATGTGGTCGCCAGCCCACAACTCAACCTCATTTAAAAAGAAGAAACTTGCCACTCAATTTAAGGATTTTTTTCCCTCCACCATCTTCAATTTCATTCTTTCAATTCAATGTTGAGGAAGCGATATGCATGCTCACTGTATAGTTTCAACTTGTTTTATGTAAAATAATTATTTTCATCATCCTTCTTCTTCCTCGCATTCACGCCCGCTAGGGATGACTGAGTATGGTGAGAATAGCGTCAAACACGATGATGAAGAGATGGAAATTATAATGCCATGTTAACGCTTTCCATACCCGAAAGAAATAATGAAAAAAAAGAGAAGAATGCGGAGAAAGCGATGCTGGATAAAAGCCATTTTATGGAACAGCAAAAATATCAACAAAGTAGATCCTTTTCGCCTTTCGCCTTGTTGAACAAAAAGCAGAGCATAGAAATTTTTTTTTTCCTTTTCGGTTTCGATGGAGAAAGTTTTTCCATTCAAGAAAAAAAATTTCCATCTCGACAACGATTGTATCTGCGAAGTGAAACCAACGAGAAAGCAGCAAAGTGGAATCGTATCTAAAGGCACGATACAGTTGGAATTGTATGAGACAGTCATCACCATCATACATGAAATAGAAAAGCTCTCGAGAACGAGCGATTCATGCTGTGCTTTCATGGTGAACATTTTTTTCTTTCCTTTTTTTATTTCCATTTTTCTATGGAAAATGAGAAAGTCCTTACATTCATTCGTCTCATCTATGTACACATTCGTTTTTATGTTCAGTGCCATTTGAAACGTTCTGCTCTGTTCTGTATAAATGCTTTTGCCATGTTGATGAAGAATACAGCAGCTTGCTTGTTTGCCATTCTGTAAAATTTGCAGATCGTTTCATGTCGTTAACGTATCCAAGCGTCTCATGCTGTTAGACAATAAAGTCGCATACGCTCTCGAAACATGACGATACGGATAAGAAGATTAATGATGTGGCTTTAAACTCAAAAGAGAGAGAGAATTAACATGTGACGCCATAAATAGATGTCTCCTAGGAAAGGAAAAATGAAAAGTTTTCTCTTGAAGGTTCAGCATACGAAAATCTACTTGGGGAAAAGTTGTGCTTACTGTTTTCATATGCTGTTGAAGTGAAGTGTGAGTAAACTAACATAACGGAAGCCATCCACAATGTGAACATGAAAATGATGAAAAACAAAAGCTTTCATCTCGACCTCAGAATTTAACGAAGGCAAATAATGTTGTTTGTTGTACACTGATAGTTTCACCTGATTGACGATGAGAAACGTTTCAGATAATAAAATGTTATAGCTTGGTTATCTTTAGCGTAAATAAAGGGTGAACTTTATGACTTTAACTTAAATTGGTTTGATCTTTACATTTTAGTGCACACTCTTACATACAGTGTCATGATTGAAGTGAAAATCCTTGTAAAGCTTCTTTTATACTTAGTTAGTCATAATGTGGAAGCTGCTTACATAATTTTCTCAGTTATTATGCTGCACTTTGCATCGTCAAAATAATTCAACATAATTTCCAGCTATATCACGTTTCTTTTGGAACATCGTCAGCTTTGAACATGTATCAAATGTTAAGGTGATGCTATTTATGCTAAATAATATAAAAAAAAGAAAAGAGAAGAGGATAAAATGTGTTCGTTCAGAAGCACATTACGAATGAAACGACAACGAGCTACTCAACGAAGATGTGAAAGGTTTTCAACATTGTATAATCAATTTATGAAGCTAGCATGGTGGTGGAAAGAGAAATGAACGATAGCTCGATAAGATAGCAAAGATGAAAATTCTCTGCACAGTGGAAAAGCCGGATGAAGAAACTCCGACAAATGTGGGGTTAAATGTAGATAGAAATTGTTCGTTGCAAACACAGCAGCGTCTCGTCTGCTGATGAGTAATGAGAATCAACTGAAACGAAGAGGGAGGTTGGGGTTGAGATTAATTGGTAAATTGTGCTATTACCACAAAAAGAATTCAGTGCTTTCATGCATGATGAAAATGTTCAACCCTTTCAACGAAAAATCTCAATAACTCACATCGTCTCTCCTCACACTCGGGCGATGTGCTGCCGTTGAGAATAAACTTCAACATGAATTTAATGTGACAGTGGAGAGAGTTAATATGAAAGGAGAGATACTTAGTATGCTTTCCTTTGCTATCTAGTAAAGCATACATGATGATACGAAAGTACAAAGAACAGTCTTGTGATGTTTTCCGCCTTTTGTTTCATCACCACACTCAAGTTCAGCCTTCTATTCTATCATCTTATACATCATTATCGGGTATGTAGATATAAGTCGAATAATCAGATCATATTCTAATGTTGAAAATGATTGTAGGGCAAACAAGAGGGTTTTGAAAATTGCTTTATCGAGCAAATATGAAAACCTTTCTTCTTTCAAATTGTAGGTTTTACTATAAAGTTTCCGGACAAAGTTGAGCAAATATTTCTTATGAAATTACGAAATTTAAATCATTCATCTGGAACTTTATTACTCAATCTCAATGGAGTAAATAAATCTTTTAAAACTTCTAATTGATGGTGAAACAAAATTTTGATTACTGCAAATTCAATTTTTTCTCTAAATATAAATTTGAGAGAAAGAAATTGTTGCAATTTTTTATCCTCAGTTTCTGTAACTGTTTACGAAACTTGTCAGTCAAGTTTACATTTTTGTGAAACAATCAATAGAAAATTAATTAACTAAATTTTTGCTTAAAGCAAATTGCTTGATTAAATTCTTTTTCAATTCAAACTACGTCAAAACAACCAGAAATTTCATTACAATATACAAGCAAGATCGAAACTGCCCACAAATAATATTTTCATCGATAAAAAATGAAGAAGAATAATAAAGAATAAATGGCAAGTTTTCAGAAAATATTTTGTCTGAAAATCCTCTTAGGAATCAATTTATAGTTGAAAGCTTTTCTACTTCATCATCATCATCTACTTATTCACTTATTCATTTAAATGTTGTATTAAATACTAATACAATATCAAATACTAATAAGCTTCGAAGTTGAAATTCACTCACTTACTGATTATACATAAACACCTACGATGTTTTTATTTACATTTATGTTTGATTGATATCAGACTTTCGCCCATTGATTATGTTCACCAGCATAAAAAATATTTGAGCATGCATATCTAGTCCTTAATCGCAACCTACACTTTAATTATGTTGTTTGATATTCAATCACACTCATATGTAATCTTAGAATCAGAAAATTTCAATACTAACATTGAACAACTCAAAGTATTTAATCAAAGATAATTCTCGCCAATCAATCACAAATAAAGTTCGTTTTTCAACAATGCTAAATCTGTTCATCGTCTCCCCAACCATTTTATTCATAATGTGTTAGCAGTCACCCATCATCGTAATCACCATCAAACTCATTCCGAAGAAATAAAAATTTCCATTTATAATTTACATTTGGCCAACGTTAAATAAGTGTGCTGTTTCGGTCTGCGTACATAAATTATTTTCCCCACTAGCATGTTGGTGAAACTATTATTGTTATAAAATAGGCATACTCGAAATCAGATAAATAGAACGATGGGATGAGTTGAATAGGCGAGTGTAAAAGCAATAGGCATTAATGACTGAGTATAAATTGTATACATAGCAACATACATATCCTCTGATGTGACAATTTCATGCTACTGTTGCCACTGTGCTGCTTCATTTTGCTGAAAAAGCGTTAATGTGAATGGTATGGCATGAGGCATGAGGCATCCGAAAAGTGCCTGTGATATCTCTATTTTATGGTTTATTTGTTGTTGTCATCCCATTCCGCTTGAAATTAGAGAATTCAAACCGTAACACCCTCATACAAAATCATTCTCACTCAAAAATATGCTTCAGACTTGACTTGACTCGACTCGACTTTCCGTACGTTGTTTTGTAGTTTTGAGCAAAGTTTATCGCTTTCATTCTCTTTGTATTTCTCACCATTGGATGTCATGGGATGAATCTTAACGAAGTCAAGTGCCAAAAGCACTCATAAATGTCCACAACGTAACTACCCGACACATCCCTTTCACCCACAGTTTATACATGAAATTCTCCATGATCTGTTATTGCTGCTTTTGTTATTCTCAACATTGTTAAATTCCATGGCAAAGCGTGTCTCTCTCAACGGAGGAAAAAATACCCGAATAAATGGGTATAAATTGTTGCTATAAATATACAAAAGCGACCCAATGTTCCATCTCCGCACCAACTGCGAATTTCTTCTTTTTTTGCACCCGTAGAATGTCAGAGGCACTCATGTCGTTACGCTACGATTCAACGTATTTTCGGTTTCGGGTTTTTTTCCTTTTTTCCCGTTAATGTATAATCCAGTTGGAAAATGTGATGTGTATGATAATGGGCACGCTGTGAACATGAGAGAGAGAAGCTGAAAGGAAAAGAGAGAGAAAATGCGACGCTTCGAGGAGTAACGAAGTGTGGGGATGAATTTTCCTCGTATAATTTAATGCTTTCCACGCTTTTCCGCCTCAAACCGTGCCTTGAAAGAAATAAAAGGAGGTGAGCGGTGAATTTTTCACTGTCGTCGTTTGTGTCGGCAATTTTGTGAAATTTTTTTCCACTGTTCGCCCGTTTCGCGTCGTTTTCGTTTCCCTCTGGTGCTTTATTCTCTGCCATTATACGCAATATTGTTTGTGCTTGTTGTTGAGTGGCGTGCTGCCTTATAAATAGAAAGCGCTTTTTGATAAGCTTATGGGAGGGGAAAATGTGCTATCGCACAAAGGAGAGCACAAAAAGGTTTTTTTGATGACGCGAAGGGTGACGCGTGTGATGCGTGGTTGGGGATTATAGAAATGATTTCAGAAGAATGTTCAAAGTCGATTCATGTTGTTTAGGAATAGCAACAAAGTGAATGATATTTTATGATTTTTAAGAATTTCTAGTGCTGACGCATGAATTTGATATTTTTAATATTTTATTTATTCATGACATTTAATTTTTTCTTTTGTATTCCCATCCATCAAACTTGTGTAGTCTTAAATTTGTTTCAAAGTTACAAAATTTACGAAAAGTCAAACGTTAATCTATTAAGATTTAATGCTTCCCATGTTTTAAACATACAAAAATTTGTTCGCATTAACAAAATCATCACGATTAAATAAAATGCAATCAAGCGACAAAAAGTGGACTACAATTTAAATTTATTTATGAATGGAAGTGAAGCAGAAGCTCGAGAATTAAAACCATATCATTTGCATGCATCTAAATGCTCTTTTAGCACATTTAATTGTTCATTCGGTGGTATTCAAATATAAAAAGCTTTTAAAAGCTTTTCCGGTAATAAAACTTCTCAAATTGTGAGCTTTTAAACACACGTATTTGTTTTTCATTCAATGTTTTTGCACATGGGATTCATTGTGAACTTTTCATTTATTCTTTTAAATCATTAACTCTCTGTTTTGCATTTTATATCATTGAGTAATAAATTATAATAATTCTAAATTGACATGAAAATTTTAGAGCTTAATTTGCCGAGAAACAAGAAACCCTAAAATAATTGTTCAGCGTCGTTCATTTTCATTATGTTTAATCTTCTTATTCGTTTCTTAATAAGAAAAATATTTACCGCCACTGGCACAACCGTGCGATCAAGTCCAACACATATGAAAGTTTATTTGTATATAAAAATATTTCACTGCAAAGAAGAATAAATCTGAAGTTAAGAAGAGAGAGAGAGCGCAACAAGTTAGTCTTACTTCAACAGCTAACGAAATAAGTTGTTATTTCATCCGATTCAAAGAGTTTACTTTCTTGTTTTGATTGTTCGGCACGGAACTAATGAAAATTTTTGCACAAGAAAAAAGAAAAGAATTATTTGTATCGATATAGTCAAAGTTTTGTATCTCAAACTTGGTCGCAAAAATAGTTCATTTGACGTTCCGTTCGCGAAGAATAAAAGAGAAACTGTTGTGCCAACTGTTGAACGAAAATAAAAAGAAGTAAAAAAAGTTTAAGGAAAAGTTTTCTCATTGAAAGTGCTAAAAAAGGTAAAAAAAGAATCTGAATCGAGACGAATAGTGAAGAAGAAGTTAAAAAAAAATAATTTCGAAAAAATGTGTATGAATAACAGTTAGGCGTTCTTCTCTCAAGTGACTGTTGCTGTTTCAACATGAAAGATAAAACTATGGAAGATGTCAATAACACGTTGACTTATGCGCCGTTTGCTTTCATTAGAACGTGAAATAATTCATGACAAAAACTAAGTGCGTTGGATGTCACGAGTGCCACCGTTTTCTGTCATATAAATGGCGTTGATTTATTGTGACTTTAAAAGTCATAAAAAGACGTGAAAACAATTTCGTTTATTCGCGAGGCTCATGTTACAAATGAAGCATATTGTTTCTTCAAACATTGTTTCCTTTCGTAATTCGTTTGGAATAAAATAAAAATTGTTAAATTGTTGGTCATAATATCGCCCCAGCAATCAGCTCGATTCAACGATTCGTGCAGAAAAATAAAAATAAAACAGAACAGTGAATAGAGGAAAAAAAAAGAAATAAATGAAAAATTAAAACAACGCGACCGACCAGACTCTCGGAACGGCAAAAAAAATCGGTGTGTTTGTCTCTTAGATAGTCTCGTTTGTGTGCTTCTTTTGGAAAGCTCTGCCAATGATGTAAAATTCAAAAATATTTAAGTCTGTAACTTCCCGTTTACTATTAAAAAATTTCAATCATTTCAATCGGACAGAGTCTTTATTTCCTGATTTATTTATTCAGAGACCAACATGACATGACGTTACTTCCATTGTATTCCTAAACACACAATAAAGTATAAAAATTTATGAACATTTCTTTACCGATGCGAGTAAAGTTGTTTTGGCTATAAAAGGAAATTCGGAGGTCAATAAAATGTTTGAAAGAGAAGAGAATGGAAAAATAACATGAGCCAACAACAAACATTATTTTAAATGGTCAATTGAGAATCTTTATGAGTTTCCTCTTGTCGTTACTGCATTCCCTGAGATATTTTATACGTCGGATGTTAAACAGGGTTGAAAATGATAACAGAATGTCACAATGGTGTTGGAATAGAGAACGAATAAAACTTTGTATTGCAGATTGCAAGTTTCTATATGCTCTCTTATTCATTCATCGTCAGCTACGGTAGTTCTGACCCATGTACAGTTATCGATGATTCCAATTGCAATCATTTCAACTTTAACACTTGAGCAGATTTTCATTTACCATCTCGAATTAAGAGTCAACCCATTCAGCAATCGAACAAGCATTTCATATACTGGGGAAATATTTTTATTAACATTTTTTTTTTCTTTTTCTTTCCATTAACTTTTTTGTCTCTGCTTTGGTTGGATGGCGTAGGCAGATCATCTCAATATTGTGAGTTGACTGTAAGCTGGGGTTAGGGAACTAATGCACAGTTGTAGCTTAAGCAAAAGCTGCTTATAAGTATATGTATGAAGTTTTCCCGGAAGAATTTTAAATTATAATTTCATCATTAATCTGAGATTATTTTAATTCAAGACAGTAGTGCAAAAAGTGAACACCACTGATGAATAAATATTCTTCAAAATCTCATCGTGTTTAAATTCAGAAGACAATTTTCATGAAAGAATAAAAAAAGATTATTTAAAAAAATAGAAAATCATCTCACTTAAATAAATTGGAAATCAAAATGATAGTCAAATATTCAAATTTAAAGTTCGAAAATCTCTCGAGATTATTTAAAAATGATTCATCTGTGTGTTGAGTTCACGTTGAGGTATTTCCTTGTGTTCATTCTGACTAAGTTTTTTTTCTCGTCATTTTCTTCTTCTTTATTGATCTGATGTCATCGATTGATGTCGTGCAAGAGTCATCGATGCAATTCTTGTTTTCACTTCAGTGATTAAGTTTACATAAATTTTGTGTAATCAAAGAATTGAAGAAACCAAAAGTCGCACTCAAAACTGATCGAGATTTTTACTGTCGATTTTTATATTTCTCTCAATTTTGGTTTGTCTGAAAATTGCTTTTTTATGGCTCAACAAATGCCAAAGCCATGCAACGCTAAAAGAATATAGAAATATAAAATTTTTTCTCGCTTTTTGACACAATGAGCCTTACCTATCTGGTTGTAACCATTTTTGGAAGTTTAAAGTTTTCTGGTATGTAGTCGAGTGTGTAATGTTTATTTCTCTTTTATTCGGTTCATTCAAATTGCTCGAAATTGTATGCTCAACTTACTGATATATTTGTGTCTATATTCGTTGCTTTACGAAGATTGAGTGAGTGGATGGTTGACACCGACTCAAAACTAATTAATAAAAGTCACGAAAATTGAAGAAATGAATTTTCTTCGTTTTCCACTAACGTGAGCTTTCATTTTGCAATATAATTAATACAGTTTGTGAGCATAAATACTTCTCATAAATTGTTTCAACGTCTTCAAAAAAAAAAATCAAAAATTAATTTGTTTGCATTTTCCTTGGGTTTTGGACTTTAGTTTTAATTCAACAGTCAAGCATATTGACGCCAAAAAAGGGATTTGAAAACACAAAACTTAAATCGCTTTGTTAATAAAAGCTAACAACATCTTTATGTGCAGAGCAAATGGATTCAGTTTTAATTTAATTATTGTGAAGCAGTGAAAAGTATTAATGGTTGCCATTTTTTTTTCTGCTGATTGTTTGTGTTTGCTTCCACTTTGTACTGCTTATATTCTGCTGATTTTTTAAACACGACAATGGAGATCTGCTGATGATGATGAAATCACATAATAAACTTAACGATTGTCCCTGAATGTGAATCTCGTAAATCTTTTTTTAAATGAAAAGAAGTAAAAAATGTTTTACGGTCGATCATGACACCAATTGATCATTGAATCGAATGAAAATCGAAGCTTTCTGTAGACTCCTTGGGGACTTTTTGAGTATCCACACACGCATTTGCTAATAACGGTGCTATTTTGCAACTCACTCCTCTTCACAATGCATCGCAGACAGAGACAGAGAAGAAAACATTTAACTATTGAAACTGTTAGCATTGTTTGATTAGAAATTCAAATATCGCTGTGTAGTCTGAACAAAAACAATTTACTTATTCTCTTAATCATCACTCTCTGTTATGTCTTATTCCAATAAACATGAACATAAAAAATCAACAGAATAAAAAGTCAGTAGTCATCTTGTTCATGCGAAACGGCAATTGATGGGAGGATTGTAAGAAGGAGCACAGAAATGCCACTTGAGAGAAGATGTTAATTAACATCATACACAATGAAACTCAATTAATTTTTTTTCGTGTTTAAATATATTTACTGATTTAAAATTATCATCGCGTAAAGTTCTAACGATTTCATAGGCACACACAATGGAAGTCGTCGCGTTAAATGGCAGTAATAACAGTGCACCATTCAAGCGCGAAGTTCATGAGTGGCAGCATATTGATGCAAAAACCGGAGCATTGCTAAGTGGACGTTTAGAAGCCGATCGATATGTTAATGGAAACACAAATAAATACGGAAAGGTGAGAGAAATGTTATTTATGTTCATGAAGTGTAATCAAAGAACAGTAATGTTCAAATATTTTTATTTTATGCTTGCACCTGAAGCAAAAACTATTTAAAGTTCAATTGAATGAGTGAATGCAACGAATAATTTATCAAGAATCAAGTTACAAGGCGATGTGTCTTAAAGAAATGTGTTCAAATATTAACATTCTCCATCGTCATCATCATAATGAAATCAGTAGCAAAAGATTGATTCAGTTTGTTGCCATTCAACCGTCCGTTGAATTGGAAGCGTCTTATTGATTATCAAACTGTTGAATCAAATTTCTAACTTTCCAAAATCGCTTCACATTTGTGTTTAATGTGCCGTTTGCAACTCCGACAACAAGTAAGCAGAATATCCACAGCAGTTTAGTAATTTGTAATTAAATTTTAGTTCGCATTTGCGTTTGCCGTGCTCTTATGGTCTGTTAATTCTCAACAAGCGCTCATAAATTTTGGGTGTGCGAATGATGGGAAGCGAAAAGAAAAACAAGAAAACTTTCACAAAACTAATTGAACTTAAAAACAATTAAATGCTTTTTTATTATGTTTTGGAAAATCTTTCAATAGTAATTTCTTTTATAAAAATATTTTACTGTCATGCGAGAAATGTAAGTAGTTTAGCTCACGTAATTGACAGTCCATTACATAATTGTGTGTTTAATTTTAATTGTAAGTTACTCTCGTAATAATTATAGATTAAAGTGAAACTAGATAAATCATATAAATATTGAAAAGTGAAGTTTAACATCAATTAAAATCTATTTAGATAGATATAGACTGTTGAAGTTGTAAAAGATGGAAAGATCAACGTGATGTTTGTACTAGAAGTCTACGTGCTTCCATTATCAATATCGCTGACGTTATTTTAGAATTGAACCGAGAAATTCCCATAGTACGTGTCATATAATAACAGACATTAATTCTTTATGCAAACTAATTCATGATGAAGTTTATCTAAGCTTTTAGCAAGTATCGAAAATATATTATAAATTTAATAGATATTTAATGTTGGTAATTTCATTTTTTACGTCATATATTGCTGCAACATGTTACAAGATTTATTGGAAAATTAGTGAAGTGCGCCTTGAATTCTATGACAAAATAGCTTGAGAATCATTCATGTTGCTTCCAAATGTCTAAAGTTACAATTTTGTAGTCCGCTACTTATCTAATCCGATTATTGTCTTATTCAGTTATGAGCATCATGGCTCGTATTTTAATGTTTTAATATTTGATTAACATTTTTTTTCACCCGCGTTAATTTAATAAACCGAAATTAGAAAAATTTAAATCTGCATTTAAATTATGTTGGATAAGACATTTTGAAAGCTAATCAACTTTTTATTTTCAATTCCCACAATGTTTACATTTTATTATTATATTTTTCTAATTTTGATTTGTACATATTTTCATTTCATTAATCTCGTATCTTGTTCACAGTTTGAATTTAGCACATTTGTGCAACTCCACACGTTCATGTCTAAATTATGGTAAATTAAAATTTATTGAAGCTTAATATCCGTGGGCTTAATTAGCAATTTTAAAAAAGGTAAAGCCAAATGATTTTCAGCAAAACCAAAATGAACATTTGGTCTAACGAGTGATTCGTTGATTTGCTCGTTCAAAGAGAGAAATTGTGTGCAACATTGCGAGAAGATTTGCCTGCTTAAACACTGAGCACCATCCAATTATAACCACCGACAATTTGTACTGTTAAATCGAAATCATTATCAAAAGTAATTTGCGGTGGGAAAATGCGCGCGGCAACGTGTGGAATAAATTTTAGAAATATAAAAATCATCATAGTAAGTTGACTGAAAGGAAATTTCAAAGTGGAAGAAAACATGAAAAATTGACTTTGTGGGTTGCAAAGCACCAGATGATTAACATCACCACTGATTACATTATAGTAAAGAGAGAAGTGAGCCGAATCAAGATTTGAAGTTGAGGCTTGTTTGTGTACCACGCTATGAAAACAAAATAAAGTTTCAAAATGTTTTAAGCAATTTTCCAAGAAATGAAAATCCCCCGCCAAGAGAGAAGAAAATCTGCAACATTCTTCATTTCTCTTATTACATGTTGCTGTTGATTACGTTGACGTTTAATCAACGAGCTTGACGAAATTCCTTTATTATTCAAGTATTGAATGAATGCGATTACGCGAAATTGCTGAAAAACTTTTCTTGACATAATTTATCGCCAGCCACGTTCGTCATTGAAAAAAAAAGTGTAAGAGTTGCAGAAAATGACACATTTCAATGGTTTCATTACACGATATATTTTTTTTCATAAACCTTGCAGATTTCTGTAAGTTTTTTAATCTTTCGTCAAGTGGTGCGTAACTCTTATGAAAGTTCGTTGTACGGACTTTAATGTTAATTAAAAACAAACACAAAATGGGAAAAAAATGATCTGACAAAAAAGCTTTTAAATTGAAGAAGAAAAAATTATCGTCAAGGGATGTTCGTGAGTTATGTCAGTGTAAATTTAATGCAATTCAATTCATGAGTTGTGCAATGAAATGTTGGATGTTAATTGAATTTACTTAAGCATGACAAACTTTGTTAACTGTCCCAAACTTATAGATGAATTATTAATAATCAACTTCTTAAGAACGAATGCGAATAGAGAAATAAAGAGACAAGAAAATGTAGATAAATTCCACCCACAATCAATTCCTTCGAAACAACCACAAAAAAGAGGAGAATTAATTTAACGTCTGAAAGAGACGTCAAAGCAGTGAAGCAAAAAAGCGGATTCAAGTTTTCCTTCCATCTCTTATGTGCTGCTTTCGCGTCTCAAAAATAATTCTGGAAACTACCATTTTTGGAAATTCAAGACAAGTTCTTGTTTTACATGTTTAATTTATTTAATATTATTGAAAAGCTGAAACTGCATGATCCCTTTTTCTTCATCTTTCTTAACAGAGTGTATCGCAAAACATTCGGACATCAGACGGAGTTCACTCGCAACATAAGCAAATGAACATTCTCCAAACAATAACGTCGAACGGTAATGCCCTTCAAGTCATTCAAGCACAAACTGTTCGAAAATCATCGTCCAATCGTGCGATAACATCAACCACATATTCGTCACAATTTAGCAGTAATTTTAGTAACGGACACGGTTCATTTTCGCCAGGTCATCATGTGAATAGTGATTTATTGGTGAGATTAATTAACGAGTTGCGCGATCATTTGATTGATCTCTATTTTTCCTACCACTCACTCGCATGTATAATACTTACATACATGCACGAAACAAAACAAAAATCTCAATTAATAGTCCATCAACCCACGTCCTTTGCTTCACCATGAAACAGCACCAAGATTGAAGGCTTTACTCTCGTCGTCGTCGTCGACATCACCATCGCATCTAATGGCACTTGGTTCTTCATCAGCATCAACCGACAACACCTCACATCGAAAAAATCATTTATTTCATCATGCGAATAATGACATGAATCAGAACTTCGTGGGCATAGAACAGTCGCGACAACAACAACTAAACGAGATGCTGTATGGCAGTAATAAAGAAAGGTGAGGGATTTTGTTTTTTTTTTTATTTTAACTTTATTATTTGTTGAAGTCTTTGTTATAATTTTTTTTATTTCTATTCTCTCGCGTGTGCGCCACTTCATTGTTTAACAGCACATTGCAAAATCTAAAGTTCTCTTTCTCTCGTTAAATAAACTTTAATCTCTCGCAGTCGAAGCAAAAGAAAATCAATTCTGCGTGAAATGTCGATTGCACACACTTCATACCGTCTGGTGCAGGCAGTTGAAAATCATTCTTCACAACGCGAGGTTTTATATCCAAAATCGTCAAAGCATTAAAGTTTTTTTTTCATTCATTCATTCATTCTTTTAATCGACGTTAACTTCACCTCGAAAAAATAAATTAAATAAAATTGTGATTTCATTTAATGGAAACATTTTTGTGCGATTGTGTAACGTGCGAAACTAAATCGGAAAGGAAACATTAATAATTAATAGACAGCTGCAAGTTTGAAGTGTTGTGACTTACATTAAACATTAAACGAACGAAAATATTTGCGAACTTTTATAATAACTTATTTATAAAATTACCTACTTCAAATTATTTTCCATAAAAGTTTTAAAGGTGAAAACAATAACTGAAGTTAATTAAATTAAATTGAAGGACGTGGCTTTAAAATTGTTTTATAACGAAACGGAACTAATCAGAACTTTTTGTAAGCAACAACTTCGAGTCATCATTATTTTTACGTTATCTTGAGATATTAACAGCTGACAAGGTTGACAAAGTGATAACTCATAGTGCATGCGTTCAACAGAGAGACTTCACTGTCTTTGTGTTGTTGTCATTACTCAAAGAATTCTCAGTAAGCAACGTAATTGCTTTACATATCTCATTTTTTAAAATAATATTGTCACAAGCAGATACAAAGATTTTAGTCTGAAAGAGAAAAAAAATTTCTGTGTCAAAATTCACGCAAGTTTTCGGATATTTTTTTAACTTAAACTTCACTTTATGGTTTGGTATATATTTAAAAAAACAAATAACCTTAGAGGACAGACAAAAAGCTTTTTGCACACACAATTACCATAACAAAAAACAAAAAACGTTTTACTTGAATCTTTTCTTCATCTCTTTTCAATTTCAATTGCTTGTCTAAACCTTAACACATCACACGACGTCGACAAATCTGCAAATCTAAACAGTTTCAATTTACGTGGGCGAAGTGCATCAATAGAAGACCTTACAAATATCGACGAGAGTAGTTTTGATGGTGATGTTGAACCATGCGAGTGGAAACGCGTAAGTAAAATAAGAAGATCACTTCAGTTTCCAAAGACATCTGAGACGAGAAGGTGAGTCTATTTGATTTATTACTTTTAGTTAGTCAGTTGATGGTGTCGGATGTCTTTCAACAAAACTTATCTTGATTTATTTTATTTAATTGTCTTTTTATTTTGTTTCCTCTCTGGTTAATAAAGATTTTACACGCGTCCACCTGATTTGCCTGAAAATTCAGTCAACGTGTTGAAGATTAAACAGGATATTGAAAATATTGAGAATAGTCGACGTTTGAACACAGCTATGAAGAATAATCACGTAGATTTTGTTGCCCTCGACAGTATTCTTAAAGAAAGTTCATTAAATTCTCAACATGACGATGATGATGATAAGAAAGATGAAACAAAGGATTCAAATTGCATTACTGCTGACTCACTTAAAGAAATCAGAAGACGATTGAAGAAACTTAATAACGAGACTGACCTTTATAAAGACGATGAACATAAAATGCTTGAACAAAATTGTAAGAGTTTAGAATTGAAACGCAATCGTGAACGTGACACAACATCTGATGATTGGCTTAACCGAAGGAAATCTTATGGTTTTGAAAAGATGCACCATCAACCCACAGAAACTTTTGGTGGCATTGAATCATCAACTGATAGCGGCTTAGGCCGCTCAAGTGACTTATCGTCAAATTGGTCACCGACTGTCGACACACAACGAACAATTATCACTTTCGGTGATCGCACAAAACCAGCGACAACATCAATTTCATTGTTCAGTAATCCGATATCTCAAGACACTGCTAAGCCGGTTCCAATGAGGCGTTCGACCGAAAAGAAAGAAGAGTTAAAACGACACTCGATCGCCGTCGATGAAAGTCGCTACGTTGACGATCAATATCGAAGTTCAAACGATCGTAAAATTTCGCTTGTGAATCTAAATATTGAACGACCATCATCAAATGAAGGCTTCTTGGACGATAACCGTCGGCACAAGAAAGTGGAATTTTGTAAAACAGAAATTCATTTTGCGGCTGATTCAGGTCGTGTAAACATCGTCGAGACGGACGGTAAGCCACCGCCGACAAGTAACTTTAGAAGACGTAAACGAACACCTGGAGCATACATCGATGAAACGGAATCAATTTTCAACGAAGAAAGCAGAAACTCGGAAAGTCCTTTAATGGAAATAGGTCAAAGTAATGTAACGACGACAATTGGAAATGTGTTTGGAACATCTCGCGATGATGACACTGATGATGGTACGTCTGAAGATAGCTCATTACGGGGAATATTAAAGAACAAGGTAATGAAACCAAAGCCTTATCATCTTGGTGAAAACATGGACGCAAACTTATGGGGCATTCGATTAAAACCGGTTGAAAATCAACACGCAAAATGGAGACATTCAGCTGACTTTGATTCTGTTGTAACAAAAAAGTCGTCGATAGACGACACACTTGAAATGGAATTGGAGTTTAAGAACCTGGTTAAAGCGATTGACGACACACCGAGTCAATATCAATCGACTGTCACAAATAACAACGGATATTCGACGAAGATTAATCTTTCTGCTACGCCTACATCCCATCAAACAGCATCATCAACTAACAAAGGTGAGCGAGTTCAGCATAATTATTATGCTAATTAATGTTCATTGTGGGAGATGAACTGTGGATGGTTTTTTGTACATTTATTATTCTTGGTGAAGGATTTTTTTCATCTTTTTTTAAATGGTAATTAGCGAATTGTTGCTGCATGGAATGGACAATAATAACTTTAAAGATTGACATGATTTATTGACTTTGTCACTCTTAAAAATATTTTAGATCATTTAAATATGTTTGTTGATCGATTGATCACTTTGCATGTGAGTGACAAAGTCAAGAAATTAGCTTTTCTACTTTATTTAACAACTTACTATTTGTAAAAATCATAAATGAAAAAAAAGACAAAAAAGAAACTGTAAAAAAACAAAATTCCAGACACATTTGCACCATCTTCATCATCTTTATTATCTTCTGCCCACAAATCATCGACCTTCACGAGTTTCACCGACTCAAGAGCGACCAACGGAAACGAGACATTCAAAGATAAAGATCAGCAACAACCGAGAGGCCATAAAATATCCATTGACTTAAAGCTACCACATCCAAGCTCTATCGACACTATAATGGATGAATTAAAATCAACGAGTTTAATTATAAAAACGATGAAATCAACAAGTTATTTTGACGACGCAATGCGGCATCTTGAGCAAGAGAGTCCATTAATAAGAACATCATCTTTAAGACTTAATCAAGATTCACTACCGAAATCAAGTAGCACGAGTATGATGTATCGTAAGCAACAACAATATCAGCCGGAAAAAGCACAACGCGTGAAATATTCGTCATCGCTTGATGGCGATCATGGAATTTTGGATAGTCACAACAGGGAAGATGATTTTGGATTTCTTAATGGATTTCTCGAAGAAAATCGAAAGTTTCAGTTGTCGATTGCGGAGAAAGAGCGGAAATCCCCACAGCAACAGCGTGATATTTATAAGCCTATCGCTGCTCCACGTTTGAAGAAAATTATGAATCCTAACATTCAATTGAGTCAGCAGTTGTCACAACTTAAACATCTTTACGACAATGCAAATGACAGTGATGATAACGCAAAAGCGGACGAAGAAGTGAAATCGTATTTAGGGAAACATGATGAAGAGAGGTCGAGTGAATTGTCGGGTAGTTGGAGTCGTGTAAGAGTCAAAAAAATCGCAAGCGCATTTCAATCATCGTTGGAAAACACCGAAAAATGGCCGAAAGGTACGTTGCTATTACAACAAAACAACCCTCGGTCACTCACTCACTCATGTAAAAAGAATCTCAACTCTTTGATACCTTTAACAATTTTAATTATGTAATTATTTTATGTACAGATATCACAAATTGTACAAAAGAATTTTATTTAGACAATAAGTCGTTTATCAAAAATTTTGATATTTTAAATTGAATTATTTTCTTCTCAACAGTTCCATTGACATCGCTCTACGAGCATTCAACATCAAAGACAATTGAAGCATCTCCTAGAACAAGTCTCATTCAAATAGGAACGGACAATAACAAAAGCCACAACAATCTCTACAGTAACGTCACAACATCAAATAAACCACAGGAAAATTCCGTGAAAGGTAAAGTTAATTAATTGGCAGTCATCATTGTTTCTCTATTATTCAATTCAACTTAACTTTCCAGTTAATATTCAAAATTTTGAAACTCGATCGCCAGCATTGTCACGCAATAATTCACTTCGAATTAAGAAAGATGACACAAGCACGCAGCAAAAACTCTCAACAGGCACGCGACAACTGCGCGAACATGAATTGACTTATTTCGGTGTTCAAAGTAATAAGCCAACGACCACGACTGACTCGAAAACATTTGCACATTTATCGACAAGCAAATTATTATCATCAACATCATCATCGACAATTATTAATTCATCATTGAAATCGTCATTTACTAACCCAATAGTTCAACAATCAGTGATTGCTGTTAATCATCAGAAACAGATAAGTGAAAAGCCTGATTTGATTATGCATCATAATCATCAACCTTCGACACCTGAACTGACAACATCGGAGAAGAAATCAATGTTGGAGACACTCGATAGTTGCATTGATGAAACAAAAAATCTCGAGCCACTCTATGAAAATCTTTATCACAATCAAAAATCAAAATATGATCGTAAAACTGATCTCGCTAGAGACGAAAAGATTTTAAGTGAGTTGACTCGAGCGGCAGATGAAATCATGAATGTAAGTTGAGATAAAAGTTTAAACGGTCACGCTCTGATGTTTTACAACATGTTTCTTCTTTTTTCTCTCTTTTTTCGTAACTTACCAGACATGCAAGGAGATGTACCATGCTGATAGTGAAGAGAAAAGGCGTAAATCACTGCTGGGTAACAACACAACATGTCTCGAGACAATTAGTGAAGGACGGCAACCTCAGCGTGGTGCAATAGTCGAAAGTCAACAACAGAAAATAATGAAGTCGAAAGGCGTTCAAGTATCAAGAAATTTCGAAGATAGTTTAAGACGATACAATCCAGCGCCACAAAGAAGTAAGATTTAAATGAATACCATCACTTGATATAAATTTTAATTTTCTGATTGTATTATTATGAAGCATCATCACAATCATCGCTTGACAGTCTCCCACGCAATTCAAAAGTTTCGTCCTTGTCATCAACAGCAAGCCGATCGAAAACGAAGACAACAAAGAGTAGTGAATCAAACGTCTCAACAACGATGTCGTCATCAAAATCATCGACAAGTAAGAAACGTGAAAATGGATTCAACAGTGATGGTTCAAAGAATCGAATTCAACGCGTAAGCAGTCGTGAAAGAATGCAACAATCAAATGCAAGCTCTTCTGAAGATCTTCCAAATTCATCATCTGAAGCACCGAGAAGACCGAGACGAACGAAAGTCTTAAAACATAAGGATGAGAATGGAAAAGACGAGAAGAGAACGTCTCGATTAACGCGTTCAACAGAGTCAAGTTTAAGAAGATCAGCAAGAGGTGAACAACATGGACATAGCAAAGGTAAGTAAGACGAAGAAAAACTTTAAAATTTAAATTTTTCTCATGTTGAGAATCTTTCCAGTTTCGAACGAAACTAAAGTCCGATCATCAACAACAACAAAATCGTCAGTTTTGAACTCATTGTCATCAACAGGAACTCATCCTACTGCAGCAACACCGACAACGTATGTATCTGAAACAGTGATGATTCCACCGCGTCGAAAAAATTATCGAAGACGTAAAGTGATTCGAAGAAATTCGTCACTTAAATCTAAATCGAGAACCCCAACGAAACGAATCAGCCGACAGACGAGGCGGACTCAATTAGAATCGTGTATTTGTTCATAGCGCTTTTTATGTTTATTTGTTTCATTTCGTACGCACGCAATGCAAAAAAAATCATTTCCTTGTCTTCCTTTTGACACAAAAAAATTGCACAAGAATCTCCTACCATCCACCCACCTACCCACATTTCTGCACTGTTTTATTTTACCTTAATTGTTGCGGCGACGAGAGAAATTTGGTTTCTGACAACTTCGAGGTAGATAACATTTTCACAATTACGCAATTTTTATTATTTTTTGCTTTAGATATTTTTTTTTATTCACGCTTCTAAAACATAAAAAATTGATGAAAATTAATTTTCATCTAGTTTAGTTCTTCATAGCTAATTTTAAAAGTTTTCTTCATCCGTCAGAATAGATAATGTTGAAGGTTAACTAAACAGTAAAGCAGAACATGAATTGGAATCATCAGATAAATTTTTAAAAACGATCATCATACATCGCAACATAATTTCATATTTTCATAATCATTTCAGTAGATGTTTGAATGATTTCATCTTTCTGGGGGTATTTGTAGCGGAAATTGCAATCTTTTGGAACAAAGTCATTGACAAATTAATCTTTTTTTGGTGTTAACTAAATTAATACTAACGCAAACAATAATATCAAATTATGTTGATTGATCTCAACAGATTGCAAACTTCACAGCGGGAAGTTTTCTTAATCTTCTAATTAGTTAGTCGTTTTTTAATTAATCTTCTTTGCTCTCAAAAAAAAAAGCCTCACCGGTAGTGTAATGTTGGTAATTTCATTGATGAAAGTAGATTAAAACCGAAATTAATTTAAGATCTTTAATCATAGATTATTAATAATTATATTGTTTGTTATTTTATCGCTCCTTCACTTCTTCACACCTCACAAATACATCAAATTCTAATTTTTTTCGCCTGGTCTGGTTTGTTGATTATTTTTTTTTACTATTTAATTTTTAATCTACTTCTTGTGTTTTCATGATTTTTTCTTCTTTTTTGGAGTTTTAATTTTAATTTATTCTCTTGTTTGCGAAACAATTTTTTGTTTTCTCTCTTCGATTATAGATCGAGCCGTAAGATTCGTCGTTAACCAGCAGCAGCAAGCAAGCAAGCAAACAAAAACAACATTAATAGTGTATGCGTAGTGTTCATGCGAATGAAAAGAAACAGAACGAGAACTTAAGAAAGTTTATTGACTGATCTCCATCTTTGAAGCAGAAAGCTGTGCGCGTCCAGCTGAGTGAATAATTAAAAAATGAAAGAAATGAAAAAAAAGAAAAAAAATTTTGTGTCCCATTTCAAGTCTTGTGAGTCCGCATGACAGCTAACATAAATGAGTGAAATTTACGTCTTTACATGTTAAGTCAAATTAAACAACATTGCCTTTAAAACTCTAGTTAAGAATACATAAAAAAATCCGCCCAAGTATAATTGTGATTACTGCTTTATTAACACTTTATAGCAATAATAAAAAATTAGTTTTTGTTTTGTTCTTTGAGACCAAAATTTGATTGAAATGTTTCCAATTAATTTGCGCTTTGAAATCAAGTGGAAGAAGCTTGATTGAAAGTCAGAATGTGAAGATATAGTCAAGAAAGGAAATTTAACTTTATTATCGTTTAGATATCAAAGAAACATGAAAAAAGAATTGAAAATTTCAGATTTTTTGAAAAAGCAAAACATTGGAATCTTGCCGCAAAACTTAATTAATTTTATGACTTATGTTAAAATCGATTTAATTAACTGCCTTAATCTGTTCATCTGTGTCAAATCTTCATTTTGATTAATCCTTTTTTATATTTGTATATTGCAATTAAGTGAAAGAAAAATGGAAAATAAAATCGAATACGATTAACTAATTTTTTTTGCAATCAAAAATTGGGCGTTTTAATTTGTTAAAACTTACAGTAGATGAACAAACAAAATTTTTAATTGCCTCTCTCGACATAATCTTTCAGGTAGGCGATTTGGTTTCGTACCGATTCCATGCTGGTTCCACCTGTGGCTTGATATTGTTCGACGCTCTTCGTAAAACTCCAAATGTCATGAACATCGTCAATAAATTTTTCATTAATTGTTTTCATGACTGGAAGCGGAAGTTTACAAAGTTCGATGCAATGTTGTGAAGCGTAATCAACGAGTTTTGAAGCTGAATGATGTGCGTCGCGAAATGCGACGCCTTTTCTTACTAAATAATAAGCTACATCTGTTGCTAACATATCGTAACTTAAGGCATTCCAACAATTTTCGTCGAGGATTTCCATCGACTCAACAACTCCCGAGATAACTTTCAGTGACAGTTTTATGTTGTCGAACACGAAGAACATTGATTGCTTGTCGCTTTGTAAGTCTTTGTTATATGTGAAAGGCAACCCTTTCAATGTCACTAAAATGTTTGTGAGTTGTCCTAAAATACCACCAGTCAAACCGCGAACAAGTTCAAGGCAATCGGGGTTGAATTTCTGTGGCATTAACGAAGAACCCGTCGCAAATTCTCCTGACAGTTTAATGAAATTAAACTCCTTCGTGTTGAAGAGGATTAAATCTTCAGACAAACGACTCAAATGTGTTGAAATTAAGGTTGCGATGAAGTTGAATTCCACTTGAAAGATATTTGTGTTGAGAAAGATAAGATCGGAAACATTCTTCATTAAATTACCAACAAAATCTCGATCACTCACAGCATTCATGCTATTATTTGTTATTTTTGAGAAACCCAAAAGTTTTGCAAGCTTATCTCGGTTGATCTTGAATGGGTTCCCAGCAAGTGCACCTGAACCAAGTGGCATCACATCGACACGTTCTAAAAGTTGTTTTAAACGGTCACAATCTGACTCAAGAAAGAAACCATGAGCTAGCAACCAATGACTGAATCTAACTGGCTGCGCGCGCTGAAATAAAACTAACAAATGAACATTTGCTTAGAGAGTCTTTAAAAATTTACCTGCAAATGAGTGTATCCAGGCATAATCACCTTAATTTTATCTTCTGCTTTTCTAATGAAAACTTTTATCAAACATTTAATATCTTCAACGATTTCAATAACAGATTTCTTCATCCACAATTTCATATCAAGTACAACTTGATCATTTCGACTTCTTCCTGTGTGAAGTTTTCTTCCAACATCGCCAACAATTTCAATCAACCGTCGTTCATTTACACTGTGAATATCTTCGTCATTGTCTCTTAATTGAATTTTATGAGAATTCCAATCATCCAAAACTATATTTAGACCTTCTTTGATAGTCTTGAACTCATCAGATGAAATAATTTCTGCATCGCATAAAACTTCGGCATACGCTAAACTTCCACAAATATCTTCGCGATAAAGTCTTTTATCAACTTGAAGAGAATTATTTAATTGTGAAAGATCAGAATTTAATCCACAACTGAAACGACCTTCATCACCCCAAAGTTTTGATGATTTCTCCATTTTTACCTCAATCTTATAACACACTTTCAACGAATGATTTTCAAGACTAATTTGAGCTTACAGAAATTAAGAAACTTTCAAGAGTGATAAGCGTGGAAATGTCAAAATGTCAACATTGATAAGGGTTGTTAACGAGAGAGAGAAACACCAAATCATATCATTAATTTCAGAAATAGATTTAATAACTCAACTAAAACGGCTTAAATTTTGTGAAATAGTGAACAAATTACTTAGGTATCATTCAGGAAACTATCATAACAAAGAGTTTGAATAACTACTATCGAAAATTTAAAATTTAAAAGTTTCTTCGCTTCTTAATTTGTCTCGCAATAAGACATGCAAAAAGTAAACCAAATAGTTGAATGATGGCAAGAATAACACCAACAAGTGCTAATTGTAAAGCGTGAAACTTAATAAAGTCACCAAATGACTGCACACATCCTTGAGGATGCAAAGTTTCCGCTGTAGCATTGCAATAGAAGAAATCAAGATGTCCGTTGGGAATGTCACAACAGCTTAAAGGAATTCCTTGAACAGCATCAATCCAATCTTCATAACCACTTCGATTTGCGCTGGTTTCTAATCCGCAACATTGGTAAGTTTCTTGTATATTATCCCAGCCTTGAAAATAAAAACAAATAAATATTAAAGCAAAAAAAGAAATAATTAATTATCTACCGTTTGCTATGCGACTGTTGCTCGTATAATCAGCCATAGTTGGTTTTAAAGCCGATGTTATTAGAGAATATGTTGAGTTTTTGAGAATATAACCAGTGATACCAGCAGAGAGTTCAAGAATAAAAATGATGCTCAAAAGTCCGCAGAACTGAAAGCAAAGTATTGAGTGATATCATCTGTAAAGTTATAATGATGTAAAACAATCTTACTGTGATAATCATACAATAATTTTCTTTCATCGCTCCAAAACACCCAAAGAATGCTATCACAAAAATGATGGATCCAATAACGATGAGAAATATTGGAAGCGTGAAAAATTGCGAGTCGAGAAAGTCAGAATAACCATCGAAAATCCCTTGAACTGTCAAGCCAACTGACAAAATGACAATTCCAGTAATCTGTAAGTCAAGCATAAATTATTAATTCATAATGATCGAATGGGAATTATTTTTTCTGATATCGATTCAATTATGACTCACCACAAAAACAAAGTTCAGTAGGAACAAAAAGTACTTCATACAATTCCCACTTGATGACAACGCCATGTTTTCAAGGTTGGATTCAGAAATCTCAGAATATTAGCAAATTAATTTATCTTCAAGTTTATTTTCTTTAAATATTTGTGATGATGTAATCGAGATCTTTTCTTCTTTTACTCAATCTCAAGTTTTCTCCAACTCTGTCGTTAACGTCAATTTCGTTTTGTGCTATTGAAGTATTTGATACGACTTCAATTAATTTCTCTTTCACTTATTTGTTCTTTGAACTTAAAATGCTTTTATGATCATTTAATTTACTGAATATTGACCAACATTCAATGGAGTGATACTTATCGTGCACACCACAAAAAGCTTCTAAATTATTTTTTCCTAAGCCCAAGTGAGATGCCTGTAAAAGTAAAATAATATTGAATTGGTAGTGGAAAATTATATCGATGTTTTAAAATAGTTCCTCTGGTAAGTTTAATACAATTTTCACATTTGAAACAAAATACCTACATACAGAAGTGTAAATTAATAATTTTTGTGAGATAAGAGGCAGGTGTGTTCATAAATTTTCTTCTAAGTACTTATGTAGTTAAAACCAAACATACAACTGACTTTTGATACAGACTTAGAAAATTTGTTTTTAGAACATTTAAATTTATTTTGGAACACATTTTTTCATCTAAAATACTTTCTAATAATGACTGAATTTCAAAACTGTCTTTAAAGATATTTCGAAAGAAAATGGAAAATCCATAGGAAACCGTTAAAAATATTTCACACGCGGATGGAAAAATTTGAATGATTTTGAGGCGACGCTTTTGATTTGAGTTTATGATTTTATGACAAAATAGAAATTGTTTGATTTGTCGGTTTGTCCATTGAAGAAATCATAAAAATTCATAAAAATAGACCCACAATCCAACAAAATATTATTAAATGGATTACATCGGAACGAAGAAAGGAGGAAAATCTTCATTTATTCCGAAATGCAAGCTTTTTTCAGAAATTCTTAATTAAAATTTTAATCATCTATGAGAAGTTATTGCGAATTCATCATTTGTAATATTTTTCAACTTTCTTTGAGTTTTTCAGTATACAAAAGTTTTGCAACACGATAGGTTGTATTTTTTTTCTCTAAATATTTTGATCTCTTAATCGCTGGAATTTCGACCAAAAAGTAACTGAGGTATATAAAGTAACACACATAAAACAAAGAAAACATGGAATATCTTTGATTTAAGTGATATGTTCAATGAAAAAAATAAATCATTTCATGAAATGAAAACAAAAGTATCAACTTTCTCTCCAATATACATTTTTCTTTATAAAAACAATAAAACTTGTTTGTTCATGATAAATACTGAGTCACAGTATAACTGAATGACAACCTAAGCATTATCCACGTCAACATCTGTAGAATTTATGGTGAAAAGTCAATTGTTTATGTCAAAAAGAATTCAGATGTCAGTAAGGAAAAGAAAATCAATTTTTCCCGATTTCCATAGTTGAAGTATTTCAGGTTGCCATGGAAATACTTTCAGAATTAAATATCGATCGGTATTTTCGGCACTACAGAAATTTTCATACTTTAATCTGTTTAAGAATTCATGCATAAATGTATAAATATTCTTAATGACACTTCTGTGCCCATGTTTCGAGAAGTTTTGCTCTTATTCGCATTCTTCTTCTATTCTTATCCTAGACAATACTCGTCAACAAGTTTATTCCATACGATACAAAAAAAAGCAGCAAGAAAAGTTTCACTGGAGAGATACGATAAAAATTTGTTGACAAAAACATTTTTTTCTCAATCGTAAGCGCTTTTTCGTCGAATCTGCGTGGTTTGTTGGTGAGAAAAATAGAACAAAAAGAAAGGACAAATAGGATAGAAAAAAAAGTCTAAAATATTCAAGTGGAAAAAAGAGTTGGAAACACTTGAGACGTGATTTAAAATGGCAGAAGGCTGCGGGATGAATTGTATAAAATATCTCGTATTCATATTTAATTTCCTGTTTGCTGTAAGTATTGATAATTCTTATTTAATTAACTAAAAATCTGTTCTAAATTTGTTCAGTTACATTTGAGTTTTCGATTCTTCAAGACACACAAAACAATGTTTATTAATTTAATGTTTTTCTCTTCTTACAAGTGCCTTATTTAATCGACAATAATGAAACTAATTGACAACATTTTAAACATACATCATAATTTTGAACTTTATGGAGTAAGAAAATAAAGATTTAAGTTGCAGATAAACAAAATTGTTTTCAACACTTGACTTGAATTTCAAAATTTAATTATGGCTTCCCTCATCTTGTTTGATAAGAGTTTGTTACAAAAGTAGCTTACTTTATATGAAGAAAGCACAGAAAGAAGAACTTCTAAAATGTTGTTATAAAATCCATTCCCAGTTGAATTGTTTTTTGAAATCTTTTGAGAAATTTAAAACTTTTCTTCTACATTAGATCAAAGTTTAATTTAATTTTTTTATTTCTTTTTTCAGTTGACTGGATTAGTCACCATTATTGTTGGTGCTGTTATTCAAAGCTCATACCATCATTACGAGTTCTTTATCGGTGAAACATTTTGGACAGCTCCAATCGTTTTGATTATTGTCGGATCATTGATATTTGTTATCTCTTTCTTGGGATGTTGCGGTGCATTGCGCGAGTCAAGTTGGATGATTTTAACTTTCTCAGTGTTTTTGATGTTGATCTTCATCACTGAGATTGGAATTGGTATTGCCGGCTACATAAAACATGGCGAATTGCCAGAAATTCTTGAAGGTCAGTTTAACAAAACTTTGGATGAATATACGAATTCTGTGGAAGCTCAACATGCTTGGAGCCTCGTACAAGGAGAGTTGGAATGTTGTGGAATTAAAGGTCCGAGCGATTGGCGACCGATATTTAAGAATAAAACTGTTCCTGCGATGTGCTGTCATTTGCTTCCCAAAGATGTAAAACAATGCACAACTGACCACGCATCTAAAATTGGATGTCTACCAAAACTTTTAGAATTCTTGGACAAGAAGTCACTTCTACTTGGTGGTGTTGGGATCGGCATTGCTTTAGTTCAACTCATTGGCGTCATATTTGCATGTTGTTTGTCAAGAGCTTTTCGAGAAAATTATGAAACTGTTTAAGCAAACAACAATCAATGTACACATTAAAATGAATCTCACCCCTAGAGCTTCGATGTTGACAATCTTTCGAATGTCATTCTCTTTAGTTGCTTTGTTGCAATTCATCTCATTAAGGGTAAGGTTTTTCCAAGAAAGAATTGACAGTCAAAATTTGTTTAGAAAATTCTATGAAAATTATTTAACTCAAGTTTTCTTTAATGTTAATTTTTGTTTGATGATTTTACAATTTAAAATCTTTCTAATGGATTTTTGATACTCACGCTTTAGTTATTTTGAGTCGTTAACATAAAGTATTAAGAACTTGAGGAATGGACATTTATTTCTGAGAAACTTTACCGTTAACAAATATTTAAGAATGAAAAACTTTTTCTTAGCTCGCTTTTTACGTTTGTAGAACATTTTTAATGGGAACATAGAAAACATTTCTTAATTTTTTCAATCTTTTATGTAAGTAAAATATAAAAAAATAAGAAAACATCTCAAAGACAAACAGCCCAACTTAAAGCCAAATTGTAAACAAAAGCCTGACAATTTTAATCCAATCATGAAAATATCATGAAAAATTAAAGTTCAATCAAAAATGTCAGCGAAATTTTTTGAGTCTTTAAGGATTTCTTTTTTAAATAAGTTTTTGGTTTTTCATTACTTAATGTCCTTCTTTTTAATGAGAGAAGAACAAATAATAGCAAATGGCTAACCATATCAAATGCTATTTATTTTTGATGACAAATTTACCAAAAAAAATAGAAAACTTTTCCCTTGAGAAAATTATAAAAGCTGCTCTAGGAGCAAAATGACTAAAATTATTCAAGATTTACTGTAGAGAAAAGAATTTTTTTTTGGTTTTTGATTAGTGCGAAAGAAGATTCAATATTAAGCATCGCTACCGATTTTTCTCAATTTTCAAACTTGTCACCACTCACCAATGAAAGAATTTTCTTGTAAATCTTAGAATTCTCTAAATCTAATCATTAGAACTTTACAATCCTCTTATATTTGTTTAGTCATTGCCATGGTTTGAATTTAAGTTTTTAATACGTTTAATATTTCACAAAGCGATGGATGAAATTAAAACTAAATTTTTCAGTAAGGATTTGAAAGCTTTGAAACAAATCCTTGTAGTTGATGTTGGTTTAAAAACATTCTAATGTTAGATATCTGTTTTATTTCTTCTAAACAAAACTTTTAGAAATTAAGAAAGGTAGCAAGATTCATGGAATTCTTATTATTCTTTAACTCTGAAATCTAATCATGGGATTAGATGAAGTTTACAACTTGATATGTGTAGACTGCTTACAACTATTACAGAAATTATACTAATTTGTTTTAACGCGAATTTAAAGATAGAACGTCCAAAAGAAACGCATCAATAAGTGAAAAATACAAAAAACAAAGTAAAATATTTATTTATTTTCCTTGTAGAATGTAATTTAAAAGAAAACTTGATAAATATAAAATTAATAATGAAAGGTAAAAAGAAGTGCAAATATATCATTTTTTGAATGTATTTTTATTAGATCATAAAAAGAGCAGGAAAACTTTAAGTAACAAACATATATAAAACTAAAAATAAAGCGTTTACAATAGATTCAACATTTGAATGTGACACGATAAAGGGAAGTTCATATGTTTGTATAGGCAACAAAAACTGTTGATTCAATTTTTTTTCTTTTGAAAATAAATATTTACACCTTAAAAATGTTCTCTTATTTTTCTTAAATGGTTGTGATAGTCAATTGTTCAAGCAATGTAATTAGTTAAGATGTCGTAAAAAATCATTCCAGTCAGTAGTTTAATCTTTGGCAGTGAAATCTTCTTCCTTCTTCGTTCACAACGAAAAATAACGAAATATTAAATAGGAAATTTCTTCTTCCGAATGAAACTCTTTTTCGTCTTTTCATGTCGATTGAGATATTCACGTCGAACTGAACTTGTTCTTAGCATCAAAATATTATCAATTTTTGCCACAACTTCTTCTGCAATTGTTGGATCTGTTTCGAAAGTGTGAATTTTTAATGTGAAAGTAGATGGAGTTGAAGTCTCCACAAATGATGTTGATGGTCCAAATGTAAGCGGATCCAGGAACATTGGATTGTGTGCGATTTTAAATTCGAAACGATTCGATTTGCGACTTGAAATTCCACACCAAGCTACCGAATCCATCGAATAATGGATTGCTTTGACAGGCTTAAAAAAGTAGTTTGCATTTCTTTGATGCAACGGATCGATTTCAACTTTATCTCCCGATATTCCCAATTGAACTTCTGTTCGGAAATGCTTTTTTGTTATGAGAAAGACACGATAAGCGCGATAAATTGGAGCTTCGACCATGGTATCATGAACATTCATTGCAATCTCTTCAGTTCTTCGAATGGTTGATGGAATTGATCGGTTTGTATCTACAGATGGCTGTCTCACTACAGGATTCATCAAATTCGAATCTGAAGCAACTGAAAGTGTTCGATTTTGAAAATATTGAACCATTCGCTTTGACAAGGCTAAATGTGAAAATTGGAATCGCTGAACTTGTTCATTTATATCAAGTGCAGGAAAATCAAGGTCTGGTTCACCAGTCTCATCAGATATGAACAACCCATAATCATTAACATCCCCAAAATTCACTTTCTGCGACACTTCAGGCAAATCTTGTGTACACTTGAATAAAATAAATCCAATAAATTCCTCAATTTTCGCACTTGCTTGGACACAACATCTTATCGGATAGTCACGATGCTCTTTCGGTAACGGAATAACAAATACTTGAATTGTTCTTGTTTCGTTTGGTGGATGTGACGTTCCATCGAAGCAAGAAAATTTCCGAAATTTATTTAGAGGAATTGGTGGCATTTTCTCAAGTTGCTCAGCAAACTTTGATCGTTTTGGCAGAATTGAAGTATTCTTGTAATCTTTGCGAATAAAAAGTTCATCGTTGTCATCCATTTCTTCGTTAAGCTTCACGATTGTATCGTCACACTTGATAGTCTTAATTTGAGCTTGTTTCTTTCTCATGTCGTTCATCTTGTCAAGTTTCGCATCTGTGTTGGTTCTAAATCTGAAGAATGGACCTTCTTGAGCGAAGTTGATATCAAAAGACTGTGAAAGGAGTTCATCTTCCTCTTCCGGTGCATCAAGTCCAGGATAAATATAAAAATTTTCGTCCATGCTTCGATAGTTTCCTTCACTTCCTGAGATTGGTGATGGTGACATTGTCAGTTGTTTACTATGCATTAGAGCTAAACTTTTCGCCAAATCGTCACTATTCATCACTAATTCAGAGATTCCTAGAATTTTGATGAATAAAAACACAAATTTTATGACCTCATTTCAAAACAATTACGATGCAGAATAAAAAGTTACATTACCTGTATCATCAGTGCTAACAAAAGAATTTCGTATATGACTCAACAACCAGTGTTTATTATTATATGTAGCCATAATACTTTCATTCAGAACTTTAGTAAATTTAACTGCATTAGCTGAAATGTAGAAAAATGTTTCTTTTGTTATTGTTTTTAATTTTGGTTTAAATATCCGCCTCTAGTGAGAGAAATAAGAAACATAATGTTTGAATTAATAAAAGTCGTTACATGTTTAAGCTATAAACTTCAGTAAATATCGTTTAAACCTACAAACGTAAATACCTACCTATTTATTTCTTTTTCTAAGATCTCGTTTATTGAAAGTTCGCTGAAATTTCAAATCATCGAATAAATAAATAAATCGATTTGGATTCTAGTTAAAGAGTCTATAGTCACGAAATTATGCCAAATCTCGTCAATATATCAATTTGCTCCATTGAAAGTCCAAATGAATTCTATTTTCGACTTTTAAATGATTTGATATGTGTAAAAGAAAGAATTGAAATTGAAAAGAAAGTTAAAGCATTTATTGACCAAGGTTCAGTGTCATCCAACTCAGCTTCAAATGCACTTCATGTAAGTAAATGAAATAAATTGATTAGCAAGTTGTTAGCTTCTTATTTCCTCCTTTATTTTCTCAGAGTCCTGGTGAAATCGTTGCAGTATTTTATAAGAAATGGAACAAGTGGATTCGAGCAAAAATTTCTGGCTCAAAAGAAGAATCAAAAACTCTTAAATTGTTTCTTATTGATCATGGCCATTACATCCACTTTGATGCTAGCAAAAGTGAATCAAAAAGTCTTCAAAAAATTCCCAAACACCTCAAAATGGTTACTCCAATTATACTTCAAGGTTCACTGGGACTTACGTCTGTTCAAATCGTCAAAGACCGAGCTACATTAAAAGACATTTCGGATCCTGTCAAAGTTTGGGATCATAAAGCAATCGAGTTTGTTAAACGCTTTCATGAACATCGTGATTGTTATGATTTCTCATTCTTGTTGCAAGAAAAACGCTCTGATCATATTCATGTTGGTGAATTAATTGCAAATAATAGAAATAGACCGGAAATTATTTTAATCGGAGATAAATTAATATCAAACGGTTTTGCAGTTAAAGATAACATGAAAGATTCTCATTTGAAACCCACGAAGCAACAAGTTCTTTTGAATTCCAATCCAGATCAAGTTGATAATAAAAAGAAATCGTCAAAAATGTCCGATTTTTCTTCCAAATACAACAAAAAAGAAGAAACTGAAATGCTTAATAATTCTGAAGCTCTTTGCAATATTCAAGACATTTCCATTCGTAAACCTAGACTTGAAATATTTAAGCCAACAACAGAATCTAAAGAGCCATTTACATCAATCACGGACATTTTTCTCTATGGGAAAAACCAAAAAAAAGCTTATGAAGCTTTTAATGAAGTTCCAAAAGAATGGAAAAACAAAGAAAAATTATCCGAATCATTTGGAAAACTTCAGTCATACATTTGGCCTCAAATTTATTCTGATCTTCCTGTCATGATTGTAAATGATAACAAAAATTCCTCTCATTTACTTTACCTTCCACCATTAATCAATTTGATTGAGAAAAATCGAAGAAATATTGAATCCGATGGAATGGGACCGATTGCCATAATAGTGACGAAATCAGTAGCTGACGTGAAAGTTATTTTCAATTATTGTTCATTTATGTTTCCTGATTTAATGATTGTTGAGTTGGTTAAAATGATGGACAAGAAAGTTGAAATTATCAATGGTTGTGATTTGCTTATATCAACACCGGCAGCATTTAATCGTTTGATTAAAGGAGTTTCTTTTAATATTATCGATAAAAATCGAATAAAGCATTTGGTCTTGGATAGGGTTGACGAGATACTCGCTGAATTTAAGAATGAATTAAAATCAGTCATGAAATATTGCACGAATGGCTCATCAAATACTGAAAAGAACCCTCAAATTATTGTCACAGCAAGTATGTGGACTAAGCATTTGGAATATTTTATGAATTCATTCAATCAAAATAAGCTCATTTTATGCATCAAAAATTTCATAGAAGTTGCGGCATTTATTGGGTGCAAAATGAAGCTTGAATTGAGTTTGGATATTAAACACAGAATTTTTAAACTGGCAAATGAACTCAAGAAAGAATTTGATGAAAAAACTGAGAAAAAAATTCTTGTAGTTGCAAAGACTGAAAAAAATCTTACAGAATTATCAAAGGAGTTGAAGGAGCTCGGCATAAATTTCCAATTTGTTGATGAGAAAAATTACAATAACTTTGAAGAATGTTTTGGACTTCTTTTGATATCAGATCGGATTCTTGATAAAGCCAAGATCAGAAACGTCGAACACTTAATTCATTTTGATTTCACAAATCGGAATTCATTCTCTCGACGGTTCGATTCGATGGCTGAAAATTTTTATAAAATGGCTGAGAGTAAGATAAAAAATCCCTCAATTTCTTCTACAATCTTTGTTTCCGATGAAAACACTTCTGAACTTACCAAACTCATCAAGTTTTTGAATGCAGGAAAGATTTGGAATATACCTGAAAATATCCTGAAAACTGTTGAGGTGAGAAAATGTGAATTAAAAAGTGAAAATTAATGTTTGAAAGAAATATGTATCAATTAATCATTTCAGAAAATCAATAATTACAATGAGCTTTCGAAAAGTGAACAAAAAGTTCGTATTTGTGATGGCGTCTGGCAGTATGGAAGCTGTAAGGATTCTTTGTGCTTATTCCGTCATCATCTTTTCAAAGAGTTGGATCAACCATCAGCTCATCTCATTGATGAAAGTGTCATAAAATTTGAAATTATGTCAATTAGAAACCCAACTAGTTTCATAATTAAAATCATCTCACATAACATCTCACATAGCAAAATGATTTCTTTGGAACAGGAAAATAAAAAAACTGAAAGTTTTCTTGATGAGGACTTTCAGGAATTTTTTAATGAAAAAGAAAAGCAACAGAGAACTGAACTAAAAGTCGGACAAACTTATGCAGTTTTTACTGATTCTAAATGGCATCGATGTGAACTTATTGAAATTACGAATAAGTAAGTTTTATTTCATTTATTCTTTTATCTTTTTTGATGATTTATTTATAATTAAATTTCAGAAAAATTGTCAAAGTTTATTTGATTGACATCGGAGTTGAAATTCCATGCAATGAGTCGAAACTTTTTCAACTTCCTAATCGATTTATGATCATCAAGCCTTTAATTTGTAAACTGAAAGTTTTAAATCTTGTTCCAATCGATAGAGAAAGGTTTTGGGATTCAGATGCCAATGCTGAAATATCAAATTTAATTAAATTGAGTAAGATCTTCATCTGCAGAATTCAAATGGCGGTTCGTGATATTTTATTCACGGAATCTTTTGATGCTGTTGATGACAAAACTGGAGTGCATAACTTGAGACTTCGAAAGAAAATGCTTGAGATGAACATTTGTTCAGTTGACGAAAGTGTTGGAGAAAAATTACGAAGCATAATTAAAGATGTTGGAATTCTTTATGATACAAAAGATCTTCGAAATGATTCTGCAAAAGAAAATTCTTCAGAAAATTATGAAAAAATTTGTGAAATTGAGAATTGGAAGCAACTCAGCTTCAAGTCTTGCTACAAAATTAAAATCACTCACTTTATAAATCCCGAATCATTTCTCGTCATTCTTCCATCTTCAAGTAACAAAGTTTTAGAAAACGCTTTGAAGAAAATTGAAAATTTCAATCTTTGCGAGCCTTTAAGGAAATTTGAAATTGGCGGCGTTTGTGGAGTTCATCGTGAAATATTTTATCGTGGCAAAATAATTCAACTTGGAAGTGTAGATGATGATGATGACATTCAAGTATTGTTAGCTGATTATGGAGATGTAATCAAATGTAAGAAGTCGGAATTAATGGAACTTCCAAATGAATTAGCATCCAGAATTTCATTTCAAGTCATTCATTGTCGAATGGTTGGCGTCCGACCAAAGTTCAACATGAAATTGTGGCCGCAACTTCAACGTCAATACATTATGAATCTCATTAGTGAATATGATGAATTGTTGAAGATTTGCGTTATAAAACGAAATGAGAAAGGACACGATATGAGTAAATTAGGAATGAATTCTTACGATGTCCTTCTTTTTGATTTTCGAAATGGATCGCATATCGATGACATAATTGTGAATAAAAAGTTTGCTGATCGCGAGAAAATAATGAATTGTGAAGAAATTAACGCAATAATTGAGAGTGAAGTTAATGATAATTGTTATGAAATGGTAACAAATGGAAAGCAAGACAATGAATTGTCGGAAGATCAAAAAGATTATCATTTGGAAATTTTGAAAAGATTACTTGAAAATAAATTAGCCGAAAATTCTCCAATCGAAGAAAAACAGGGAATTGTTGAAAAAACATACGAAAAAAATCCTTCTTTAAGTCCATCAAAGCCTGACGAATTGCCTCTGCAGAAAGTTGTGCCGATGAATTATATTTATAAACAGCCTCGAATTGACTGGTGGCAGAACGATGTTGTCGTTTATCTTTTGATATCAGCAGTCGATTGTGAGAATTATAGCTTAATGGTTGATGATTTATCATTTCAAATTACGATTCGATACAAATACAAATTATTGAATTAACCGGTTTTAAATTGTTCGCTGCAATCGATTCGAAACTTACATCGCATGAACTCGTTGGCCTTAACTGTTCGTTTAGTGAAAAGAAAGCTGCGATTGAATTGGCCACGGTTGACTGATTCATTAGAAAAAATCAAAATTTATCAAGTTTAACAAAGTAAAATTCGATTATGAAAAAAAAACAGTTGGAATAGCTATCTTAAAAAGCTTTCCAGATTTAAAGGAAATTTCACTGATAATTTCGATTACGAAGATTTATTTGATGATGAAGATGAATTTGAAATATCAGATAATGGAGCAAAAATGAAATTAGAGAAAGATGAGAAACACAAATGGCAAACAAAAATGAAAGAACTTGAAACAAAATTGCATGAAATTGAATGTGAAAATTCACAATTAAGCAGAAAAAAAAAAAAATGTTTACTGGAAGAAAGTTCGAGGAGAAATTCTGATGAGCTTGAAAGGCTGAAATCAAACCTCATTGACAGTCAAGGTGTTGTTCAAGAGGAGCACAATCGGTTAGCTGAAACATCAAGAGATCTTGAAGAAAGAATCAAATATTAACTGATCAATTAACGCAATGCACTGGTGATCATGCAAAGCTTTATGATGAGAAAGAACAACTCGATCATCAATATCGTTCACTGCAAGATTGAACGAGGAACTGTTAAACAATGAATCAGCAAATGATTCAGAAATTGATTCGATTAAGAAATCACTTCGGAACATCAATTGAGGAATATTTCCTATTAAAAATAATATAAAATTATTTTTTTCCGCCTCNAGATTACTTCTTTGTGAAGTAAGTCAAAAGAAAAATAAAGTTAACAATAAAGAAAAAGAAAAACATGGCGGCATAACATGGCGTCGAAGTAAAGAATTTCTTTGTGAAATTCGGCAAAAAGTTATTCTAAATATTTTTCTAAGTGAAATGAAGGAAAATAATGATAGCTTTCTGTGTGAAAGGAGTCGAATAAAGTAAAAGCAAGACAAGTATTAGTAGAGCACAAGATAAAGCATTAAGAAGAATTAGTGAGCTTAGAGAGCAATGTCAATTAAAACTACAAGCAAAAGCTCATCTTGAAAGTGTGTTGAGACTTGAAATGGACGATCTGCAGTGCGAACTAAATTTGAATTGATTAGCGAAAAGCCTGATAAAGTTTTCAATGGTTCATCATCAAAAGAAGAAAGCACAATTACGATTGCTGAAAACAAATTGATGATTCATTCAGAACCGGAAGTTAAAGAACTGAAAGATAAGATTGAAAAAGTAAATAATAAGTTCAAAGAGCTTTTCTGAAGATAAAACATTATTACAATCGCAAAATGAACTACTTCATGTTGAAATTAAAAAAATGTAAAGATGAAATGAATAAATTACAACGACAGAAAGCTTTGTTAACGGAAGAAATTAAGAATATTAAAATCGTTAATGAAAATTCGGAATCGGAAGCTGTGGTATCACTGCAAAAGTCGATGAAAGGTTCAGTGATGGAGCTTGAGAAGAAGTTTAGTGATTTGAATGAAATAATTAACGAAAAAACCACGGAAATCACTTCACTTACTAAAACAAATAGCGAAATATTGGAAAAAGTTAGTGAATTGGAGAAGGAAACAGTTTTAATGACCAACGATCGTGACACTTGCCGAACGAAAATCGATTCATTGAAGAATGAAAAACGAGATGACGAGAAAACATTGGAACAAGAAGTTCGAGAAAAGAATGAATCGAAGACACAAGTAACAAATATTTTTCAAGAAATTGGACGCTTAGATTCGGTCTGAGAAACAAAAACTCGAAGAAAAGATTGAAAGAATTCAATAACAGCATTATCCTTCATATCCTCAATTAAAGAACTTGTGCAGCAATGTGGTTAGCAATAGTGAAATTTATTAGCTTTAGAGTGCATATATACTTTTCCAAACATCAGAATATGATTTAAATATTGACTCATCCTACCAGCGCACAATTTATACAAGAGAATCTGAGCTTAGGAAGGATAATAACATTTATGAATTGCTAGAAAAGAGCAGCACAGAATTCTCTGGCAAATATTTATCTTGTGTATTTATGATGCTTGTGATATTTTATTCACGGAATCTTTTGATGCTGTTGATGACAAAACTGGAGTGCATAACTTGAGACTTCGAAAGAAAATGCTTGAGAGGAACATTTGTTCAGTTGACGAAAGTGTTGGAGTAAAATTACAAAGCATAATTAAAGATGTTGAAATTGAGAGTGAAGTTAATGATAATTGTTATGAAATGGTGATAAATGAATTGTTGGAAGATCAAAAAGATTATCATTCGGAAATTTTGAAAAGATTACTTGAAAATAAATTAGCCGAAAATTCTCCAATCGAAGAAAAACAGGAAATTGTTGAAAAAACATACGAAAAAAATCCTTCTTTAAGTCCATCAAAGCCTGACGAATTGCCTCTGCAGAAAGTCGTGCCGATGAATTATATTTATAAACCGCCTCGAATTGACTGGTGGCAGAACGATGTTGTCGTTTATCTTTTAATATCAGCAGTCGATTGTGGGAACTATAGCTTAATGGTTGATGATTTATCATTTCAAATTACGATTCGATACAAAGGCAACCTTATTGAATCAACTGCTTTTAAATTGTTCGCTGCAATCGATTCGAAACTTACATCGCATGAACTCGCTGGCCTTAACGTCACTGTTCGTTTAGTGAAAAGAAAGCTGCGATTGAATTGGCCACGGTTGACTGATTCATTAGAAAAATCAAAATTTATCAAGTTTAACAAAGAAAAATTCGATTATGAAGAACAAAAACAGTTGGAATATCTTAAAAAGCTTTCCAGATTTAAAGGAAATTTCACTGATAATTTCGATTACGAAGATTTTTCTGATGATGAAGATGAATTTGAAATATCAGATAATGAAGACATGTTTTTGTAAATTTAATCATTTTATAGCTCGCATATCCTTCAGAATTAGTTACCATGAAATAAAAGAGATTTAATTAGAATTTGCAACAAACATTTTGTTACTTACTTTAGTAATTACCAAGGAATGGTGAATGGTAATTACTTAATTAAAATTACACGATATGACAATTGCATGCTTCATTGTGCTGCACAAAAATGAAACGTCCAAATTAAAAAGTCTCTAATCAATGAAATGAAAGCAAAACAGAATGTGAAAAGTTATTAATACAAAATTTATTATTAAGTAACGATAATTGCATAAATGAATTAATTTTATACCAAAAACCACATCATGTGACTGAGTGTAAGTCTTCGCAGAAATATTTAAATTGAACACAATAAAATCTTTCATGTAAAAATTCTGCTCTTTTGATTTTATATTACTGGTGCTAGATTAGCGTTAACTTGTGGATCACAAATTGTATTTGTGATAGCTTGTAGAACATTCGCACGTAATAATCGAAAATTAATTTGAGAATAATCAAGGTTGCCATAAATGAAAGTTGGTAAGTTATTCGATACAGCCCAAATACTTTCACGGTCGGTGTCAAGTTTCAGGTCGTTAACAAACCCTAGCAGGTCAGAATCACGTTGAATCATTTGAATGTTGTTAAGATTATATGGTTTTCCTATGAAATATTTAAAAAAGAATTTTTCATCAAGAAGAATTACGTCAAAGATTTTTTTACTGACTTGTATCCCAACAACTGACACCCTCAAGTTGAATTTGAGCAGCAAATAAAACTCCAGTAGGAGCCATTGCTGTAGTTGATGACTGTCCATTCTGTCCTCGCATTCCTAATGGAATGAAAGCTTGAGACAGAGCTGTTCTAGTAGTCCATGCAGTTTGGTTTTGCAGCACTGAAGTTCTCACAGCAAATTCCTAGGAACGTTCAAATTTGCTTTCACACTTTAAGAAACTTAAATTGGATTGAATGGAAATTACTTACATAGTTACTGGACATAGGATGGAAGTAAAGAATTCGATCTTCATCTGGTTTATTCAGAGGGCTTAAAGAAGCTCCAAAGACTCCATCGGTCCATTGAAAGTTTATGCCTTTATAATTATAATCACTTGAAAATGGATCCGAGTTATAAAAGTGATGCATTGTACGCCACGAAGTCCCTTGTTGTATGTCATAAACGACAATTCCATTACGCCACACATCCATAACATAAACAAAACCGCGATTGCATTGGCCGTTCCTTACATCAACAACAATATTCGTATGAAGTGAACCTTGTAACACTTGATCAGGTGGAAACTCGTATAAGAGAACTTGCTGATCTGTTGCCAGATCAAATGCAACAATTTTAGGTGGACAGAGTTGTTGTAAGTTTGTCAAAGCATTCACAATTCCTGAATCAATGACGAACAGCCTTCCACATTCATCAATTGTCAATCTATAAACTGAGAGAAGTTTGGAACAATCTGGGTTTGTTGTGGGTGAATGATGATTCCAACTGGGGTAAGGTTGCAAAGCGGGGCTTTGACTATAAGCTGGTAAATCAATTTTACTTAATGAAGCTGGTATTCCATCATTCCATCTGGGAGTGGAGATAAATACGCGATTATGTGTGGCAGCAATTCCTAAGGGGGCAATATTTCTGGGAATATATTGTCTGCTACTTAACGCTTGACTTCTCAGTCTTTCTGTCGGATAAGCAAACTCCATGATATTCCATTGAAACATAGTTTCGAAGATATTTGTTCCAAGCCCTCCGGAAATTGATCTATTTCCCCCATTCAACACTTGATTAATCCCTGGAGAGTTGAATTGTCCCCACGTAGATGCAAACCCGGAAGCTACATTAGAATTACTTCCAAAAAAATTCTTTTTAAACGGCGAAGTACACCAAACATGCGTCAAAGTTACATAAAAAAATATCACCGAGAACAACTGCATGTTTCACTTACAACTTTCGGTTTTCAACTGTTGAACCATTTCCGAATTGTTTAATATTAAGTTTTTTAGCTTAACTGTAGTAGAGCCAATAAACCGGTTCTCCCACACGTTTGAACTTTTAAAAATGAAAATAAAAGTAAGAAATCAAAAGTATGGAACGACAAAAGCAGGGCTGGTCAACTACTTATGGATTAATGCATTAAATTGGTTTAAGTTTTGGTTTCTTCCTTTTATTTTCCAATTCTTATTTCACTCCAATTAAAATTTATAAAAGATTAAAAACTAGCAGAATCCTACATATTCTTAAGTACTTCAGTAAACTCATTTTGACACATCAAAATATCGGGATTTTCCTTTTCGAATGTTGTCGCTGGATGGTCGCGTTCTTCTGCTCGCCACTCACCAAATTTGGTGTTGCTCATGACATCCGGTGCGTGAAGAGCTTGAATTCTTTCTTTCTACGAATATTTTCAACAATTTTCGTTTGTTTTTGATTTATTTATGATGCGAAAAGAAATTTAAAAAGATTTTTTTTAATTAAAGTTTAAGATTTCTTAGGAAATCTCAAGCCCAAGTGGGAATGTCGTTGAGACAAAAAGAAGAAATAATCAAGGGGCGTAAAATTATTTAATTATCATTGCTTACAGTTCCATCAACAGCTGCGAAGCGCGAGAACATGTTCTTGTAACGAGCTTTCTCCTCTTCATGATATTTCTTAATCCTTTGCTTGCAGATGGTTATTTGATTGATTGCAGCTTTATTTTCTGGTTCCAATTCATGAACTCGATCAAAATCAAAAAGAGCTTTTTCAACTTCGCCAAGAGTTAAATGAGCTTGACCACGTCGATACAAAGCTTTGATATTTTTTGAATCTAAGTTGAGAGCTTCGTCACACTTTAAAATGATATAAAAATAGAATTTTTTTAGGGGAAGATAAAATTTAATGTAAGCTTACAGCATGTCGAACTTCATCCAAATCATTGAGTTTTTGATGACAAAGTGATTTGTTCAAATAAACAGACAAAGAAAGAGTTTTCGCTTCTCCATCCACAGATGTATCTGAAAGATTTGATATCATAAAATTCTAAGTCAATTTCTAACCGGAAGACAAAAACCTTACCGCAGTTTGATAAGAATGAGTGACTTTTCTCATAGAATTTCAGGGCCATTTTAAACTTGTCTTGTTTGAAATAGTTTGTTCCTTTTTCCTTGAACAATTTTGCCTGCTCAAGACTTTCGTCTTTATCCAACTTCCATGATTCGACAGCTTTTTCGAAGTCATTGAGTGTCACTGTGTACTCAACAGTAGAATTTGGAGGAACCTTGAATTGCTCGTTACCATCCGATCCGAATGCATACTTTGGTTTAATTATTAGACGTGAAGTTTCTCCTTGACACATCTTTTCGAGCGCTGTTTCAACACCATCTATGACACCAAATTCTTCACCCTCACCGATATTAAATTCAATATCACGATCTTCAAATATTTTGTCTTCAAATCGACCGATAATATGGCATTTGACAAAAGCCCCATCATTTGGTGTTTTCTTTTTATCGCTCTTCACTACAATGAATCTTTCAATTCCACCGTCACCATTCTTTGAAAGATCTTGGCCTTTCCAACCAAGCATTTCCAGCTCAAATTTGAGTGTTGCATTGGGAGGGATTGTTGGTGGACTGCCAGTGACTCCATAAGCATAATTTGGAGCACAAGTTATTACACATTTTTCTCCTTTTCTCATTGAGCTTACACCGAGATCGAAGGCTTTAATGACTTGGCCCTTGCCAATTCCAAATTCAAATGGTTCATTGCGATCTAAGCTTGAATCAAATTTTGTTCCATCAACTAGAGTTCCAGTATAATGCAAGCTAACTGTACATCCATCACATGGTGTCTCTAACCCTTCACCTTCCTGAACAAATATAGAATTTTTAATTGATATTCTTACATACACTCATAGATTTTTAAAATTTAATTAGGAATTATTCTGTTTTATTTTCTTACCTTCAGAATATTTTTTAATACTCCACCATCACCAGAAAGATCAATTTCTGAAGTCATCTTTTTAATTAATAAACTATTTCACAATGAGGTATTACTAACTTTATAAGAGTTTGAGGTTTTAATTTACCAGAAATTTCTTTACCGAATTATGTCTACAAAAACGGCAACATTAAAAGTCTACAAAGAATTGTCTACAAAGTTTTCAAATCCGAGTCGGTTATAAATTATTAATAATTTATTACATTTCCCTAAAAATGGATTTTGTGGCTAAACTCAATTCTTCATTTTTATTTCATGATTCTGTTTCATGATATTGTTGCATCTTTTTCATGAATTTTCTTTAAGAATCCTTATTATTATATCAATTGTTGTCACATGTTTCTTGAAAGTCACGTGTTGTAAATCATAATACGCATGTTTTATGAGAAAGTCAATGCCATTCTCTCAATTGCTTCTGGCCAATAGAAATTTCCCGAACAGTTTAATATTCTCATAAATCACTCTTGTTGTGCATTCTAGTAATCTGTCGCAATTGCATTTTAAAGCGAAAAATTTAATAGTTTGACGGGTAACTTTTAAACAAATATTTTTAATTTAATAAATTCATAATCATAAACTTTTTTAATCGCCCTAGGATAGAAGTTATTTGTGCTTTTTTATCTGATCAGTATTAATTGATCATTGCTTACCATTATCATCATTCTTATAATCCTTTTCTCTGTTTACATAATTCCTGAGTGTATTATTAAAATTCAGAATTAAAAGAGAAATTTTTATATTCTTTCTAAAAGCTGACTTTCTGCAAAATCTGACAAAAAAATTTTAGATCAACATTGAAAAATAAAATTTTAAAATAAAAAAAAAGGAAAACTCGATAGATATAACGAAGAATCTTAGACAGAGATTTCCTGAAATAATTGGAATGTGAATGTCTATAAATTCTGCCCTCTGGGAAATGAGAAGGAATTTCTTCCCTGAAAGTATATAATGTGCTGCACACAAGAGAGAATGAAATAAAATCGGGACATCATAACAGGCTATGAACAATATTTCAGTACATAGAACATTTCATTCTCTCTCGCAACTCGTCCTCGTTCTGCCGATCCGCCAAAGGGAAAATTGTCGGAAGCAAAGCAAATTTTCTGTTCTTCGGGAGAGCGAAGATGAAAAAGCTCGCTCTGTGGTAACTTTTCCTTCAGTCTGTTTTTATTTCTTGTCTAATATTGTTGTGCTTTTCGAGAGTTCTCATCAGACATTTCATAAAAAAAATTCAACATTGAACTTTAATTATGCAGAAAAAGGTGAAAAATTCAATTTTGTACTAAGTTGGATTTGTTTTTTCAAGTACTCTCGGAAAACTTAAAATTTCATTTCATTACAAAAAATTCATAAAATTTACTATTTTGAAAATTAAAGTTTAAACTTATAAGCTTTTGACACAAAATATAATGGAAAACCTACGTAATTAAAAATAAATTTCTACTTAGTGAAATTCGTCAAAAAATCTTGTTGAAGCAGGTAACAAGAAAATTTTAACGATTTATTTATCGATAAAGTGAAAATATAAAAGGAAAAAAGTAAAACGGAAAAAGTTCCCTTTTCCAGGAAATTGTTCGTTGTGGAGAAAATTTTACAAAATATTTCAAGTGTTGAGTGTTAGTTCATGGATAAATAAAATAATAAAACAATTATTCTGTAATGATTATTAATCTATCTAAATAAATAAAATAATAAATTTTATACGAAACCCAAAGGACGAAAATAACTTTTAAATGATGGACGTTTTTGCATGTGAAAAATCTTTCAAATATCTATTTTTGTACACTCATCGTGAGATTATATTTATCAATGCAAGTGGGATAAACTTCCATTGAATATTTGGCAAAAATTTCCCGAATATCACAAGTAAAATCGCGCTTGGCCTGCAAATGTCACAGAAAGTTTCACAGAAAACTTCCCTTGAAGGTGACGATTATGCGATCGATTATCCGTTCTCCATGGCATCGAATAACACATCAATTGTAAACTTTGCTCAGGTATTTACTTTCCTTACACATATAAATTTTATGTATATTTCTTAAGTTTTTAACCTTCAACTGCAATTTAATTTTCATATAAAGCTTTCTGAAAATATTCCTCATTTGCATCAAAACAAATGGTTAAATATATTCCAAATAAATTATTTCAGATGAATACAGACTCAATGTATGATGAAAATTTCAATGACAGCATGGCATACCAGCTGCTACGGCATTCATCTACAACATCAATAATCTATTGCATAGCCTACACATTGGTATTCAGCGTCGGACTTGTTGGAAATTTGTTTGTGATTTCTGTTGTCTTTCGAGTACCGCGCATGAGAACTGTTACAAATCTATTCATCGCTAATCTTGCGATAGCTGACGTGCTCGTGATTGTGTTCTGTGTACCTGCTACCTTAATGAGTAATCTCTTTGTGCGTAAGTACACCTAATTGTTATTTATTTATCTCTCGTTAAACTTATTCTAAATTCCGTCTCTCTCGTTGATAATTTTATTTCCTCGAACGTGATTAAAATATCTTTCATTATAATTGATAGAATAGAATTGATTCATCTCTCATTCATTTTTAAAACAATTTTTTTTCGATACAATAGAATGTTCACGATAAATTTGTTTTTGCATTATTTTTCTAATTTTAACATTTTTTTTTTAATTGATACCGAAATGGTATTGAATAATATTTATTGAAATAGATTTACTGATATAATTTTTTTCTGTTCGATCTTACATCATATTACGGTAAAAATGAATTTCAAGACTGTAATTATTAATTATTAACGTCTATGCTATGGTTTAATTTGAAAGCACATTTCCTATTAAATAGAAAATAAATTTCATCAGCTTTGATCAAGATTCTGACTGTGTTGTAATTAATTTGCAACTAAGACATCCGTCCGAACGTGAACTTCCTTAAAATGTTACGAAGAAATTTGATTCATCTCTAAGAATAAATTAAATTCAAATTGACTAGAAACTTTGAAGTTTACGAGCACATTTTGACTCAATGAATCATAAGAATCGGAATGAATTGCCATTGAAGATTCTTTATATCAGACAGACAGTCCGCCACCTGCAATAAAAATCGTCTCTAATCTCTTCTTATTCTTTTTTGTCTGTTGGAAAAGATTTAAAGCATACGACGGCAGATTGATAAAAGACTAAAAAATTGATTTTCGTTCAATTACTTTCTGCTTTTCAAGGTTCGTAGGTTAAAAGAATGATTCAGGGAAAACTTATGGAAGTTTTGATGCGAAAATAAAACGACTCATGCCTAAAGTTATGAAGATTTTATTGCTGCATTTACATTTCCATCAATCTGAAAATAATAAAATTTTGATTTGATGTAAACATCCTCAATCTTAACCCTTTACATTTACAAAATAGAAAGAATAAGTCGACTCACATGACGAATGAATATTGAATCATAAAGCATATAATTCCTGTTCACATAAATAATTTTTTGGAGTTTATCCAAGAAAAAAGCAATCGCATAATCATAAGGCAGAACGTATGACTTGTACAATTTATTCGCTATATAAAGTCCTGTTGTTAGGATAAAAGCTTGAGATTTTAGTGTTGGATGAATTTGGAATTCAAATTTAACGAACAAATATTTACAACGATTATTTTACATAACATTCAAGATCCATGATACTTACAATTTAAAAAGAAATTCAGAGACACTATCCTAAAGGCATTTGTAGGATTTGGGATGCAAGAGAAATTGAAAAATTGAAATACTTTCGTGCAGAATATTCAAGAAATTAATTTTTAAAAACATTTCCCTTCTAATGCAGTTATCTTTCCATTTAAGTTAAACATTCTCTTCCGACTTAGATATGTAAACATATATTTAAAATACATGAAAGTTTCATTTTTCCTATATTTAAAGAAGATTTTTTACTTTCTATTTTTTAAACTTTACATGACTTAAGCAACAATCTATGCAGAAATGTTTGCGTTTAATCACATGTATCTAAGTCAATTATTCATTGAAATATTTAGGAAATCTGATGCCATTACTGTTGGTGTTGATTGCATTAAATCACGGATCGAGATTTAATTTATCAAGAATTTTACCAATTGATTTTGCATATAAATATAAAACCAAATTATTGTATCGGTTCACATGCAAGTTAATTATTTAATGGAAAAGCCAGGGAATTCAGCCCAGTTCATTGGAATAATTTGGTTTCTGTTTTGATTGCATCAAATCACGAATCAACCTACAATTTAACTGAAGTTATTATTGATTTGCATAAAAAATATTATGATAATAGGAATACATAATATTATGTAAGTATATGGATATCCGTTGAATGATAAAGCTTCGAAGCTTTCGTGAAATTTTATTGTTAATGTCTTTGATATCTTATCTTAGTAATAAACGAAAAAATATTTGGCTTGATTTTAAACTTTGAAATGTTTCTCTTCGATTATCTTCTTTCCTTTGATATCTCATTTTCTTGTTTTTTTAATTTTCTAACTGAACTTGTAATTCGTAAGAAATATTTTCCTAGAGAGTCCTTTCATAATCAAGGCGTTATATGTAGCTACGCGAGGCTTTCAATTGAACACAAAACAACAAAATTCTAATCGTTTTCGTGCTCTAACCGAAACTGCGAGCTTTTCCTGAGTGGAAAAAGCTCGGCTGTTGGAATAAAGAAACTATGTGAGCAATATCTAGGTCATCGGTCAATAAACTCTTTCCACCTGGTCAGGGATGATTTTAGTTTTTATTTTCAACCCCACGTACATTGATTCCTTAACCAACATGTAAGTTTCCGTAAAGAAAATTTACCATACAGATCTACTTGAAAAGTTTTAAAACAAAAAACTTTTGAATATTTTTCACTTCAATGTTACCTTCGCAGAAAATAAAGAAGAAAGAAACTTTCAAAGTTTTCATAACAAAAAGCGGCTCAAGTGAGGTTAAAACTATCGTGATAAGTTGAGATTAATAATTTTCTTTGAAGCATAACATTTGCAATGTCTGGTATTGTGAAAGAAAATTTTTCTCCTTAGTAATTGTAACTGTTTCATCCATTCCCGTAATGCAAAAAATTGATTTTAAGTCCGAATAATCCGCAGAAGTGAAAATTACAACAATATGAATAGCGTTCTTGTTTTAAAAAAATTACTAAGAGGTTTTACACATAAAAGGCAAGTAATTGCTTGGTGCACATTTTATTTCCACTGTATGTTTGATGCAGATAAAATCAACCTAGGGAATTCAGTTTTGTTATCTAAATTTTCATTTTTCAATGGACATGCATGGCTGTAAAGTTTCTTGTAGGAAATTGACAATTATTTTGAATGTTCGCCATGGCATCTTGATAAAGAAAATACAAAGAAAGACGAAACTCAGATTTTCTTAATTTCTCAGATAATTTCCATCAAATATTTCGCATCAAGTTCTAAAGAAATGCAAAATTCAATGAAAAATGAGAATGAAAAAATGAAATCCGATATTTTCTAATGATTTTATCTGCAGCAAACATACGTTGTAAGCAATAAGTTCACCAAGCCATTGAAAATATATAACCTGAACATAGGAGCATGCGAAGAAACGAGAGAATTGTGTGCGAAAAAAGGGAAGCGAATGACCTAAATTTGAAATGAAAATGTTATATAGTCTGGAGTGGAGGGTTTGTTTATCTCTGCTTTCTACTTGGAACTCATACAACGATACATCCCATTGCTAAGAGTTCCCGTAAACAGTTCCAAGTTTTCTTATTTCGTCTGTTTCTCTTCCCATCCAATTTCTTTGATGCTTTTACAGGAAAAATCGAACTTTTTTTGGGTTCGTGCAACAAGAAAATTTATTGCTTATAGATTTTTAATGATTCCTCGTCGTTATGCTTTTCTGTTTTCCGTCTTCTCACACCACAGCGGCGCGACCCCTTTTTATTGAGTTTTTTATCTGGAGCAATGTCAGAAAGCTAAATGCCTTTATAGTCATTCCTGTTAGTAAAATTTAAACGATTATTTTTTCACTTATAAATGTCAGATTTAGTCTCAAACAACATCGGAATCTGTTCATAAAAATGTATGTGGTTGACATTGTTTTCCTCTCTTCTTTGTCTTTTAAAAGAAAACATTCATAATTATATTCGTCACTCTGAGTGTAAATTGTTTGTAAGTTAAACTTCAAACAAACATCTACATAAGAAAACAACAATCATGACAATTATATTAAAACATTTGCATGAAGCTTAAAAGATGTTTGCTTTAACAGTTTGTAGCTTATTTCTAATGATAAACTGACAACTTCCACACTCTGTGTCTTCACTGTTTAGCATCTACGATTTCTTAGTATCTCACTCTGATGACTGACGATAGTTTCATCAATTGGAAACAGAATTTAATAAATCCTAGAAGTGTCCTAAAGCATTAATTTAGTTTTCCCTATGCTGAGTTCAAATATTTTCATGTGTTTGCTTGTAGACTCATAAACAATCTTGAAATCATTAATAAAAATTTCACTGGAATCATACATTTACTTACTAAAATTAATTATCTTATATTAAATTTGGATTATTTAATGAAAAGAAAATGTTTATCAAGAATTTAGATTCTAAACTTTCTCATCAAAGCTCTAAATGTTCTTGAGAATCTCAAACCAATCAGACATTGTCAAGTTTTATTAGTAGCGTACAATATTTTACAACATACCAAAATTTATTGCGGAATCATGTCAAGTTAATTATTTTCTCGCCAGTCACACAATTGTGACTAATTTTTTCTCGTTTTTTTTTCTTTATGTTCAATGACTTTGCAGTCGAACGATGAAAAACAGATTCGTGCTGATTGATTCTTTTCATTTCTCCAATTCTAACTCATGCTTTCTCACATTGTTTGATTACTATAGCATACACGAAGAGAAAAAGAAGCGTGAAGGAAACAATGCACGACAAAAAGCTCTCTCAGGAAGTATAAAGATTTATTGCCATTTGATTGGGTGAAGAAAGGGAAGAAGGAAAAGATTTGGTATTGATAGAAATGAGTGAGAGTGGCTTAACTGGGTGAAAGTACGCGACATATAGTTTATCAAAGAACTAACAGAAATTGAAACAAATTCTCTACTTTTTATCAAAGAAAGCCGAAGGGACAATCAAATGAGTTTAGTCAATGTGTCGAGTGAGAGGGATATTTATTAAGTGTTTGTGAACGAATGAACGAACGAGTGAACGGAGGGTGTTTGACCCGATTATCATTATGAAGAGACTCTTAGCTAACTTTTATTCTTCTTGACATCATAAATTCTCCTTCGTCGTCATGAATTAGCTGCTTTCTACTTGCATGATAAAGGTGGGAGCGTATGGTGAAGGAATAAAAGGAGAATGATATGATTTCATGCCTTGTAAAACTCACACCAAAACTTCATTCTTTCACCCACCATTCAAACTTATCCGCTCGTAAAAATCATGTAGTAAAAAAAAAAAAAATAATTCATCGATTTCTTTTTATTCTCCTCGTTCCGTTTTTGGGGGCCTTTGATTGATGTACTTCGTAGCATGCTGAGTACTGAGAAGCTTTTTATGATTCAAAACATCTAGCTTAATATCTAAGTAGAAATCTATTTACCAACCACATTCAGTTACGAAGAATATAAGAAATTTAAAACTATTCTTTAATATTTATCCAGTTCAAATTATATAAATAAAATTGCATCGTAACCCCGGATAGAAAAGGCATGTTTCATGTTATAACGCCATTACAAATTGTTAGCAAAAGCTTTACTACTTTTTTTTAATTCTTTATGTGTCATGGTTATTATGTCCTACTTTTCAAAAATCGTTTACATTTTACATTCACTTCCTTTTCACTCACAAATACCTTGGCAAAATGCATGAGTGCATGTGATCAATGAAAGAATTCTTAAAAATGTATTGTCTTTCACTTGAAAGTTTTTCATGAATAAATTGACAATTCCTTTCCTTTCAGTTGTAGAAAGTTTAGAGCACTCTCATGAACTATTGTGTTTTTGAAAAATTGACACACCTGAGTGATGGAAAGGAGAAAGCTTGACAAAATAAGTGTTTTGTACTCTTTACAAGTAGTAAATTATTGTAAAAGCTCCCTTTTGTGCAAGGATAATAAAATTCACTCAATATACTTTTGCATGGAATGAAATCAAATAAATTTTGTTGAGTCATTCTGATGAAAGGCGTGAACGTGCTTGATTCATTGAATTATGCAAAAAATGCAAGCTAATGAAATGAGAACAAAAAGCAGTCTGATAAGAAAAAGGCAAGAAGAAGAATTATTGTAAGACTTTAACTAATTTATGGTGACAACATGCATGCTAAAGCACTGTAAAGGAAAAACTCTTTTTTTTTATTTTCATTCCAAAGAACTTTGTTATTTTATTTTTAGTTGTGAAAAAGATTAAGATCATCACATTAAATATACATTGTGCTTCTGTTTAAAATGGTTTTTAATCATAGTTCATTGATCTTGTTTTATTTTATCCTTGATATTTTGAAAATGAACAAATTAGAGCCTTGACTCGATTTAACCTGGCTTAGCTTGTCAACTTCTTTGAGTATGACTTATTTACAAAGTTTTGTTGAATCGGCTTGCTTGGAAGGAACGCTGGGAGCATTCAATTGAATTTTCCAAACTAATCTAACGTAGACCCTGCAAGGTATTTACAGAAAAACAAAATTCTCACTGAATGGAATCCTTAAGATAAACGAATTTCATAATAAACAATTCATGGAATTTCAAAGTATTCATCATAAAGTTATGCCGAAATTTTATTTTATTTTTGTGACGCTTATTTTATGTTCAGATTTATCGATTATTCCATTTTCATGCTACGAGTACATAAAAATAAACTTCAATTTAAAATGAATTATGTACGTATTGCGGAATGTTGGGAGTAAAGTCACAAGTATATAAGCTGTCCTATTTATTTTCTCTGTTCTCGAGTAAATATTCCCGTCTGCTAAAAAGTGCAACGAGAATGATAGTCGAGAGCGAGAGAATTCCATTTTTCAGGAGAGATAAAAGCACAAAAAGAATCTTCTTCCAGGATGAGAACTTTGGACTTGTATATCAACACATAATTCGCAAATAGGTACTTTAGCTTTCAAATCAAAACTTTCGTCTGCTCATTCTCCGAATATATAACGCTTACGAATATTTATTCCCTTAGGATTAAGTGTATTTATTCTGATGTTTCCTTAATGTTGGAGAAACTTCTCCCGGAAGAAATGTTAGGATTTGCCCTAAAGAAGTTTTCGTATTTTAATTTTGTTGCCTTCTGTGAATTTTTTTCTTCGTCCCGGAAAACAAATATTTAGGGCAAGGTTATAACGGAAAAATGTTTAATATTTTCCATTGAAACACGATTCACAATTCAAGTGCCTTTTAAGCATGCGGCTGTAAATCGTAGAATTTATTCCAGTTTAAGTTCACTGAAAAATGACTTGGATTTTAAGCTTAATTATAGATAAAATGTTTTACCAATTACGGTTTTTGGAAATTGCTCGTTTTCAAAGAGATAAAAGGAAAAGATTTGAACTAAATTTGAAGCTTCCTGATTAAGTGATATCGTTAAATTATAGAAGCATAAATCACTACATAGGTCGTTGTTCTCCTTTTAAAATACTTCTGCAGCAGCTGTTCCACATCATTTGAAAGCGATATACAGTGACACATTTTTTTCACAATCGACAAACTATCGAATCAGGAAACAAAACTTTTGCATGTGAATGAAGTCATTTTGAAGAGTTGAGAAAAAAAATTTATTCATCATGAACTGATTTGTCTGAAAAATTCTTTTTTAAGAGCAAGAGAAAGAATAAAAAATCTATGAAAAGAGTTTTTATTTTGTTGACGATTTAGGCAATTTATGTAAACGGGCGATAAAGCATTTGAACACAGCAGGAAGTGGCCTCAAATTTTCAATCGTCAGCGAATGCTTCTTACAACATCAACCTCTCCCCTTTTTTCCTTCTTCCATTTTCAACATATCTAAGATATATTTCATGACAAACGACGAAAATTGTATTTACATAATTCTATATGAAAGACTGAAATCAAGACTTTACAGTCGAACAAAAAGTTTCGTTAACTATTTTGCAAGCTCATTTGAATTTCTTTTACCACAAAGAAAAAAGAGAAAAAAATCTCAAACGAGTTGAAAGCCACAAAGATTGAAGTTGCTTAGCATAACCGTTTTTCTTTCTTACCCTCATTTATGATGGAAAATATTCTTTCTGAAATTGAAAGGATTATTATCCATCTCGACTTGATATCTCATTTGCTTCCTCTACAAAGAAAAGACAACGAAAATTTCAATCAGCAAATTATCAATTCTCCCATTTGAAGATTACATAAATTTGTTCAACTCAAGCGTTTGCTATAAAAGCTTAATTGAATTCCCTGAAGTTTATTCACGTAAGATTTTCTTTGATCTGAGAAACCCGAAAAAAAAATAAGCGATTCAAATAAACTGAGCGGAAATTTGCTTTAAAAGTTATTCAAGAGTATTGAAAAAATATGAAAAAGTTCCATAAACTAAATAAGTCGCAAATTTCCACCTAAACGAGACGTAATTACTTTCATCATTATTTCTGATTTAAAATATTAACTGTGAGCAGTAGCAAGTCTTCATAATTAAATTAGATTTATGCCTCACAACCTCTATAGCAACAAATTGGATTCTTTTGAATTTTTCTTTCAAGAAGAATCGAAGCATTAACATGAAAATTTTTCTTTGAAGATTCAGCAACAATAAGCATGTGGCAGCTTTTTTTCCGCTTTCGTACATTAATAAATTTTAATTAATGGAATGACTTCTCTATTCAGATCATACGATCATGAAAAATGGGAATTCAAATGGACGTTGTTGAATGATAAAGAGAGGGGGGAAAATTTTGACGAGGGACTTTACATTTATCAACGGGTGGTCTGGTTTCATTCTTTCAATTTTTATTGTAAATGAAAATTGAGTGGCAACAGTTGAAACTTAATTCATGGGCTTCAAAAAAGCTTCTAGATGAGAATAATAAATCAGTTAATGACACAATAATTGATTTAAATTCATTTTAGTTTGCAAAGTTTTTCATACAATTTAAGATGTGAAAGAAATTCTCGAATCATTTCCACCAAATTAAGCTTACAATTACTTTATTATGCGACTCATTATGAAGGAAGAAAATTAATGTTTTGTGAATTTGTCTAAATCATTTTCACTCTCATTATAATTAACCATCAAATTTACTTTACTACAACACGGAAGTGAAATTTTTAGAATTTCTGAAACCATTTTCACATAATTTAATAGATAATAAATATAATTAAAGTGTAACAAGCCTAAATGAAACTGTAATGTCAATTTGCTTAACTTCCGCTCTTGCTTCCTTTTCAAAAGGGAGGAAATCGTTCAAATACAAACTCAATTTTCTGCGAAATTTTCATCCTTTGTGCAGTTTGTGACAGATTTTTGCCAACTTAAAATATTGTTAATATAGCAACGTGTTAAAATCATGTTAAAAACGTTTGAGTTGAGAAATCTAATACATTTCCAATATAACTTTTAAAAAAGGATTCATTTACAATTTTTAAACTAATTTATCATGTTACTGATAAACATTCAATCAAGTTAAAAACTTTCATTTTCGTGCCTTTCTCGATATTTCATCGATGACAGAATTGTGTCTGAATGTGAACATGTTTTTGGATTGCGATTGTTGTCGAAAACAAATCATCATGAGTTCGTTGACATCGTCTATTTTTATCTACATTCTTCTTTTTTATTTTTTCCTTTATTTTCCTTCCCATTCATCTCAATTCATGATGCGTGTTAAGTTAACGCGATAGAAAAGTTATCGTCTTTTTATTTGTTCACATTATCTACAGGGGAAATCGATATTGTTTGACAATTAAATGAGCATTCTTACGTCTTTTTCCCAAGAGTTCGATAACACATAAAGTTATGCATGCAAACCAAGACAATAAGCCTTTGGGGAAGTTTTTACCCTTTTGAATTCTTTGGATTAATCTTCTGTCGATAAGAGCTGCTAGTTGTAAGATTAATAAGCTTTTGTAACAATGCATTACCATTAATGTGTATTGTGTTGCTGAAGACAAATTGATATCAAATTTCCAAATAAATAATATTGAATCGGCTTAGTGCTTTGTCTCTCTTTATCAATCATCAGCTTAGACATTTTTTTAAAAATCCTCATGTTATCTGAGTTAAGCTTTTGATAATTTATTTCAATTTTTTTTATATTTCATATTTTGATAGCCTTTCATGATAATAATAAATCATTTTTTATTGTAAACATATTTGACTATATCTAACACAAAAGTAATCGGGTGCCGATGATAACAGATGAAAATGCCTTTTGCTTTCTCTTAATCTTATTTAATCCTTCTTTAGATGATTATCTTGCCTTTCGTATCATAAATTATCGCTGAGAAAATCCCAAACAAAAAAGGAAATTTATTGCGTTAGATACTTAAATGATAATTAATTATTTCTTCGCTAATTACGTACTTGACTCGTGAGAAATATTGTCAAATGAAACAGATTTGGCTTTGACATTGGCTTTGACTGATAGTTTTTCACTTTTTTATTTCAACCATAATGAAACTTCTGTTTTTGTTGCTATAAATATCTATTTTTGTGTTGACGAAATCAAATGAAATCTTGAAAAACATTTTATCAATTGTTGAAATAAAAGAAAAGCCGATGTAGATGTTGTCATGAATTCTTGACTTTTGTTTTCAAAACAAGGAAAATTTAGTTTTCTGCTTACGTTAGATGGATAAATGTCTAATGAAATTACCTAGAGAAGAACTCTTCGAGAGAACAACTTGTAACTTTATAACAATCTAGATTTAATTGAGAACTTCATAATTAACTAAGACGTTTATTTGTTTTATTCACTTTCTCTTTCCAGCATGGATTCTTGGATGGTTTATGTGCAAAACTGTGTAAGTAATTAATGGAAAACTTTTCTGCCAACATATTTATCATAATCATTGTAATTATTTGCGATTATAAGTGATTATTTACGATGTCATATTTTCTTCTTTCAGACCCTACATACAAGGTGTTTCTGTAGCTGCTTCAGTTTATAGTTTAATTGCAGTATCTTTGGATCGGTGAGTGACTTGTCATGACAACATTTATTTATTTAACTTCGTTTTCATTCATGGTCTTTACAATTTCATCAGTAGAACCTTCACCATTCAATTATTCCATTCTTTTACATTTATCTACATTGAATACTACACTGAGAGGAATAATTTTATGAAAGTTTTAAAGCCTTTTTGCAATATTTGTCAAATCTAAATTATTTTTGTTTCGTCTCTTAGAAATCTGATTATCAAAAAACTTCCAATTTTTTTTAATTGTGAATTGTACAAAACAAAATCCGTTGCATCATCATAAATTGTTCGGTCATTTTAAGTGAATCACGAAATAACAATAAATGACCAACACGAATGGCAATTTAATCGAATACTGTCATGTCATCATAATATCCTTGAACTTGGAAAGACCGTTGGCAATCGAAACGGAAACCATTTAAAACACTTCAATCACGTTTGAAATGATTTAAGTTTTTTATTTTCGTTTTTACTAAGTTATGAAATTAAATCAGCAATTTGTTACCAAGAACTTTCGTCGCAAACTTTCAAGGTCACGCTTTAAGATTTCATGGATTAAATTCAATTTACAGTGATTGTGTTGAAGATTGTTTTTTTTTCAACTTCCTTTCATAAACATGACTTCAACTGAAATTTAACGTTATGAGATGATGTGAATCTTATGTAGATAGAACTAAAGAAATATTTTAACACATGATAAAGCTTTCCGTAAAGTTTTCAGATTAAAATGTGATGCTTATAAATTTTAACCACAAATTATACCAATAACATGCTCAACCAAGCAGATTACACATGAAAACGATTATCATAGAATTTTTATTGCATACTGGTAATTGTTTGTCTGAGGTAAATTTTCCTCAACAGAAAATATTTACATGAAAAGGAAAAATCAATTTTTCATTATACATTTTCAATAAACTGCCATGTATTGAAATGTTATTTTTTCAGAAACATGAAAATTCTTATAAGTAATTTCATGTAGTTAAAGCATACAGTGAGCTCTCGTTATAACATTTTCGAAGGGACTGACAGCATTAGATGTTATAACGAGAGAAATGTTGTTACGAGAAAATTTTGTTCGAGATTTCGTTCGAAATTATTTTCGAAATGAATGTTGTAACGAGGGAAATGTTGTAACGAGGGAAATGTTGTAACGAGAGTTCACTGTACAAACATTTATATTACTTCCTAATTTAAATAAATCTGTGAGTTAAAATTAAAAAAGCATTAAACTGCGAATCACACTTCGAACATGGAAACATTTATCATTCATTCTTCACATTCTCTCATGTTATTCAATAAAATATGTTTTGATTCTGGCTTGTAAAATAACTTTTCAAGATCATGTCTGGAATTTTATGCAAAGCTTTTAGATTCTTAACACAACGAGATGGCATGCAAAACAATTTGTCGTATAAGATCTATTTGACATCCAGAAATAACAAACTAAATTGGGAACTATCAAAGTTTATCTATCAACCTTGAATCATTTTCCATTTGTTTAATTTTCTTTTTAGCTTTGGGTTGCAGAAAAAAAAATCTAATGTAGTTTAGGCTTTTAGAGTATGAAAACTAAGAAACCCTTACAACTTTTGTCTCATTCATTCATCTAATAACTTAAGCACTTTGTTTACCACTCACCAACAACAAAAACTGGTCTACAATCATTTTTTTCGTGTCTGCCTTCAAGGCCAAATATGATGTTAATTCATACTTATGCCGACTTTTTCGTTTAAGTCGCTAAGAGAGTTCATTAAGTGAACAAGTTCTGAATAAGAATAAGAAGAAATAAATTTCGAAAAAGTTGAGAGAAGAAGTGTGGGAGCAGCAGAAATATTTATCTTTCTGTATTTGTACACCAGACATTCACAATCACATTCAGATTTATGATAAATGTTTCTTGACCTGCTTTATCATTTCGAACTTTGCTCTCTCTTTTCGTATTCAAATTAGCAAGAAGCGTGAATTGAAATGAAGTTGTCTCGACGAAAGTTTGAACTAAAGAAAAAATTAATTTAATTTTCAATTGCAAGCAATCTTATTTGTTGTTATCTTTTAACTCAATTAAACTTACAGCCATTGTGTGAGTCTAATTAAAGTAATTATAGAGAAACTAATTTTTTCCTTGTTAAAGTCACCAATGCATTGGTGATATTGGGAGGGATGACTTGTAAAAGCTCGAAAAGTTATGCAAAAGTTTCACAACCTCTGTGACTATTTGAACTCTCATGTCGTAATGTGGCAGTGCATGATGCTGCACTACAATACTTGATTGTTATCGCCTTAAACTGTTTATGATACAGACGCTTTTTCATATGAATTTGTAATCAAAGCTTCGAAAATCTCCTGCTAAGCTTAAAATATAAATTGCAGTCATGTTGTCTTTTCCTCTTCTCATAATATTTAATTTGTTATCATTTGATATTCATTTGATATTTGATGACAAAGTTTGTGTACATATTAGAATATTTATTACTGAGTTTAGGCGGAACTTTATTTGTGTGTTCATTTTGAAAGCAGACATGGAAGCGAATTTCTTGTCTTGGCACCAAATGAAGTTGTCAGTTAAATATGATGTTCTTCCTAAACTGATGAATCATAAAAGTTTTAAAAGAATATTTCTTGCTGACTTCTCATAGCAAAGTTAACAAAGAAGAACAAAAAGAGGGGAAATTCTGTTTCATGAAAGCGAAAGATTGAAAAGTTTTTATTTCTTCTGCAGCCGATGTTTGTTGTGGCAAGGAAGCAACTTCAGATAAAAGAATTGAAATCAATGAGGGAGAGTTAAGAGAAACTTTTTTACTGAAGAATAGCAGACTAAAGAAACATGAAACACGTTTCAGTGATGTATGAATTTTGTAGTTTAAAACAGTCTCAAGGTCGTGTTGAGATGGAAATGCTCTTCAACGCTATCATAGGGTAAAAGTTTTGGTGAAGTAATGAACAAAAAGAGAATGAGAAGCTTTTGATACATACGAAGATTTATGATTCTTCTCTGTTTGTGATATTTAGAATTTGTACCAACAACAGCAATAAATGTTACATTTTCATTCGCTTTGACTCCATTTGTCTTGGGATGTGACGTTGCTTGAAATAGCAAGAAAAATTATATCCTCGTTACATCACATGGTGAAGGGAATAAAATTAATGACATGATAATGAAATGTTTTAGTGAATACTCGCGAGTTAATTGAATCCAAGATGAAATAATCATTGCATAAATTACCATATTTGTCAATGTTTACTGCTACTCACAACAAACCATTAATTAAGAAAAAGATTTTTGTTTTGTTTATGTTAAGATTCGTTGATGTTAATAATCTCTTGTTTTTACAGAACGGTTCTTCTTGTAGCATGGAAAAAAAGCAATAGCAGGAATATGCGGAAACAGTCAAGTATCGATACCTGAACGCTTTTGAACAAAAGCAATTATCGACATTGCTGATCATTTTTTTGCGTCTCAATTGTATGCTTTCATGAACAAGTTCAATAATGATGTAACGTACTCGATTAAATGCTTGACTTGTTATATTGAATTCGTTACGCCTTTTCATCTCTTTTACACAACTTTTAAACAATTCCGTTATAAAACTTATGTACATATGATTTTGGTTCCTACGATACGCACAATTGAAATGTTCAACTCGTTTATTTATCAACATATAAGTAATGTCAAGTTCAAAACTGAATAAAAAGCCAGCTGTCAACCAGAGTTTGAAATAATTTAATTTTTTAGAGATTTTCGAATCAAGTTTGATCCTTAAAATTAGGAGAGTTTAAGGACATTACTAATCCAATTTCAATCTGATAGATTTTATTTTTGTGAGTAAAAATTCCAATGACAATTCTTGCAATCTTTATCAATTACCAATCACTGTCGTTAACTGTTGATAAGTCAATGTCCCAATAATTATGAAGTTGATGCGTATGGCGCAGTTTTCAATCACGTACATTAACCGTCCTTCTCCATTAACACAACAAAAGGCTTTTTTTAAAAATATATTTTTTGGCCATTGTCCTCTAAGTTTTACTAAAAAGGCCCAAAAGCATCGTCATCATCATCATCGCTTCATGATCTCGTGTCTATTATTTTGTTTTTTTTCTTGTTTATTATTCGTGTTGTTTAATCGAACGTACCGATGAGATAAGTTCACTAAAAAACTTGACGTGTTTCATGGCATTATTTAATTGATTTGAGTAATGAATTTTAAGCGTAGAATCAACGAACTCTGCGGATCGGATCTGGTAATAAATCAAGTTCTTGTCAAAGTTTAGAGAACATAATTAATCAATGGATGAGCTAATAAAGTGTTTTCAAAAAGTTTGGCATGATTTTTTACGAGAGATTTTCCCGTAAAGATTATTGAGCTTTTGATAATGAAATTCGAATTTTTTAAGGGTCGTTGGCTGATACAGATTGAAATTGTTATTTTTTATTGCTTGAGTGATGATAATGAGACATAAAAAATGTTGTTGAAAGCATAATAAAATAACTGTAGATAATGAACGATGGCTTCGCTTCATTATATTTATGAGATGAAACTTCATGCTTCTCAAATGCTTGAATGAAATTAAAAAGTTGAATTTCCTTGAACTATTCTTAGTGAACTTTGCATGATACCGCACCTATGTAAATAAATAGTCTTGATGTCATTTCAAGTTGATTCAACTGTTTAGTTTCTAGTTGCGAATTAATAACGATTATTATCACAATTTTGATCGAAATTATTGCATTTAAAGTTTTTATAATTGAAATTATAAGGAAGTCAGATTAATGTTTAAGCAACTGAAAGGATCAAGAAAACATTTATGAAGTCGTTTACAGCTGTTGACATCACTCCATAAATTGTTATGTTCTAATTGAGTTGCTGAATGTCCAAATATAAAATTTTGTAGCCATATTAACATCGTTTATATCTTGTAAGTGAAGGCAACATTGTTATTATTAAACATGACATCAACAATAATATGAAATAAAACGAGAGAGACAATAAAGCAAAAATCTCCAACGCAAATGCAGCTTCAACCAGTTTTGTAAATATAAATGTTCCATTCAATGTAACAATTCTTTTCTCTCGTTCACACTGATCCATCCTTGCGAAATAAGCAATTCAACGATGTTTGACAGCGAAACTTAATCCCAACAGACACACCATCAGCATAAGCACCAAAGTAGTAAGACGATTACTTATTAGAGGTCAATGGTGATGCATGATGAAGTGTGACTTTAATTGAATTTTTTTCTTCTTTCATTTTTTGTATTCACTTTTGTTCTTTGAAATCATTCCATTTTTTTTCTTTTGTATTGATAGAAACTTATGAATTAACATAAGGAAGTTTAAACAATAATCTCAATTACAATAACTGATCTTCCTGTTTCGATGTAATCGAAAAAGTTGTTTTGGCAACCCACACACATGTAATTGAATATGAAAAAAAAAAAAATTTAAATGAAGTAATTGAAGAAGAAGTTCAATAAATTCTTGAGGTTTTGCTACAACATTTAAATTCATCACTAATTCTCAGATGATTAAAATTGAAGCAATTTGAGATTTTCACATATTTCTTACTCCAAACCAGCATCAATAATTGGTAATTCTTTTTTGTCCCAGTCCAGTTGCTAAACTAGAATCCAGTTTGAGAAACGAAACGAAAGCGAGATGAAAAAGAAATGGAAAAGAGAAGAATAAGATATTGATCTATGTTTTGGCACACAGGCAGCATTATAAACTGCATCATCATGTCCCTCGAGGGCAATATTCTCTTCATGTTGAAAACTTAGAACGATTTTTTCCTTCAATTTGCTTTACTGCTTCCTTCATTTGACGCTTGTTAAAGTTCTTTCACTTTTCAACTTTTCTTCCTCTCCTTTTGTTTCTTCCCTGCTCTTATCATTTCTGGTTTTTATTAGTTCATAGAAGCTTCACGATTGCATCTATTTTCATATACATGAGAAGTTAACACAAATGCCCAGTTAAAGTTAATGCCCTCTATATGAACATCATTGCCTGCACTTTCAGTCCATATTCATTGATGCGCGCAGTGCATATTGGACTTCAATAAATTCAAATCATAAAGCAAAGCAAAAAGTCAGTTGGGTCAATGTCAATGTGATTGAATTCACATCTCTATAAATTCTGATTTAAATGTTGAAAATGACGGATAAACGTAATTTGCATTAAGATGAATCTTGTTTTACTAAAAACTTACTTCAATGACATATTTAAAGTTTAAAAAAATTATAAATAAATAAAATCGAATTAAAAACGTTTTTCAATTTGCCACCTCGTTTCTCAAACAATTTATTCTGATAGCAATGCTTGAAGATGGTTGAAAATAAACAGAAATAAGCGCGAGACAAGATCGAGTAAAAGGAGAAAAAAAAATTAAAACCGTGAGACTTCAATGACTGTACGCGTCCCGCACCACATGCAAAGTTGTTTTTGTTTTACTACTCCGCAATGTAAAAATATCTTTAGTGTAACATTCGAGTTACTAGTATGTTGCTGTTGAAAAACATCCGTAAATTCATGTTGTCGTCTTTTTTTCTTTTGTAAAAAGTTAATATTTTTATAAAAGTGTTTGTGAAGTTTTAAACCCAACGAAGAAGCTGTAAGGCATTGAGCTTGTAGACGATCGACTATAAAAGCCTAGTTGTACGATTCAAAAATCATCAGTCTAAACTCAACCGTCTAGTGTTCATTTAACGTGCTTTGACAAAACCAAAAAAGAAATCATTTCAAAATGTTCAAGTTGGTATGTAAATATTATGAATAATTTTGAAGGTTTCCTTAACCATTTGGTTGGAAAGAATTCTAAGATTGATGTCAGGATTAAATAAATGTTACTTTACAGTTAGTAGCTTCATGTGTTTTGGCCGTTGCCAACGCTGGACTTATTGCCCAACCTGCAATTGTTCACCATGCTCCAATTGCCACATCTTATCAGTCAAGCCATGTTGTTCACCATTCAGCTCCAGTTGTCAAAGCGTAAGAGTATCATTAGGATGTCAAAATTTTTCTCTCATAAAAGTTCTCACTACATTCATAGCGTCCCATTGGTTCAAGCTGCTCCAGTTTACCACGCTGTGCATGCCGCTCCTATTGTTAAGACGTAAGAAGTTTCCGTGATTTAAAAAAAACATTTTATTGAAATATTTTCTGCCTTTTAACAGTGTTCATGCTGCCCCTGTTATTCAAACAGTGCACGCTGCTCCACTCATCAAAACGTAAGAGAATCATTTGAAAAACTTCCTCGTCATTCTTGACTAATGAGAATTTTCCAATTAATATAGAGCTCATGTTGTGCATGCTGCCCCTCAAGTCGTTCATGCCGTGCATCATGCTCCAATCGTTAAGACCATCCACCAAGCTCCAATCTTGCTTCATCATTAAATCCACCCACGCGCCATACAACAACTGATTGTGGAAACAGGAAAACAGTGCAAATTATTTTAAAACTAAAATGTGTTTCAAAATTAAATAAAACAAAACGAATTCTATGAATCAAAAAGAAAGAAAAATTATTAAATACATTGGATACTCAATAATACAAAAAGAAAAGCTCACAAACAAATTCTTTTTTATTCTGTTTAATTAAAAGTTAGAAAACAGCGACAAGGCTTCATTTATTAAAATCTTTGAAAGCTTAAACTTCACAAGAAAAAAAAGTTTTAAATTTTTAAAACTTGCATAAGTTAAAGCTTTTTCATGACGATAATTTTAAAAGTAGCATAGAACAAATTAAGCTGCTTGGAACATTACATCAAGAGTCTTATGTCTGAAATATTTTCATGTTTCTGGTTAATTATGAGTAAAGTTTTGTCATTGACACAGAAAATGAAAAATGACCCATAAAGATGTGGGCTTTTGTAGCTTTATGTTGAAATTAAGTTTCCTAATTTGAGGCTTCAAGCATCGGTTCATATAAATTTTTACTATGAAATGAGTAATTAAACTTTACTGGCTTTGACAAAAGCTTTTACTTGTGGTTATTAATAGTTTCTCTTTACTAAATGAACAAACTTTTATTTGAATTAAAAAAGTGTCGTAAAATTGTGACCGATTCCATTCACTCTTCAACTTCGTGAAAAGAGAGATCGTAAAAGCATTTGCTTCCATCCATTGATATTTAGTAAAGGGAAAAAAGGAAGCCAGAGATTGAACATAAAGTGATGAGTATCATTTGCCAAATGAGTTTAATAGCGATAGAGACAGTCGAGTAGTGTCATAAAAGCTTTTTTTTAACATCCCGCCGAGTGAACTATCAAAACGGTGGCTGTTTGAGAATACCAACACCAAGAATGTTAATGGAATAAATCATCTCGAATTTACATCTCTACTGACTCTTATCCTTATCAGTAATGGAATTTTCACTGTCGTAAATGACGGAAATCGAAACATCAATCAATGTCAAGGTCGAAAATTTTAGAAAGCAATTTAAATCTCACAATTTGGTATGCTTGATAAGTTATTCGATTTTCCGAATTCCTTTTTTTCTCGCTCATTCTTTTCCTGAAATGTATTCAAGGATTTTCTCAATTATAGTAAAAATTTCATGTTCTTCGCCAGGTTGCAACGTCGGGGTTTTCTTTAAAAAGCAAATAGCAACCACTTCTATGGATTTGATTTCATTGTGAAGGAAAAGCGAATAAAGAAACGGAAAATATTTACAAAAATATAAAAATTCCTTTTCAAAGCTATGAAGGAAAAATTCGCTTTTCACAACACTAGAAACAAAGAATGCAACGAGTGGAAATGAATCTCAGATATTTCTATTCTTCCATTCATTTAAAACTCGTACGCCTCAACTCATGTTCGGAAATAATTTGCTTTTATATTTCTTCAATTGGCACTTTTTTTATTCTTACTCGTTTAATTATCGTCAAAGCAAATGAGAATAATAGAAAAATGAGAATTTTCCAATTTAACTTTTAAACGCTGTCGCATTTTTTTATTTCTTTTTCTATTGAAAAATGTCAACAATGTTTAATTATCACTTTTCCGAGTAAATAAACCACTCACATTGTTTAAAATTAATTGTTGTAAATGTTTCCAAGAAGGAAAATAAATTTTCCCGTGACTTAGATTTTTCCTTTATAAAAATTAATAAAAAAATCGTGACATTGACAATGAAATTCGTTTTCCCTCGTCATCTGTTAACAATTGAAAAGGCCATTTTGGGATTTTACATTTATTTCGAATATTTCTCATAAAATGTCGTATTTATGACTTATAAGCACAAACGATAAAAAAATTATCATTTCAACCATTCAACACAGGTATTTATGCTGTCAAGGAGAAAAGTATTTTTGGATCACTTTTACGTTTATGTTGTGACTTCCTTTCTCATAAAAAGGTCCTATACAAAGGATCGGACATCTCTGTGACCATGAAATCAATCTGAGAATGATGTATGGTTACTTAACGACAGGGATTGATGGTTTTAAATATCTGCTCGAGGATATTCAACACATAAAGATACTGAAGGATCTTTACGATGAATTTTAACGTTTCCTTGACTATTTACAAGAAAAAGCTTTTCATTTTAATCTTCATTATTCATTTGTAAAGGAACATTGATAAACAATGCTCGATTATAATTAGAAAATATTAAAAGATTCAGCTTTGTCATTGCATTCTTTTTCATTTATTTCAGGTTTTTAGCAATTTGGTGGCCTTTGAAGATGCAAATATCAAAAAAGCGGGCTAAGGGAATGATTGTTGGTATCTGGTTTATAGCTTTGAGTATCACAATACCTTGGGCAATGTACTTTCAACTTGTCCCAATCTTTCCTGAGCGGCCTGAAATTAAAATGTGCTTAGAAATTTGGCCGAGTCAATACCAAGGAACACTTTACTTCTTAATTGCTAATCTTCTTGCTTGTTACTTGATACCAATGATAATGATCTCCATTTGTTACACTCTTATCTGGATTAAGGTGAAAATCCTGAAAAGACTCTTATAATAAGATGAGACTCACTAATTCTATTTATCTTGTTTAGGTATCTCGACGTGATATTCCTGGTGAAACGAAGGACGCTCAAAAGGATCGAATTCAACAACAATCAAAAATCAAGGTCGTAAAAATGCTTGCCCTTGTTGTAATTTTATTTGTGCTTTCATGGCTTCCACTTTATGCTGTGTTTGCCATTATGAAGTTTGGTAAGTGATTCCTAATTGATAAAATGGTTTCAGTTGATTTATTTTCCTATCACCGCCATGCTTGCAGGCGGTTCTCTCGATACAAGGACCGAAGAGTTCCTGAATATTTTCACACCAATAGCTCAGTGGCTTGGATCAGCTAATAGTTGCATCAATCCCATTCTATATGCATTTAATGAAAAATATCGACGTGGCTTTATTGCAATCATTCAGTCTCGTAAATGTTGGGGTCGATTAAGGTGACATTCTATTAAATTTATTTTCAATTAAAAACGTTTTAATGTGTTTAATATTTCTTTAACAGATATTATGAAACCGTTGCGATAACATCTTCAACAGCCAGTACTAGAAAATCTTCGCATTACAACAATTATAATAGTACTCGACGCGCTCCATATAGTCCCTCCGCAAAATCCGATGCCGTGTCATTCATATACGATCAGTCAAACATGAATAAGAAGCATAATGGCTTATCGAAGCAAAATAGCAATTTGTCACGACAGATGCTGCTTAAGCAAGATTCAAGTGTTTCGAGAAATTCAATCTTGAAGCAAGACAGTATCCAATCTTCAAGGCAAATCTTAGCAAATAATCAGAACAAATCCGAGCACATGACCGAGTATTTGTGTCGACAAGATAGTGCGAATTCGTGTCGAGCGCTGTTGAAACAAGATAGCAATGGTTCAATTCTATCAAAACAAAACTCCCAGGTGTCTTATTGTGAGTCGAAGAAAAGTTTCTCATCATCAATTGATTCTTGCACAGACCTGAGAAAGGAGTCAATTTTAAGACAAAACTTTCAAAACGCCTATATGGAAAAGAAGAAAGCATTGTCCAAGCAAGACACGGAAATATCATTGATTGAAGAGAGCAGAGGAATCTTGATTAACAGCCAAGATAGTTGTGCTTCTCTCATTTCAACAAGTTCAGCTGCGAGACGACAACGGCTAGTGAAGCAAGATTCAATTCACTCGTACGGAGAGCCGATTAAGAGCGGTAAGAATTTTTCACTTGAGTAACTTGTAAAGCGAAATTCTTTTATAATTTGAAGTTAGTTTCATGACAAAAAATTATGTTTTGATTATAAATGAAAGTTGACTTTATGAAGATATTTTCTATTCACAGCGTTATCTGATATAAAACGAAGGGAATTTGTCAAGCAGGAATCCGTCGTATCAGTGTCATTTGCCGACCAGCCTGAAATTATTTAACAAGAAATCGATGTCTACTATTAGAAGCAAAATTTAGGTGAACTTATCAAATTCATTCATGGTAAGAGAAGTTATCCGATGTTGTGTAGTCCCAAATAAATAATTTAAAAAGATTAACAAATAATAATAAAGAAAAGTATTTTACGATTTAAAGATAAACTATATTTTATACCAGAAACAAGTTTCAAAGTGTATAAAAAGATTAAAAAAATATTTTAAGAGAAAAAAGTTAGAACAACAGCATTAAAGGAAACAAAAGATTTTGTGCATCAAGTAAAATATTAACAAAAAAACGACACAATTAAAAAGAAATAAAATCAATGCGACGCACAAAAAGCATGACACAAATGAAGTTTAACTTTATTATGTTTGTGTTAATTACTTTTTGGGGAGACGTTTATAAATAATGTTTTTATAGATGACTACAAAGAAAGATATTTTTGAATGGCTGAAAGTGCTGTAATTTGTAAATATCTCCCCACGTACATACATACATATGATGATTATGATTTTAAGATAATAAAAACTAAGTCCTTGGAAAGTAGAAATGATTCTTAAAAAGATGGACATGAATTTATCGTGTAACAGCATATGTAAGCTGAATGACAATCTTGAGCAATATTTGCAAAGACGAATGAACCATAAATTGTGGACACGACGAATAGCTTATCAGTATTACGAAGGCGTTTCATTTCTCTGCTACTGAAAGATTTGCTGACTCAGAGTCGATTTCAAGGTTTAAGTTGATGCTTTGATTTGTGAACTTAGTTTTCATTATAAGTATATTTAAACGAAAATAAATCGATTTTCATTGATGAATAATATCTGAAAAGATCGCACAAACACTTGATAGAAGAAGATTTTCTGATGGTAATAAAAATTTCTTACTAAATATTTATATGAGAAGAACTATTTTCATTTCAATTCATTCAAATTCCTACATAGAGGAATTCAATTCTTCTGATTTTATTTATTAAATTCCTATAGAAAAAAATCAGTTTTAAATTAAGTTAGTCCAATAATTTTTCTCATTTTATGTCACGTGAATACTGTCGATGATTAGTAAATAATGTTAAATTTTTCGTACGAATAACATCATTTCAAATGTCATGAAGTAAATGTGAGAAAAAAGTTGTCTATGAAACATATTTGACGATATCGACATCACTGTCATTGTTAATGTTGAACGTGTTTTATGACATGATGAAATTAGCATATAATGACATTAAAGTAAATTTGTTTAATGATGTGCTTTGTTTTATTTCGTCAAAAAACAATGCGTGTTGAATACAATAAAGAAATCCTTTTCCAAATGTTGTTATTAAGATCCCTGAATGATGACGATGACACAGAAAAACTTAGTTACTGCCTTCAAAACAGAAAAAAAAGCATTGAAGTTCATGCAATAATTTTGCAAAACAGCAATTTTTATTCTTTAAGATTTGTTTTAGATAGTAGAAAGATATCTAACATTAATATTCCATTATTGATTTTGTTCTAGCGACCACAAAATAAAACGAATTTGGTATCAATTGTACCGTCTAACTTAAATAAAAAAGAAGTAATACAAGACATGTTTAATTTTGAATGTTCAACGTATTCGTAAGTTTAGAATAAAGTTGTAAATTTATGGCGTCATTCAAGCAAAAAATATATAAATATGTATACATAAAAATATATTGAATTCATTGTTCGTGTAACTAGGATCATAATAATAATAAAAAAGAAAGCAAATATAATTCAACTACCTAACATCACAATGAAACAATATTTTTCAAATCAACTCTTGACAGTAAATTTCATTCACAGTGAAAAATAAATGAAAACTTCTTTAACTTCATTTTCACACAAACGTTTATTTAAACAATTTAAAACAATGAAAGAGGTTCGGGTAAATATGGGTACTCAAAAATTAAAAAAGAAAATATTAAAGAAAACTTCAATACACGTTAAACAAATTTAAGCAGTTCAAAGCATGGAGAAAAACCTGTCATGATGAAACAGACAATATCATGCCATTATGCATAATAGAAAGAAATAAAAATGGAATTCAACATTATTTCGATGATCTAAATAGCGAGACAAATCCTTGCATCACATTTTCTACCTTTAGACCAACAAGAGATTCATTTGCCTCTGTTTCATAGTTTAATAAAAATACTAAACTGTGCTCGACGCACTCGTTCAGAATAAAATTGAAGAAATCCCAGCATCAAAAGTTAGGGGAAAAATTTCCTGCACATTTTTAGGCCCGATGATGAAAGTTTTTAAGTATGCAGTTTTGCATTGTTAACATATCAACAAAGAAAAAAAGGAACGAATTGATTTTCTATTCTAAAAATTAATTAAATAAAAATTCTTTTAATAATCTTCTTTTTATATTTTTAGTAAGATATTTGAAGCAAATTAAATTATTGAATTCTAAAATATCATTTTAAATGATACTTAAAAATCGTTCGTTTAATTTTGTGGAAATTAAAAAGTAAAACTATCAAATTTATAAGAAAAATGAAGCAAGCAGTTTGCAATTCTTATCATATCACTTGCCGACAAAGACAAAAAAAACTGCAAAATGGAAAGGTCAGGCTATAAGCAAGTCAAAATTGATGAAACCCTACATATAATTTTAAACAATCTTTCTCTTTGAAAATGAAATAGAAATAGAGACAGAATTGTCGAAATAATTTGAAAAACTTTAAAAAGAGAAGTAGAGAGACGAACATTTATTTTTTATACAATGGAGATAAAAAATTGAGGTCAATGAGAAACAAATCGTTTTTAAAATTTCAAACTTTCATGACATCGCCCTCCATATGCTGTTCCTATCAATCCAATGATACCAGGAACAGCTTTTAAACATGCAATGAAGAAATATATTTTTCCACCATGATTGATGACATTGATTTTCGTTTTTTCAGTTCAAAACACTCATGCATTTTAAAGAAGAATAAAGTGTAGGTAGATCGTAGTTTTCATACCTTGAGTTGAAGACAGAAGTAATTATTTATTGATCACTTTATAGAGAAAAATTTGTGAAAGATTCAGTAAAACTTTAATAACAAATTAAGAAATTTCAAATATTTTTTTCGCTGTTTATTATTTGATGTTGTTGTGCTGTGCAATATTAACGTTTAATGTGTTTATTAAAAGAAGGCAAAAGATGAGAGCATTCAATGTTTTATGGAAAAAATATTTTATCAGTATTACTTACTCATAAACGTTTATTGATTGTTAAATCATAGAAAATCAGTAACAATAATCAAACGCTTTTTTCCATTACCTGATTATGACCGATGACAACATAAAATAAAAAGATTTTAAACTTCTAAGTTGTTATCAAGTTAGGTATAATGTTGTCATGACTTATAGAAAAAGGATTTTAAGTTGAAACTTCTGTTATCTTAGTTACATAATAACGATAGTCACACAAAATGTATTACGTTGATTCGTTAGTAAGTAGAAAAATAAAGAAATTAATTCTATGTCACTAAATGATGAAGACATTTATTGAAAGTTGGAAAAATTTAATTAAATGGAATGAAATCGATCAATCTTTCTTTTCATATAAGACTTTATAATAATTGATTACTTGATTTTAAAAATAAGATGAGAGATAATTTATCGATAGGATTGTTCGATGACATTCTACAAAAATTTCACATTCAATTTTTCTTATTAAATATAAAAGAAAAAATCGCAACTGAAATTTAATAAACAATCATGTGATAGTTAAAGAGATGAAAAAGAAGATCACAAATGACAGAAAGATAAGTCAACATATTATTCGTGAAGACGAGTAATTTTTATTTGTGGTTAATCTGATTAATGTAACCAATTTGTAATGGACACAAAAAAAATTGTAGCGTAAATTAAGACGCATAAATAAATGTTTATGGCAAACTGACAAAATGTGTTGTGTTAATCAGATCTGTGAACAAAACTATTTGGTAAATGTTCGAACCTTGAAAAATTGAAAGATTTGTCTTGAAACCAACAAATTGAATAACAAATATAATAAAGAATATAAAACTAAACTGAAATGTTATTATAAAAATGATGTTTTATTTACAATATCACTTTACAAATTAATTAGAAAAGAATTTTCTATTCCAGGGAACAATTTAGGAAACATCGGTTTATGTGACTTTTTAATTTAATTACAAAGAAACTAGAAAAGCTTCTGCAATACAAATAAGTAGTCGCCAATGATGATTCTGTAAGAACATAAACAGATAGTTCAGTAAACTTTTTTGATATAGAAACGGCAGACGAACTATGAAATGTTCTGATTTTTTATTAGATATTATAAAGACTTTGTGTACCAAAATATTTTTCTAATTTAAAACTTCAATTTCCTTTATACAACATGAATTTGAGCTTCTATTTGAAAAAAGAAATTTCCTACGAGTTCTAATCTTTCATCAGGATATTTCTGTTTAATTGTCCTTTTTTATGGAAGTTTTCAAATTCAATTACAAAGAAGGTCCGCAGTTCAAAGATTGTTTAATTAACAACGTTTTACCCATTTTTTCTTATTTCCCTTCCACCCATTTAAAGAGAAATTCCATTAGAATTTTATTTAATTAGTTAGAGTCTTCTTAAAAAAGAATCGCCTAGAAACAATTCAAAGATTTATAAAAAACATTTTCAAAAGTTTCATCGCAAATAAAAGCAATAAAAGCCACAAATCTAAAGGATATTTCAAATATGTTTAAAAGTACGTCATATGAGTGTGAGGTTGTAGCTTGAGGCAAAAGCTTTGCCGTGACTTTGAATAAATTGCTTTCAGGTATGCGTCATTAATGCTTAACCACATGCTTTTGTGGAATTTTATTTACATGAGAACCTTCTCGTTGTGTCGATATAAAGATCTACATAATTAGCAAGGTCGACTGAATCAAATTATTTGAAGCATACAAACGTTAACTCAAATATGAAGACATTATTTGGTTTGTTTCAACAAGCAAAGGAATGTTTTTCAAGGACTTATATCAATAAAAGAATTTGAAAAGATATTTCGGAGATCATAGATCAAGTGATGATGGAGTGCTTTCAATGATAAGAAAAATCAAAGTCGATTACCCTCTCATCGATTACAAAGTTTATTCAGTTTCTCTTTTGCTTCATTTTTTTTTATTTTACTTCAAGGATTCGGTATTGTAAACAAAAATCCTTACATATTATCAAAATCTAATATCAGCGCCCATATAAACTCCTAACTCATGATTCCCTTTTTATACATTAAACAACATAACATGTAGATATCCATTTTTCATGCATACAAAAAAGGGCATACATATGTGATGAATCAAGAATGTTGGAAACGGCAAATAAATAAAGAAAAAATCCTTGAGTCGGGAATCAGCCTCAAGGTCCTTGAAAACTGAAAGGCGAATGAAAAGAACGAAATAAAGTAAACTACGCTGATGGAAGGTCTCATCATTTGAGATCCTTTTAAACTGCCGTATTGCTTTCAAAACTTCATCGTCTTCATGTTATAAATGAATGAATGAAAAAGCAGTGAAATATCTTTTCGACGACAGAGTACTTTCTTCTGATGGAATAAAAGATTCAAGATTAGTTCCCTTTTCATTTTCATTTTAGGCTGGTTTCGTTTATTTGTGGCCTTTGAAGCTTGATAGTTTTTTTTTTCTCCCTGAAAAGGATCATTAAGACGTTGTCTGCCGGCGTGCTTTTAGATGTGAAAATCGCTTTACAAATTGTAAGAAAATAATCGATTCTGTTTCGTAATATTTCTTATGACCTTTTCAGTCTTGAAGTTTTCCTTTGCACTTCAATGATTTAAATATAGTTTTCTTAGGTTTCATTACAAAATGATAAAAAGTTTACTTTATTTCAGTTTCATTGTTGCTGTCACATTTCACTATCGTTGATTACAAATATGTGAATATTTCAATTATTTAGTTTAACCTTACGTTTTAAAAAGCTCTTGGAAGTTGTGTGGAATTATTTTTGTGAAATTAATCTGCACGCCATGTGATAATAAATGGCTTTGTGCATGCATTGTTGCTAATATATCTTTCATTTTACACTCTTTGCTTTCAACTAGATGATGAATCTTCAGATTTAATGCAACTACACAATACTGCAACAATGTAAAGCAAAAAAAATAAACTTTTGGATTTTATTATCAAACCGGAGACATCTTCTGTCTGTGAAAAATAAACGCAAGTTTTAGATTGTATTCATGATTTTTTTATTCATCAACAGTATTAGCATTGATATTGAAAATTACTTTCGAATGTTCCAGATTTGATTTCAAAAATTGATGTTTTTTATAAAAGTTAAACAATTTGGAAACAGCTGCTTTTTGGACAAGATTGATTTGAGACATACGAGTTGTAAGAGGAATAAAAAATTTCCATCACCTTGAACCCTTTCCTAATCTGTTTTTCATAGTGATTGCCGATGGTCTTCTGAAAATCTCATCAAGCGTCAAATGATGCATAAAGTGAGATCTTGAAATAAATTTCTTTCTCAAACATGTGCTTTATCTGTGCTAATCGGTTAATGTAAGATTTTTCTCCTCTGTTGGTTTCTATTCGTCTTGAAAGAATTTTCCCACTTCAGATTACTTTTATTTTCTTATTTCTTTGTCAAATTTAATTAAGGATATAATGGCCAACGACATTCCTTTTTTCCTGCCTCGATAATTGACTTTGAACGTCTAAAGGGAGTCGTTAGTGATAAAAAAGAAACAACTTAAGAATCTTCTTTCATTTCGTCGACAGAATTTGCCCAAAAACTCATCTCAAGGGCGTATAACAATCTTCCATTCTTGTCGAAAGAAAAACCATTTTTCTACTTCATATCTGCGAATATGAAACGAGTCCTTGCGGAAAGATTTTCACTTAAAATTGAAAAACAAAATTTTGCTTTATATCATTAAAGGAAATGAAGATTTTTTGAACTTTCAGAATTGACCGATAACTTTGACGACATCATTGCAACAGCTGCTCAATTGTGATGTGAAAAATTGATTCGGACTTTGACTGCAAAAATTTTAAACGTTTTTCTTTTCAACAAATTTTTATGAGCTTTTAAAGCAAGACAATCATAAATATCTGAAAGAAATGTACGTTTGAGTTGAACAAGCAGACAGTTATACAAATGTTGACATATCCGGAAACATTCTTAATACAACTGTTGACTTTGTGCGAAATTAATTTTGTAAACATTTATGCTTCATTTCTCATTCGCATGTTTATCATCAAGTACCTTCTTATTTTTCTTTTGAATTCGAAGAGAAATTAAATTAATTTTCTTATTGCATAAATTTCGCGGATTTTCTCAACAACTTTCCATAAAACGTTAAAAAAGAAGCAAAAACAAAACTTTTATGATTACTTGAAATGCTCTTTATTAATATTTGCAAACAGAAAGTTTTTAATTTTTCCCATAACATCAGTGTAAAAGAAAAATAAATGATAGCCAAATTTTAGCTTTTGATGGTGGTAAAAATTTGTTTTCGTACAAACAAAGAATTATTAAATAAGAAATTTATGCAAGATTCCCAGATTGCTGTTGGTTGATTAGTGTAAATAATTAAACTTCGATCATTTATTTTTTCGAAGCTTCAGCCGCTGCTTTTTGTTCCTCCTTCTTTTTCGCTTTGGCAGCTAACGCTGCTGCATCTCTAAAATGATAAGATGAGAAGATAAAAATGACATTGATTTAATAATTAGGTATTTGAAAATCGACGAAGGCCAATGAGTTATTTCGTGATGAAGTGTTTTTTTTTACGTTTCAATATTATTTGTCTTGTTAGGTAACAAAAAACCAATGATAGTTGGAAGCGACTTATATTTTATGTTAAAACATTTGTTGATGACAACAGTGACGAACAATTCCATTGACACATCTTCATTTTAAAAACTCACCTTTCTCGCCTTTGTTGAGGAGTTAACCCGTCATCATTCTTTTTTGCATTGGCATCTTGTTGCTTTTTAAGATTTTTCGCTCTGGCTAAGTCGCGCTGATTGCCACCTGGAGATGAAATACAAGAAAATTTAAATTTTTAAGATTAGAGAATGAATGAATCTCAAAAAATAAATGATTTTACAGTTGAGTTAAAGGAATTGGTCTTTGTCATGATCTTAAAACCATTGATAATACTTTTTTCAACAAACTTACGAGTCATTTTTGATTAGAAACCAAGATTTAATTTTTTTGTTATTGAAATATCTTGCTGAGAATATTTTTAAGGAGAAATTGAAATTTGGTACACAAGAGAGTAGTTTTAGCCCCTCGATTTGAAATTTAAAAAACCGTTAAAAGTTTAAATTCGCATTTCAATAAATTATATTTGCATTAAATTTTTATTCAAATTAACTTACCTACTCTCTTTTTTTTCACCTTTAATATGGTGCACCATGACGTAGGAACCTACAAGAATTATGAAAAAATTTGAACAAATAAATTATTTTCTAGAAGACCATAGCGAGGTTCAAAAACGGAAAGTGGTTTACATCACTGGAATTTCTGACGCTCAGCTTTAGCTGACAAATTAACGTTTTTAAAAAGTGGAAGCTTGATTAAAAGTTTTTCAATATCTAAATAAAAATTCACTATTAAATTGGGTTTGCTTTAGATATTTCTAAGTATTTTAAATCGGTCCTAGAAATTATCATCAAAGAAATGCCGAAAGTAAAAGCAGAAATTCGTGATTCATCGCCATCAACTACATCAGGTTTGTTTACACGCGGCATTTTTAGTTTAAACATTTTACTAATGATGTTTATTAACTTTTAGATGAAAAGTCAATTTCTAATGATGACGGTGAAAGCAGTACCGATTATGAAGACGTGTCACCTTTTAGTAAGATTTTTAATTTTATTTGTCAATACAAAATTTATATTTTGCATTTTTTCCAGAATCCAATTCAAAGAAAGTTTTCAGCAGCACTCAAATTGTCAACCCGAAAGAAAATCTATCGCGGAAAACACAAATAAAAAAGAAACTTATCAATCATTTGCAAGGATCAAATGTCGCTCACCGCAAGCATACAGCTGCGGTTCGTAACATAAAATGGGATTCAATTCAGATCGACGACTTCACAACTGAAGAGCTTCAAAACAGCCTAAGTGAAATTATCAAATCCGCAGGAACTAGTCGAACCCTTCATGAAATTCTAAATGATTATGAAAGCAATTGGAAAAAGTATGAAATTTCCAACCATCCAGATTTTCCTTCAAGACCTCACATACCATCAATGCAATTCTTCATGGTCAACAGGAGTAAGTTCGAGCAGAAATTAGAGAAAGAAAATGGTGGGAAAAAAGTTGCTTATGTTAGTACATGTCATTAAGATCAAAAAATATTTACTTGATATTTAATGAAAAATTCTTTTTCCAGCGAGATGTCTATAAATATGGCATGCAGAAATTCAGAGAACTACCAGAAAAGAAAAAGCAAGGCTACATCGATACTTACGCAGCAAATCAGGAAGCTTTTAAAGAGATAAAGAAACAGTTTTTCAAAGATCACCCGGAACTTAAAATTGGTAAAAGTGACAGTGTTTCCAGTAGAGCTGGAAAGAAAGATGAAGTTTTTAAAAGTACTTTACTTCTAACTCCATTTCATCATTATCGGGAAAAATTGTTTGACGAGGGAACCAGAGTAGATTTTGCAACTGTGCAGAAGATGTGGAAAGAACTGCCAATTCTTGAAAAGGGAAAATACATTGCTGAAGTAGCAGACATGGACACTGACAAGGAAAAACGACTTTCGAAAGAGGAACTAAAGATTCTAGATCAATATCAAGGCCTTCCATCTCGTCCTATCTCTCTTTATCAGCTGTTTTGTAAGAAACTTTTTGAGGAAACAAGCAAAAGAAAGGTAAAGAAAACGCTGACTCAAGTAGCTGAAGAATGGAAAAAAATATCAAAGGAAGAGAAGAGTAAATTGCAAAACGAAGTTGACAAGTACACAGAAGAATGGCGCGAAAAAATGGAAGCATACATACAAAAGATGCCTAAAGATCAACAACCAATGCTTCGTTCAAAGTACAATTTATATAAATTCGATCAGAAGCACAAGCGTAAGATTACTGACTCTACAAACTCGTTAAAATCAACAAATGCAAAGAATGATGGTCGAAGCAAACTTTCTTTCGACGATGACTCCGATCAAGAGGAATTTCCTATGCCTAAAAAAATTAAGAAGGAAAATGGATCTCCTTCACTTAATGACAGTGATTCCTCTAAAGTGCAAACGAGTTCTGTTTCTAAAGAAAAGAGTCCTTTAAAATCGCCAAAGAAACAAAAACTTAACGAGCCAGTTTATCCCTCACAAACTACTGCTCATTATTATATGACTAAAATCTATGATGGAAAACCATCAAAAGTAATAAAGGCATACAAAAAACTTGATGCTAAGGATAAACGTATGCATCGAGCCACCATGATACAGCTTCGCAAACAGTTTTTGGATGAATCTGCTGCATACGTAAAAAATGCAGATCCAACTGCTATTGTCGCTTTTCAGTTGAACATTAAAAAATCGAGAGAAGCTCAGAAAGAAGAGATTACTTGGCATATTGATACTGGAACTGATAAAGAATCAAAGAAATATAGCAGCAGTAGCGACAGTAGTAGCAGTGATTCCGATAGTTCGTAATTAATTTTTCTTTTCAACAATAAACAGTTCAAAGCTGAGACAAGATCCTTAGCATAAACCAAGACACATATTTAAATTTTTCCGTTATATTCTCTTATATTAAGAATTTTCTTTCCTTTTAAACTTGTAAAGATTGAGATGTTAAATAAAAGAAATTTTTATTTTTCCTTAAATTTTGAAGAATTCTGTCATGTATGGCCTTCTTTGACTAACAAATAAATGCATAATACTTTCTTTACAATATATAGAAGGATCTAAGAAAACATCAGCATTCAAGCATTTTAGTCATTATCATAAACGATTCTTTTGAAAATAATTCTTATTTCATGCCATTAAAAATGCACTTGAGGATGAACACTACGAAGAAAATTAAACATCGCTTCACTTTAGATTGCTATCATCACAACAATTCATAGAGAAGAGGGTGAGATAAAGGAGTGGAAAGATATTTGAAAGTTCATGTCAAGCACATTAATGCGATATGACACAAATTTCGGGACGAACAAACTTGTTGTGAACAACGATAAATTCAAATTATTAAGCATGGAAAATTTTTCTTCGAGATTCTGTACGTTTGGAAATGAGATACGATGGAAATCAGTAATTTGATGCATCTGCCAGAACATAAATATTTTTTTTCTCCTTCTAATGGTTCTCCTCATAATATTTTCCTTACAAAAAAGGACGAAGAAAATATCAAGTCACAATTTTCAATATTTTTCTTTCAATGAAAACTTCGCGGAGCTTGAGATTTAGATTTTAGTCTTCTTCTTACAAACCCGTAATGGCTTCAGTGGTTTATTTGAAAATGAACTTCAATTTCCGCCCGATGTCTGAATGGAAGTATAGAATGTGATTTAATGGTGATGACGGTGGGATGTTCGATAAGAAACTTTTCTTTTTCGTCTTTCGCGCGCTTTACTTGATGCAAAAGATATGCTTAAATTGGGAAAATTGTATTTGTGCAAGTTTTAACATACAGAAAGCAGCGTGAATTTTGTATATCGTAGTAAGTTTAAATAGACTCAAATGCGAGACAAGAAACTACAAGATTCAGAAGTAATTGTACGAGAAGCACAGTAAGGTGAATAAATTTGCATTCTCGATTTTTCTATCGTCCTCGTATCTTCCCATTTACAAAGCACTTCACATACAAAACGAATTATGGTACATAAAATTTCTCACCCTTTTTGTGTGTCTAGGTAGCGACTACAAGAAATGAAATGAAAAAATGTATTCACATGCACTCAACCAAGAGTTTGTCGATAGATCACAATTATTATCATATGCGACATAAAAAAGAAACGAGAGGAATTCCATAGTAATAGGGAAAAGATATAAAATTCAATCTTTCACCTCTAAAAACGAGATAGATTGAGATGTAATGGATTCTATTAACGTCTACCGCAGTTATGTATCTCACATTGCATCCCATAATATTCGCATATCTCATAATTTCCATCAATAAAAAAGGAAAACTTGCGATACATAAATTTGGAAATTCGTGTGTTGTCACCGAAATGCTGGCAATTTGTTGAGTGTTCATGGCGTAATAAAACGAATAATTTGTGAGCTGTTACGAATAACAGTAAGTTATCCACCAATTTTGAGTGATGTTTTCAGAATGCCTCGTTCGTCGATATAACAAGTCTATGTTGAAAATAATTATTGACATACATAACGTCAATAAATTGAATTAATCATCGTTTTGACAACACATTTTATCGCAAAATTTTGCTTCGCTTCGTCGATAAAGTCAATTTATAAAACACCCTCGCGACAGCATGTGGTGGACTTCATATTGTTCGTTAAATTTTTGCTGATTACTTAAAGTTGATATTGGTTTTGGGGTGATAAAAATCACAGATAAAGAGAGGAATTTAAGTGCTTGCTTTATCATAATTGTTTTCTATTGATGTGCTTTTAACATGATTTACGTGCCCGCAGGGACGTGAAGTGTTTATTTAGCAAGACGAACCGAGATTTTCCTTCTTTAAACATTTTTTCCCGCAGAATTCTCAAAGGCTTCTCTTTTCTTTCTTTCTCTCTCTTTCTTTTTTTTTGATGGAATAAGCAAAAAAGAAAAATCCAAATTTACAATCGCTTGAAAAAATTTACTGCGCGAAACCCACACAGCAGAAATTTTGCCTTCGTTATTTTCATTTATGGAAAATCATAAAAATAATACAATAATCTACATCTGTTTCAATGAGCAGACGAAGTATGTTGTGAAAGAAGAGATTTTTTTTTGTTTCTTTCGGTCTTTTGCAAAACATCACCAAGCGAAGAATTGTGAAAAAGAGTTTGAAAAGAATTTCGCTGCTTTTCAGAATTATTTTTGCTTAGATTACGCTCATACATATATTGTTCTTTTATCTTTGCATTTTCTCTTCTTGATGAGGAAAAAGTTTCATTTGTTCCTTTTATTCTTTTTAATTTGAATTTCGATTTGTTTTTCCATAAAATAAAACAGAAATGTTAGGATTGTGAATGGAATTTTTTTAGATCAAGAGGAGTTTTTGTAATTAATGATAACTTTGTGCATAGATGTATGATTAAACATTCAGATCGATGTTTATAAAGATTATAAATTTTATGACAATCCCACACATAAATTCGTCTTTCATACGATTTTCAAGTTGATTTTTGCCCAACATACATTTATGACCTTTATGTGAACTTATCCGCCTTTTTTTCTTAGCAACGAGGGAAAACTCATGGGAAAAGTTTTAGAAGGGCAAAAACGGTCATAATAAAGCGAAGAAAAATTGATATGGTTTAAGAAATGTTTCCATTTGATTTGATTTTCTTCTTTTTCATTCGCTGGATTTAGCTGATTTCATTACTTTTTTCGCCCCCTTTAGGAAAGCCTTAAACAGCTTTTCTTTGACTTTCTTGTGAAAAGAAAAGAAGTCGAGATGAAAGCATGAATCCATAAAATAGATTTTCAATCATAAAGTTTTATGTTCTCTCAAAACTTTCTGCACTCCAAACGAATTTTGTTTCGTCTTGAAATATCTACTCGAAACTGAATTTGTAAAAATTCATTCGATTCAAGAAAGGAATGTTTGAGTTCTGAGTTCTTTCAAGTAATTATGAAAACAATTTTATTTTATTTTAAATAAAAATTGTTTCATTTCTCAACAAGAAAATGTTAATTCTTTATATTCCATAACTGAAAGAAAAAACTTATTTCATAATTATTTAAAACCTTTGAAAGAACATCAAATAAATTTGACTAATAAAGATGATTAGGTAGCAAGCGAAAATACTCATAATTTATTTTACTCTCGTAGAAAAATTAAACGACTCAATTTTTACGTATATAATAAAATATTTTTAGCATTTCATGTTAGTCTGAATTCTAAACTCAAATCCGTTAAACGTTTCAATAAGATGAAACTTCAACTCGTTATCGCAAGTGTTCTTGTTTGTTCTGCTTTTGCAGCTCCATCACTAGATAATTCCAACGATGTTGTGAATGAAGAAGATGTCGGCAGAAAAAATATTAAAGATCAATTTGATATGATTTTAATGTTGGCTGAAGAAGATAAATTTGTCAAAGGATTATTGAATTCTATTGATCAGTCGTGTGTCCTTAGAAAGTATAAGGAAAATCATATGCTACAAGACATTCAAACACCCATCGTCAATATCGCAGCCTTGGAAGAAGGAGAAGGAATAGACGCAGCGTTAGTTTTCGGAAACATTGCTTTGTCGTGTTCAAACAAGTTAAAAGGAGTCTTGGCATTTATTTTTGAGAATTTAATGTCTTATGGCAGTCTCATAGATGTATTCAGGGATGAAGATCCATTCAAAGAGTTCATCGACGACCTTGTTTGTTACAACAACTACGCAGTGAGATCGAACTTCCTTGATCCCAATGCTTATTCTCATTTGAATTATGAATTGGTGAACAAGACTCAAGAAGAATGTGACGCAGAAATTGCAGAAAATAAGAAAGATATTACCGAATTATTAGATGATGTCGCAATATTTGTTGGTGAAGGCCACAGAAATTGTTACCAAACGGAAATCATCAACACAGCTGAGAAGATTTTCATGAAGTATCTTCTCTTGATTCCACTTGGACTCACTGATGCCCAGAAAATGGAAGAAAAAACTGCATTTATCAATGACATTGTTGGCTTTTTGGAGAGACTATTGACATGCAATGCAAATATTGATAGAAAGTTCACGTCCAAGATCAACAAAATAATGAAAAATGAAATATCAGCCAATGAAATTTAATCTGAGATAGGCGAAAGGTTAATTTTTATTATGCAATTTCAGCGAAATCATAAATAAAAAAATATTTACCAAAATTATCAATGTTTTCATGTTTATGTAGCTATGCCGTAATGTCTTAAAAGATTAAAAAAAATGTGATTCAGATTATGAAACTCGTTGTTGTCACATTGTTGAAACTTTTCTTTCAGTGATTTTGATTGTGTTTTGTATTAAAAGCTAGTGTGAGGAAGGAAATCATTGTTTCTGCAATTATAAACATTTGTAATATAATTCATAACTTTTCCTGTCTCTAGCGACTACAATGATTTCATTATTCTTTTTTTTAAACATTTTATTTCCTTCCGTCTCTGTTTGGTGACTTCAAACATTACTTGGAAATTTTAATTTTTAGAGAAAAACTTGTTTCACGTCTTTTCAGCTTTCATTTCATTTTAGCACCATTTGAGTTAACGTTTATTAGGCATTGAGAGCACGAGAACATAAATATCATCATAATTTTTTTTCTGGCTTGGCTTCTCTAAGCGAGCAAAAATGAAGAAATTTTTAAGACTTAATATGAAAAGCTTTCTTTATAGTTTTTGTTTTTTTTTCAACAACTCCCTAACGTCACTTGAAAGCGTAAGACGATGTTGAAGTAATAAAATTATTATTTATGTTTTCAGTGTTCGTCATCTTAAATATTATGTTAGTTTTTCCTGAGAGTCTTCTTTGATGACGTGTTAAAATGATTTTTCTCTTTTTGCCTTGATATGATTTTAGAGTTTAAGAACCTTGTTAACCCTCGAACCTTTATTAAAGCTTTTGTTATTTGTCATAAATTTTTCACTTATTTATGTACTTTTTCATCACTGTGAATAAAGATGGAGAGTGTTAAAAAAAACTAAATCATTTCATGTTTGCTTCGCATTGCAGTTTCAAAACGCGTGGCAGATGTTAAAAGCATAACGTAAATGTTAAACATAAATAAGTTCTGAATTTCAAAGCTTTGAGCGTTGAATTTTTTTCACTTTTATAAGAGGATTAATTCTTTTCTTGTCTTGTTTTGCTCTCTGTTGTTCCATTTCAGCCTTTCATTTGATTTAATAAACTCTTTTGATGTTTATTCATTTTGGCAAGCATTTTGGTTCCCACAATATTACCCAATTATTTATGCAACGCCAATACAGTGAACTCTCTGCAATACTTAGTCATGTCAAACTGAGTGTTTGAAAGAACAAATTTAAGAAAAAATTTCGTCACATTCCTTCTAATTTTCTTTACATCGACAACCCACTGTATTATTCATTTTGCTTCCCGACGGTTGACAATGTCACTTTTTTCATGATTCAGTTAATAATATTTAGCTGGGATGTTTTTTTTCCTCTACTTCTTTTATTTGTGTTTCGGTGCCAGCGGGAATACTTATGGAATGGTTTGAGGGCGATGCTGATTTTTGTCATGTGCCAAATGCTGCCTCTGCGGTTCTCATTGACTCGACAAAAGGGAGATTGAGGGTTCCATTGTTTCTATATTGCATCAGCAAAATGAATTATCTCTGTTGTCGTTATTCTTCTTCGGATCATTCAGCAATTTTATGCTTTACAACATGGACTTTATTTCTATTAAAAGTTCTCGAAATTTTAATGCAGATGAATGTCATTAATTAAGCTTTTAAAATGGCAAATAATTCAGTTTCTCTTAGGAAGTTGTTTCAAAGATATAATAACAAGATTTTTAATGTAGAAATTAACAGATCGTAAAAGTTTCAAACGTGATTAATTAAATAAAACGGAAGGAAAATGATGAACCTCCCAGAGAGATAATAAAAGATATCAAGTTCATAGTTTCTCTATAGCTCAATTACATGTTTTTGAATCTAAAAGTTATCGACCGAAATAACTACAATTTGATAATAATTTTTGATTAAAATTCTTCATTGAAAAAGTTTTTAGCACTCATAGACTCGTTGAGATATTTTTGATACCTTTAAGAAATCAATCAACATAAAATAAAGATTCGAAATCAAGAACATGCTCTGAAAATCATATTTATTAATACCAATTGATAATTTCGATTCCCTGAGCTTTTCCCTCAACGCAAAATTATGAACAATGTCGATGGTCTTTTTCATTTGCTACATTTTATTTTGGGATTTTGCAATATCGACAATATTTCAATGCTGACATTAATTCTCTTATAAAATGATGAATGTTATCGAACAACAGAAAATATTTTATTTGAATAAATATTTGAGTGACTCAATTTCTACAGAAATATTTAAAATGAATGTTAAAAATTTTGATACACAACAACAAGATGAAATTTATCTGAAGCATAACAAGCTATGCTTCGTATTGAAGTCCAGTTTTTCCCCACAAAATTTCTAAGGAAACATATATTTGGATTATTTATTTATCAGAGGCTCTTCAATTTCAATTTGATAGAGATTTCTATAATCCAGATAGGTATTAAAAAAAACAACAGAAGTTCTTGTTTGAAGGAAACTTTTCCAAAGAAAATTAATGAAAAGTGTTCATATCATCTCACTGAGAATTGTCACTAATGTCATTTTAGGAATTGATGCAATTGTGATGGTTTTGAAAACATATTTGTCAGGTCACCTGACACTTATACGGATACGATGTCACTTTATTCTGATATTTCTCTGAAATCATTCAAGAATGACTAAATGTTTTATGTTATTTAAGTTTGCTTAGTCTTATTTAAAAGGATGAAATCTAAAAATCTTTTGGTATCATTAAACTGAAAATATCTGATAACATCTGCACAATTTATCATATATCTAGATAAATATTTGATAAAAACATTACAATTTATGTTACATCTTGAAGGCATTGAAAATGATTTTAAATTAAGCCATCAGTTTAATGAAATTGATATTTATCTTGTCTTTGATTACTGTTTGTCAATACAGTGAACTTTCTTTATAAGAATTTTGAAGGGAGTCACCTATAAAGAGCTTTTTACTTATAAGGAGAATTCTTATAAAGAAAGTCCTCTGTAATAAGTTGTGAAAAAATCCCGAATTTAAAATGCTGCATTTTTTTTGTTTCAATCCTTTTCTGCTTCTTGACTTGCTAGATTTATTCATCGCATATCAAATACAAAAATTAAAACATGCAGTATGAAAAGCAGACAAAATAATAAAATTTATCTGCAGTTATAGCATGAAAGTTAAAGCTGCCTCAAATGAATTCTTTTTTTTATGAAATGAATAAAACTTTCTGGTAGAGTTTATTTATTATTAGTTAGTGGTTTTCCATTACAATGTCTGAACTTTAAAAAATTAAATTCAGTATGATGCAACAAAATTTGTTGCACCAAAAAAAAAATATCTTGCTAAATATTTTAACCAATTTCGACATCTAAATTTCCATTCGATTCAATGTTACAAATTTGTGACCATTTCCATAAACGCTGGAAAAGTGTTTGATAAAAAGGAAACCCAAAATGATGGAAGATCGTCTCAAGTCTAAATGTTTTGTGTACACTTTAAGGATGCTCAATCCAAACCACAAAACCATCATTCATATCATGACAAATCTTTGAACATCCTTTTCATATTGTGCTCAAACTTTTTCATAAAGCTGAATCGGAAATACATTGTTGAGCTTTTCAAATGTTTAAATAACAAGGACAACAAATCATATTCTTTGCTATGATGCTTTCATTCCGTTTAACTACACTTTCAAACAGATTTAGATTTTTTATTATGTGACAATTTCTTTTTCTTCCATAAATATTTGTAACAAACATTGACGAGTTAATGTTGAGATTAATTGTAAGAAGGAATTTAATAAATTAATTCCAAAGAGACAAAAAATATTCTTGAATTACTTCTGCGAAAGTGATACATTTACCAACCATTTAAGTATGAAACCAACTCTTCATAAAACCTCGACTCAAATGGTGGAAAGCAATGTAAATTTTTAAAAAATTTCTCATCCTCTTCTCACCTAGAATTTCATTCTAAACGCTTATGATTTAAATTTCTGCTTTTTCCCCGGTTGTCGTTGATAGGAAAAAGTATGAAGTGAATAATAAAAAGAATGAAAATATTTCTAAATTCTCCCAAGCGGATCATATGAATAAAATATTATTATACTGGTGCTTCATTTGATTGCCGTCCGGGAACCGAAAAAAAATGGAAATGGAAATATTTTCCTTTCTCTTTCCGAGATTGAAGTATTCAGACGGATTTCTAATCGACCAACAAATATGATATTTTCTTTCCATCCTACATCGATTTCGAATAATAAAGTCTATGAACTCTCAACCTCCATTTGTGGATTCGAATTAAGAAAACATTTTCCTTTCTTGCCTATCCAGAGTTGTTATAAAACAATAATGTTTGCTTTTGATGGTGAGTTTAATCAGACCTAAGGCACAAATAAACTATTGTGATATTTTTTTATATCCTCGTCATCTCTGTTTCTATCCTTTGACAACCAAACTTTGATTCTTTTCCATCAAATCTCAAAAGAGCGAAAAGGAAAAGAAAATTTTTAATACATATCCGTTACGAAAGCAATCAGATAAGAATCGAAAATCACCATTTCTGCTGATACCCGAAAAATTATTGTGACTGAGTTGAATTTTAAAATTGTTCCTTTTTTGTCGACTTTTATGAAATTTCTGTCGGATGTAATTTCAAATGAAAAGGTTTTGATATCTTTGATATCGTATCCTCTTGTCATTATCGTTAACTATGTCAAGTCGTTTCATGGATTTAACTATTTTAAGCTGTTGAAAGTTGATAAACCCTTTAGAGAAAATCTTTGATCATAAGATACTCTAAATGTCTTCGCTCCAAAATTATCCATAACTTAACAATATTAAAGCTTTAACTTTGTCAGATATTTTTTACACTTTTAAAGAATTCTTTTTATGAGAGAAATAATCATTCATTGACTGCATATCTCCTAATTATTTCTGACATTTTAACATGTCCGTACGAGTTTAAGCCGCAATTATTCAAACATACCTTTAAATGTAACAAAATTTATTCATTTCGAAACTAGAACGTCCAAGGCAGTGAATGAATAGCTCATCGTTTTTGGACTTTACATTCTCTTTCCATGGGGTTTTGTTTGTGTAAAACAATTGTGGAACTCGAGAATGAATCAGAAGAATGAAGATAAAAAGTGTGGAAATATTTGAGTGGAATGCATTGTTAAATTGTGCTTGTTTTGTTCTTTGAAGAGCTCTTCTTAAAACGATGTTCATTCGACGAGCTAGAGATAAAAAGACGAGTAAGCGGATGGCATTGGTTTCTATCACATCGTAGAATAATATTGAATGAAAAGATTTTGATTTTCTCATCCTCTTAACACTCACCGATGCATAGACTTAGATCCACACTTCATAGCTTTGGTAAATAGCTACCGAAGTATCATTCATAAGTGCTGTAGACATGCTTAAACTGAATGAATGAAAGCTTCTCCATCATTTTCAATTCATAAAAGTTTCAATCACTCTTCAGACGATATTTTCTGTGGTGTTGTTTAATCGAAACAAAAGTTTATCAGGAAGAATAGTTTTTTTTTCTTTCGAAAGGAAGTTTAAAAGTTTTAGAAGTTTTATCTTGAATTGAATATCCAAGAAAGTTTGAAAAAGATGAATAATTCATTGACTCCCCTACGGAGCTGTTTGACGAGTTTTTAATTTTTTTCTTGCAAATATCTATGAATTAAATAAGAAAAAAAGAAAACTTTTCTATACATAATAAATAAATGTGTAGTTTTGTTCGAAAAGATAACTTTTTGTTCATTTCATCCATCTAAATATTTAGTTGAAAGCGAAAGAATATTTTTTGCGATCTCTAGTGGAGAATGATTAAGTAGAATTAAAGAAGGGAAAATAAATGGCGGAAAGCTCAAATCTCATTATGTGTGATGTTGAATTGTTCTAAGCTTAGGTTTTTGTACTGCCGTTTCTCATCTTTGAGATTTAATGTCATGATTTGGAAGAAAATCGTTCCAGTTTGTGTGGATAATTATCGAGATGATTCTCAAAGCATGGAAGATTATCTTGGATGATAAAAAAAGTCGAAATCTTACAAAGATGCTATATTAAGAAGAGAGCACAATTACATTATGTTTGACGTTTTCTTTATTGTGAATGGTGATTTGTCTTGGTAATGAAATGGGTGACTGTTGCTTTTCTTTTCAATTCTGGAATCCGGATACTCCGCAAAAAATAAAAATAAAGTCACAAAATGATGAATCATTCTTAAAGATACAACACACAAGCGACATGAAGACAAATCGTTCTTTTATTACTTTTTAATTATCTATCTTAAAGGAGAAAGAAAAATAAAAAGGTTTCTGATAACTTTGTAATTAACAATCTTTCGAAAGATTTCTGTCTCGCTTCAGTTTTATTTTTTGTTGTTCAACGTAACCAAAGGCGTTAAAACTGTTGGAAGTTCAAACGTTGATTCATGATCACTTAAATAGTTGGTTGCTGCATTTAATAACTTATGGTTTTGATAAATTATCGTCTGGCTTTTCTTGTCGCTTGAAAGTACAAACACTTTTATGAAAAATATAACTTTGCGCTACTTCATACTATTTATCAATCGATTTTCAACTTTGATGAGTATTAATGACTGTAATTTTGAATCAACAGACGAGCTAGAGTGTAAATGATGGAAGTTTTCATGAAATGGGGGAAAAATCAATTGAATATTTGCTCAAATAAATTAGGTATCTATAAATATATAAATCTTTTTCACATCGTGTGCTGCATGTTCATATTTCACTTGCAGATTTGGATTTTCGGAAGTGCATCGACTTCGGAATTCTCTTTCTCGCTGACTCTTGCCGAACAATAACAAATAACCGTTTTCATAAATAATGCAATTCGTTTTATTGTTTATTTTATTTTAGGGTGATCTGTGATTTTTTTGGGTAGTTCAACGATTACATAAATTTATATCAGGCGGTGCTTTTATTTCTTTATTTTGCCCACGTCATGCAATGCTATTAATCTGCGAATAATCTGCAAATTTTGCACGATTTTATTACATGTTCGCATATGAACGTTGTGTGACATTTAAATTTTTAACTCGTTGCTTTTCATCTCATTCATTCAACGCATCCATCGATGGCAAAATGGTCCCAAATCGGTGTGGTTTGAATTTTCAGCTTTTTCAATTTACAAATTTCTCATTTACATTATGGGGAGAGTTTTAAAATTAAAAAAAGACTCATGTTGAAGATAAAACTGAAAAAATATTTATTTTACTGTTTTATATTTCGCTATGCTGCGGTTGATATTATTATTATTATTATTATTCAATCACTCTACAAGTTTTGTTAATTAAATGAATACGAGTTGAATTGAAATGAATCAAAAAGGTTCGCAAAAAAATTTCTCATTCATCATCATGATTGTGTTGTGATAAATTCTTAACTGAATTTATTTTTTTAGCAATCAAAGCGTTGCATTGGATCATAAAAATTGTTATGTTCAGTTAATTATGCTCTTATTCTCAGACTGTAGAGATATAACTTGAAATTCATTAAAAGAATTCATCTCATACAGAATTCTATCGCAACTTTGTATCTCATAAGCTGAATTTAAATTAAAATTAATTTCATGTACACTTTGTTTCTAATGAAACTTTTGTGATGTTCTAATGAAAGGATTCCTTTAGTTTCACAAATGCTAAAGTCAAATGCAATCACTGCTTGGATTATCTTTAGATATATGCTAATTAAAATGCTGTTTGATGTTTTTTCTTTCTTATTGAAGGTAAAACTCAAAGAAAATGGAAAAATATTGCAGCAGTTGCAAGCAAACATCGCAAATGGAAAAGAAATTAAAGGAGCATCAAAGTGAAAATCTCACGCAGTCAATTTTTCTTCAATTTATGTTTATAAAGAAACATGCATGGCTCATTGCATCGTTTATGTTGTTGTATTTTCTGAAATAGTTAAATACGAGAAGTGAATTTCAGAATGGAAAGTTTTGATGAAAATTGAAAAATAAATATGAAAGTTGATATATTTTTGAAAAACTTTTATTGCTGTAGGTGTTATCTTTGCCATGTCAAAATTAAATTTTCATGAGAAACGTAAGTCTTCGACCTGAAAGTATTTATTAAAGCTTTTCATATCAGCTGAAATTGTATCAAGTTTCTCCATGTTTCATTGTTCATCGATATGAAAGCTCTCTCAAGTCAAGTAAAAAGTTTTAATTAAATTAAGTTCTGATATCGAACTTCTCAATCTTATTATTTAGTTTCTATATAAATATAAAAAGGAATCAAATTGCATCTATCGCTTTTCTGTCATCTGTTCATACAGCTTTCGTTCAAGAAAATTGTGGAAAAATTGGCTTTTTGGTATGGAATCTTGGATCTCCACAACATGTTTGAGACAAAAAAAGGTAAATAAAATTGAAGAAAGTCCCAGAGGTGTAACCCTGAATCAACTTTTTCATGTCAAAGTCTTTCATTTCAATACATGCTTTAAATTATTAAGTTCTGAATGTATCGTTAAAAAGTTTGTTACTTAACATCTCTGACACAATGAAAGGAATGTCAGAACATCTCGAAAGAAAATTTAAGATATTTCAAAACATTGCAATGTCAACAAAGCGACTCGTTTATTCTTTTGGATAATTTCTGCATCATAGATTTTTGGTTCAGTTTTTGATTAAGTTCAGGAGATCTCAAAGGAATGAGAATATTTATTAATGAAAGATTTTATCAACTCTAGTTACTATAATAAAATAATACAATGCAATATTCGTTTGCAGTCAAATGAATTTCCCAGGACTTATTAAGATAAATAGCTTTGTCTTCTTCAAATTCACTTTTTTGGTATGTCATGTCATGAACGGCACAGCTTTTCTTCGACATATTGAAATTGATATCTCATGCGACAACACAAGAGTTTACTTTTACCCAGACATGAACATCTTTGTTCAAGAGATTTTTTGTGTTTCGAAACAATTTAATTTTCTATATTTCACTTGTCGAGAATGGTTGTATGCGCTTCGATACTCATACCCAACAACAATACTTTATTCCAATCAATTATGTTCTTCATCTCATTGTCGAGTGGATACTTTCACGGGTGACTTGAAGCTTTCAATAAATACTTCCAACGCATTAGTTTGATTAAATTCGAAAACAAAAGCAGGAAAATCGTCTGAATTCTGAATTGAAATTGCTGATAACAGGAAAGTGCAAATTTTCTATTCTTCTCTTAGTTTTTCTAGAATTTTGATGTTCGCTTATAAAATGAAAGTTTTCCTTTCACTAACTTTTCGAAAACATTTAACATTCTAGTATTTCTAACTTTATTCAAATCATGTTCAGAAATTCATATTAATTTGAGAAACCTTTTTTTATCAGCATTTTCATTACACATCTGAACAGTACATAATGTTATTGTATGAAAAATGCGGTTGAGAAATGTTCGTATGTTAATGAATTGATGAAATTCATGTAGATATGTATGTGAGTACGTAAATATATTTTCGTTGTGGTTTTCTCTGATTTTGGGTTACGCAATATCGTTGAATCGTAAAGGAGAATTTTTCCGCATCAGCATTCACAATATCAACAACGAAAGCTTTTTGATATGGAAAAATCAATTTTCTTCCATCGAAAAAGCTTGAAGTCGATCCGAGAAAAAGTTGATTTGTCTTTTGTCAAGCGGTCGTTCGTACGTCAAAGCACATTGACGAAAGAAGGAATGAAATATTTACAAGCTGAGACGATAGGTTCCAAAGATCGCAGTCATAAATTGAAGGATATGAAATTTCCGCTTCTTTTCACAACAGTCCCTGACATATTCACGTCTTCGTACACTCTAAGAACAGATGAGAGTTACGAAAGGCAAGAGAAACAATCAAACAAAAGCCAACGATGCTATGCTTGTGCGAGCGAAGAAACTTTGACATAAAATAAAATAACAATCAAAATTTATGATGTACTTTGTTTAGATAAATATGAATTCTTCAACTCCTCCCGGTGACATCATGAACAACATATCGTGTCACATTCACGACAACACAATGTGATGAGAAAGTTTCGAGTAAGAATGTTTCTTTGTTATGATTTAGCATGAAGAATAAATCCAACTTGGCCGACAGCAAATGTTTGAAAGAACTGTGACTTTGATACCTAAAAGAAATAAAAAGTTTTTCTGTTTTCCTTACTCATAAAGAGACGTAGAAGTAGAAAATACAAAAAACGTGTCATGAAGAAAATGTGATTTTATTCGTTATCGTTCAGTATAAATCATAAAACATGAGAAAGCATTTCATGCGAAGCAAGTGAATTTGATGAATATCTCGTCTTGAAGCCACTCATATTGTTACTTGTGACAACCAAACGAGACAGCATGACACAATTTTTATGTCTTTCTTAAATATTTCTCAACACAATTCATCGAAGGAGTGCTGCACCAGGGCTGAGTAAGGGATTTTTCGTCGTTTTTTAGGGGATTCTAACTTAGAATTTATGGAATCGATCTCCGGTATTTTATAATAATTTAATTCAATTTATTTTTTCATGTTTTTCATGGTGACCATCACACAGTTGAACATACGAAAGTCGGTCATAATAATCTGATTCATTCTTGGGAAAGTTGTAGCAAATTTTAATTATCATTCGACCAAATGCGTTGCTTGTGAAATCAAAAAATTAAATGACTAGAATGACTTTCTATTAACTTATCATAATAATGAAAACGAACGAAGACCTTGCCTTTCAGAACTTATCAGAATTACTTAATTTATCCTGTTAAATTCATTGTGCAAATGAACGGAAATAAGCAGATATTGCATTTCAGAGCTTCCATTTCCCTTCTAAGTTCATCCCGTCATTCTTCACCATAAATTCAGATGATAATCGTAATGATGTGCAAATCGAACATGTACGAGACGTGAACATCGCCCATTCATTGCAGCAAATGAATTTCCCGAGGACGTAATTACACTTTTCCAATAAATCTTCTTTGCGGTGACACCAAATTGGTTTAAAGCTTAAGCGATATTTTATAATGTTTTGCAATTTATTTATTTAATGAGCAAATAAGCGATATCGAAAACAAATTTTAGATCCATCGATGCAGAAAATAGAAGACAGAGTGAAAACTGCAGATAGAAAGAGATGGAGTCAAGGAAAACGCAACATTGTTCGCTCTTTGTTCTATTAAATTTAAATTTATTTCTCGATTCACACGGACTTGTTATTTATCGAGCTTTTTTCTGCTCGTTGGTGAGAGTTGGTAAATCTCGTTATTGCTTCACCTTGTTTTTATTTTCTTCACATTCTTTTATTTTTATTTTTTTATCTTCTTTTATTACGTGATGGTTTTTGTATCAACTTGAATAAGCAAAGTTTAACGTCATTAAAACAAATGCAATTGAATGGATGCACGTTTATCAGCAACAAATCTTGTCTGAATCTTGTCTGTTTTAGGTTTTATACACATTGATATAGAACTTAAAACAAACGAGAATATATCTGAGAGAGTCACAAGGCAATCAAATATGTTGAGACCACCAAATTTTTTAACACTTAAATCGCAAAAAAGTATTTTTTATCGTGGTATCAACATATTCAATGAATTCACAACCTATATGAAAAACAAATCATTTCAAAATTTATCAGACTTAAAAATAAAAATAAAAAACTTTGTATGTTCAATGATATGAAATGTTTCCGTATTTAAAAAAAGTACACCAAATCGTCAAATGTTCCTCTCAAATTCCATAGATGGAATTTCCTGTTTCCACCGATATCAAATGAAAATTAAAGATCAAATAAATTCAAGACTTCTTCATATGATTTAAAATAATATTAAGATAATGAATTCTCGAAAGATAATATAATTTTAAGTTTAGGGGCTATCCCATAAATTTATTGTAAATTTCTGATAGCAATTTAATAAATATGAGAAAAAAAAATCACCTTTGCTCTTAATCACCTTAGATAACTGCGAGGTTAACATTGTGAAACGTTTAAAATTGGAATTGAGTTGACTTTCATGAGAAATGTTTTGTTATTTGAACGGATCAAAGTCTTAAGTTTAACAACTATTAAGCTTTAAGTAAACAAATCAAAAATGATTTTACCTTTGAGCGTTTTCAATGAATTTAATTATGATGGGTACAAATGACAATTACGTAAAATCTTGAGATGTTCAATTTAAGAATAAATTATGACCTCGATCAGAGCCCACCCAATAATTAAATTCTTCCTGTAAAATTTCCACTCTACTAAACATAAACAAGATTTTCTACGCCTCAGGTTGATATAGGTTTTAAAATGCTTCGAAAACAGTTGACAGAATGTTGTTTGTTTTATCAGAAAGTTGAGCATACAACCTATTCACCTTTTCTAAAAGTTTCCATCAAAGATTTTTTAAGAAAACAAAAACGAGTGTCTCGGCATTTTCCAGAGGTTTTATGAAGCAAAAAATTTATGTGAGCCTTGATAAAATTTTTTTTTTCTTTTCTTTTTTATTTACAATCCCCTTCATGCAAAGACAACACTTTTCGGTTGTGCTCAGTATTCAAATCATGAGTAGAGTACGTTACATAATATGGGTGGGTGTATGATATAGAAAAGCTATCTGAGTAAAATGCTGTACACGATATGTCGCGATAATATCGCAAGAATGAGGATTGTTGTCGAGGGAGGAAAAGAGATCGAAAGGTAAAGAATTTAAATAATTCTTTCATCTTGAAGATTCCACTGATAGTTGTTTTCTTCTCCTTACAACAGTAAATGATTTTTCAATGTGTCGTTTTATGCCTATCGTCTGACATGAAACGCTCAACAAAGCACTTTACATAATATTCTTTTTATATGTTTTGCTTTATTTTATTCACCAATTTCACTACCATTTTGATTCACCTTTTTCTACAAAATATTCATGAAGACTTTTGGAATTTTACTGACTTATTTTTTACTTAAATCCACTCCCATGTGATCACTGATGAAGAAAACATTACGCAGAAAGCTTAAAATAAATACCTACGAAAGAAAGAAAAATAATGATTTTTATTTAATATTTATGTATCGAAAAGAAAAATGACGAAAATCATAGAATTTCATATTCGATTGATTCAATTAGTGTTCCTTTTTCGTATTTTTACTCAAAGGTAAATGTTTTCAAAGCAATCTCTACAACGATAAGGAAAAATGTGAACAACTGTTTCCTTTGAGAAATGAAACGAGTAAACAATTCGCTCGCTTTGGTATCATTTTCAAATTTAGAACATGAGCTTTAAAAGAGTTCATGGAAGTCTTGCGATGAGAATTTTATTTCTAGCTATAAAAATGTATTTAACATTAAAGTTTTTTATGATATCTCGAGTGTTATCCTTTCATTTGAAAATCTCTATTGGTAAGAAGATAAGAGGAATTTATTGGATTTTTCTCATTAAAGTGCTCAAGAGGGGGAAACAAATTAAATATCTGAAGAAAATAAAACTATTTCTAGGAAAATTACTGATAAAGAGCTTCTGATAGCGCTCGACGCTTCTCAATTTGATGCAATTTATAATAAAATATTCTCCCATTGATCTTGAGTCGTTAAGTAAATTGCTAAGAAAATTAAGAATCTTTCCAATATCATTTCAATTTAATCATATAAATGTCTTCGAATAATGCTTATTCGACCATTTAGATTATCAGCGGAAAACAAGAATTTCTTTCAAGCAATTTTTTTCTCTCTCTTCACTTTTATCTCTTCCAAAGCTGCTTTTTACTGTGCGGGCTAACGAGACAAATAAAGTTGGAATGTCAAAAGGTCTGCTCAGCACAAATCTTTAAGGCTATCTTACTGAGATGCTTCGATGTTGAACGAGAGAAAGACCAGAAGTTATATTGGCTTTTTTATCGGTCATTATATGGCACCGACCAACCAAAACGAGTAACAGAGAGAGTGAAAAGGAGAAGTTTGTTCATTTTACGCTTCATAAAATAATTAGTTAATGCATTGGTTAATGTGAAAAGCAAAAAAAAAAAATGTTTTGTTGTCTTTTTACATGAACCGAAAGCTCTAACAATGACGCTTGACTTTTTTTTAGCTTCCTTCATAACTGAAGTTAAAAATCATGATAGCAATTATTTATTTATTTAGCCCAGATGCGCACATTCTTATCTCACTTATTGTATCGTCACATTGTCGTTAGAATTCTTGTTGGAATCCATTAAAAGTTAATGAAGATTTCTGAATATTACTAAAGGTCATCGTTGTATTTGTAGGTTTATGTAAATCGTTCGTTCATCAAAGATTATGAAAAGTGGTAATTATTGGGAATGTTTTTCGTATCTCCTTTTTATCTTAGTGATGAAATCTCTAATGAATATTTCAATAACACTTTTCTCATTGGAAATTAAAAATAATTAACCAGTAAATGAATTACTTTTGAATATCTCTTGTTGTGGATATGTAGAGAAAAAACTGTTTAGCTGCAAACTTCTTATTCACTTTAAGTAAGGTTCTTTAAAGACAAGATATTTCTAATTAATGAAGTCAAATCAAAGTTCCTTTAGGATCGTACGCAGGTTTGGATTTTCTTGCAATTCTTCTATTTAAATGTCAATCTCAATGAAGCTGAAAATTGCTAACGAATGGAAATTTAATAAACGTGATGAATGATATTTTAAAATTTTAATTAATTTCATTTAGCTAATTTCCCATAATTATTTAATGTGTTCGATATTTAAAGAGCTCAAAGAGAGATAAAATATTAAAGTGTTGAAATTAAACAACAAGTGGAAAACCTTCAGTAAGTCTATACATTTGTTTAGCTAAATATTTCTCCCATTCTTACGCTGCCTTTTCGTGCAGATCTTTTTTGAAAATCCGATTTTTTTTCGAAAACTCCAATTTAATGTGTGGTTGCTTAAGGCAATTTAAAAATTCAAAATGTTTATGACTTTACTACAGATACAAGGACCCTTGGTTTTCAACAAACGAAATTTGATTTCGAGATGAAAATTTGAAAAAAATTGAGCAGATCTGAATTTTTTCGGATTAAATCCGAATTTTTGTATGAAAATGGCGCGAGCGAAAAATAAAACCTTTGTTTTAAGCCCAAAACGGCTGCTCAGAACTGTTCCTGTGAAGCACAAAACAAATGCGCGCGAAAAAAAAGATCTTCACGAAAACGCAGCGTTATTGCTATTTATTTTATTGCACTTTACAACTTTATATTTTTAATATGGTTGAATGTATGCGTCGCTAATTAGTTTTTAATTTGGGAAATTCCGCGTAATATTTTTCCTTACTCTCTCTCTCTCTCTCTCTTTCCTTGATATCTGTGTGCAGACATTTCTCTCCTATATAAGTCCATGAATAAATAAAAGTTCATCATTCAATCTTTTGAAGCGAAAGGATAAAGTCGATAGAAAATAAAATAGATCAAGAGTTAATAATTAATTTAAAAAATCAAAAAAACTGAGAATATAAAATTATTCATAAATAAATTAATTTAGTGCTTCATAAAGTTTTCAAAGGAAAATAATCAAAAACATGGAAGGTGAATTCGTAAAGGAAGCAAAATTATCAACATACAGAAATCTATCACATTTTGATAGCAACGACAATATCAACTGTTGTGATGAGGATATTCTTCAAAGTGTATGGCAGCGTACTGAACAACATCCTGTTTTGAACGATCGTATAGTTAATGAACTTATGGACGGCATGGACTTTGATAACAACAACAACAACAACAATAATAACATCAGCAATCAAAACTTTGAAGACATCACTGGAATGCTTTCATCATCATTTCCATCTGGCTCAATCCAAGACACCAGTATGAATAATGAAACTGAAATGCTTTCAAATATTGTAACATCAACGCCACAACATAAGCATATGGATTACTCGACTGCTGATACAGATTATAAAATGGAAGCGCAAGTAGAATTTAATAATGCGAGTCCCATCCCATTTACATCGCAGAATCGGAAGTTGAAAAGACGACGTGGCCTCAACTCTGAATTTGACGAAACACTTCAAAGGGCAGCTAAAGTGCTCAAGCTTTAAATTTCATTCTAAACTCTCTTAATAAATTAATGTACATAATTATTGTAAATAAATCTTGTCATTTTTTGTATCAAATATTTGTCTTTAATTGTTTTTAATTATAATGAAACATAAATAGCATATAATAAATATTACAAGCTTATCAATAATCAACCGGATATTTGTTCTATTTCTTATTTCTCTGCAATCTTTCCAGGAATATTTCAGATTTATGAAGATTTGATCCAACTTCTCAGACATTTCCAAAACATCACATTTGCTAAATGCTTCATTTTTCAACAGAAATCAAAAATTCATAACTGTTTTTTGAAGTTGTGGGTTTTTGGATACAGATAGAAACTGTTTAATAAATGTTAAATATGGATGAGTAGCTACATCATGTAAATTCTGATATTTTGAAGTTTATGGAATTCATCGAGTAAAATAAAATTGTTCTGATCATCGGGATGCTTCAAAATTAGCTCAACAAGTTTGTCATGTTTGAAGAATTATGAAATTTTGAATATGTTAACATTTCATTACTAGCAATTAAAATTGTATGTAGAATAAAAAAATGGAACAATCAAAAATGTTATTATGCAACAATTAACTCTTCATTTCAATGTGAATGTGTTAAATTTTTATTGGACATTCTCACAAATTGTTGACATTATTCCAGCAATGTGCAAAACATTTCTATGCATCTAGATGCCACAAATTCATGTTGATAGTTTTTATTATTAAAAATATGTTTAATTAAAAGAATTTATTTAAAATTCATATGGACACAAATATCAGCACTTAATTTTAGGAGCAATCATGAAGAAGAATTGAAGAAAAAAGTCATTAAAACATTAATTAAAAATCAATTAACTGTCCGCTAATTAGCAGATGTTTGTACTCAGGAATATTTCATATCAGAAATGTGTTTGGGTTTTTCCAAATTAAATCGCTTCGAGATTTATTATCACAGCCTTCAAATAAACCAAAAATTGGACTGAAGTTAAATAAGGTGTAAATAAATAAGTGATGAGTTTGATGTTGTTAAAATATTAATAAAATGAGACTAAACTTCTTAAGAAAAATATTTCAGATTTCCGTGGGGATTCCCAGGAAATGTAAATTTTTGATTTCATCAAAATGTTGAGTCAATTACAGCTGATCTAAATAGATCTAATATTGATTTCCTTAAATTAATTTAAACTACTCTTTTTGAGATGAATTATGAAAGAAGAAAAGTCAATAAAACGAAGACATATTAAAATGAAAAACAGCATAAATTTCCTGTTAGGTGAAATGAAACAAATTTTAAAGGAAGAAATTTCTTGTATTTCCACAATATTGAAAGCAAGCAGCAGTTGCTTCTGAAAAGTTTATGAAAACTTGTTTACACTGGCTTCAGTTATTACTCGGTTTAAAAACAATTATTATGAAAAATATTTTACTGCTATCAATGTACATTTAGTTTTCTCGAAGCGAGCGGAAAAAACTTCTGAACATTATTGAAATCGTAATCTCGGTTTGTTTTTCGATTTGTGAAACTTCTTTCGTCGGAGAAAAATACGCATCAGATGTTGGCTTTCATTTTCTTAAGTCGATTGCTGCTTGAGATATCTTCCTAGGATCTAGAAAGCTGAAGGCGATGAGAGGAAACAACAATAACATTCAATCAAAATGCAAACATTTAAACAATATTGAGATTATTTGTTTCGTTTTCCTCGAATCTTCATCAGGAAAGTTTCGTCTTAATTTAATTGAAACTGCCTGAAACCGTAAAGATTACAAATATTCATCATCAAAATGTTATAGGCCTATGATAAAGCAAAAATGGCTGGTCGCATGGTGACTGAAATTGAATATTCATTAAATGTTGAGCGAGTATAAATAGCTATTGAATATATAAGTGCTCCAGTTGTAAAAACAACTCTTAGATGTCTGAAAAAACAAATCAATCTGATTGAAGAATGAGACAAGTTATTATCATCATCCACACTTTGAAAATGGATAATATTTCTAAATATCATATTTATTATTCATCACGAGGTCCACAACAAAAGCCTTAACACAAGCAAACGATGATGATTGTTATTACACTAAGACACGATATAATCCGATAAAATCAAAAACTCTTGTTATTTTAGAACGGTCTAAGATGAAATAAAGGAAGATTAGACGCGGTTAGAATTTCTGTTCTCTATATTCATTGTCCAAAGCGAGAAATTCGTAAACGAAGAACTTCTTTTTCTCCCCTTGGTATCCCCCAAATGGTATTTTTCAAATTTCCCCTTGTATCCCCCAGTTGCTGAAATCGATGTTGAAATTTCTAACAGTGTTGAATGTTTTCCGTCACACTGTTAAGAATTTCGAGTGTAAAACATTGGAAATGTTCATCCACGGAAAGTGGGCAATCTCTCACTTCCAATGTGGTGGAAAATGTTTCATGGAAATTGTTCCCAGCTTCGTGAATTTGTTGGTAAATTTTTCATATAAAGGATAACTTTTATGATTTTTCCATTCGCTATTCTATTTGATAAGTTGCAAGAGTGGAAGAAAAAAAATCTTTTTGATAAACTTACTTATCGTTTCTCTTTAGTCAAATACAAATCGCGATATAGTAAACACGCAATCGTAGGTCGGTCTCAGTAAAAAAAATTGATAGTTCTCTTTATTTCCTGATTGAAGAATTACAGTGAAAAAATAATAAAATTTCTTAGCCCATATTGTGACTGATGTGAAAGGAGAACTGAAATTTATAATAATATAAGATTGAACAAGGGAATTATTGTCAGTGACAAGATGTGTGTGGTGTGTAAAAATAAATTTTGAAAAGTTGAGGAAAATATTTTCGGGAAAATTTTGTGCTCTTGAAAATAACACCAAAGATAATTATAATAAATGTAAATGACAGTGGACACGAATGAATGCCAAAGCTTGCACAAGGATTTATGGATATTATAATTACGTGATGTAGTATCATCGCTAACATATGAGTAAACAAATGTTTTAATATCGCTTAAAGCGTAAAATATTTTTTAACTTTTAGAACTTTCATATTATTTTGAATTAAAATAATTTGTTTTTAGTGTCATAAAAATTATGTATAACGTTGAAATTATTCTTGACATGAAAATATTAAAATTAGGCCTGGTCTGTTTACCTAACTTTTATTTCTCTTGCTTCGGAAACAAAAACAAAAATATATCAAGCTAAGAAATAAAATAAATGTCAAAATGGTATAGAAAATTATTTTCTGAATATTCTCTTAATGAAAAATCTGTGACAATACGAAGAAAATCAACGAAAATTTTGTTTCTTTCTGTTATTCCCTTGAGAAAAGGAAAACTTTCTATGCAACATAATTTTCCTTTTAATTTCTCTTGACACTCATTAAATATATGTGTGCAAAGGAATATAAATAATGAAAATATATAACATAGCATAATTAGTGCAACGTTGTTATATGCAGGTGAAAAACAACTTTTTCTCAAGTATTTGAAATTTAATTGTCGAGAATTTCTCGACGCGACTCGTGAACAAAATTCTTTTTCCTGATGAGCGAGTGATAATTAAAGTAGTTTGTTATTCAAAATAATGAGATGTCTGCAAGTGCATCAAACAATTTAAAGTTTCCTCGTTTTAACTTTGTAAAGTGATGTTAAAAGTTTCACCAACGAACACCCTTAGCAAATACAAAGTTATTCGATTTCCGATATTTTATTGTGAGGAAAAGTCGAATGAAATAACTTAACATGCTAAACAATGTTTTTCATCATATGGCAGTTCATGAATATTTTAATACTTGATTTATACATTTTCCCAGCAAGTATGAAAAATACTAAACAAATATCTTGCAGTCATTTGGGATGTATTTGGGGGTCTAGAGATTTGAAAATGAGCAGTGAGTGACTTCTGTGACTGTTCTGAAGTTTGTTAAATACTTGGTTTGTTAAATTGTTGTTAAGCCAGTAAAAGTTGCTTGAGTAGACACTTTTCTTACGTGAATGTCCGTCCCTTGGTTAAATAAATAATAAAATCGAGCTTTGAAAGAATTGTTAACAATTGTTAAACCATGCTTGATAAACAAGACGATTATCATTAATCAGTAAACAAAGGAAGCATAATGAACTTTTGATTGTTAAATTGTTATTGTGTTGCGTTTTCATTCATTTGTCACTTTTTAATTAAAATCAGAAAACATTTTAATAATCACATGACCTTTCTTTAGCATCATAAAAATATCAGAAATATTTTAAAATCGAACTAAAAATATTTCATATGATTTAATAAAAATATTTTAAAAATTTCTCTTAGATATTGAAATATTCGAAAAAATCCGTAAAAGTTGAAATAAATTTTTCACCGAAGAATATCTCAAAGTATTTTGAATTGAATTATTCGAGAGTAAAGTATCTTTGAACAGTATCATCATAAATTCTTCTCGTGGACTTGGTTCACAATTCTTCTTTTTAACCACTCAAGCATGTAAAGCTGCATACATGCTTCACTGATTTTTTGAAAAATGCTCACTGATTGCATATTAACATGCAAACAGAATTTTTGATACGAGTGAAAAATCTTTATTATTACATAGCTCTATAAAACAAATATGTAAATTGCACAAGTTCATTAAATTCCTTGCCCTCAAGGCTACTCATTCATCTACGTTCTTCACGAAAACCAAAAGCACAAAACGTTCATTCCTCATAAATTCACAAAGAACAACAACGTTAAAAGCTCAGTTTATATTTTGAGGGGGAGCTGGGGGAAATACATAAATATGAAAACATTTTAATTTCCATCATCTGCAGTCAAATATAATTGATTTTAATTAAATATCTCAACAGAGAGCTGAGAATGCAAAAACCAAAATCAAAACAAGCTTTCTTTGCCTTCACATAAACAGCATGATGTCTAAAGAGAAACTTTTATCCTTACTCCACCCACGCAAATTGATTGCGATGGCAAAAGAGTTTTCCCCACAAGAAAAAGAAAAAAAAGTTTTCATTATTAGAATGCTAAAT